AAAATTTACAAAATTTGCAAGATGCTACGAAGTTTCAAACGTATAAAGTTCCTGGAACGATTACAAGGTTATCTATGAGATTTGATTAATAATCGTGCCATACCATTTTCCACGAATATTATTATTTCTGCCATTATCACTATCGTTATCATTTTCCAGAGAAAACAATTATCACTTTTATTTTTCGTTGGTTATTTCTTTAAAAAAAAATCATTAATTTTCTCATTAGTAAAACAATTTTTATCAAATATTTCATATCAAAATCAATCAACCTCTGAAAATTTTATTCATATTTTCGCCAATAAATTTCATATTAAATTAATTCGATTTTACTGTTTTCTACAAATTCATTCCAATAGAGAATCACATGTCTTTACTTATTGTTATTATTATTTATTTTCGTCCATACCGATCCGATTTTTGATAATTTTTATTGATCAAAAATTAATTCTAAAATCCAATATTTATTATTATAAAATTATATGAAAAATTTTCGATATTTTTCAATTAAAAATGTTGCGATTTCGATTAAAAAATTTTAATTTATTATGGAATATAAAATGAAAAATTCCATGATTGTTGGTGGATTCGTTTTTTTTTCACCTTCGTCTATTTTATAGAATATAATTTTTTGCTTGAAAGAAAATTAATGTAACGGATGTTTTTGGGTTAAATCAGTTGCAGTCGCAAGTCACTCGCTGATAAAAATTTCTAATCGTATTAAATAATCAACTAGCAGAGCGAACTGAAAATGATAAACGTGTTGATTTCGTGCCAATAAATAAGAGAAAATAATAATAAAAATAAAATAAAAAATAAAATAATAATAAAAATAACAAAAATTTTTTAGTTTTATTTTATTAATTTTATTAATTTTTTTATTTTTTATTCATTTGTTCTATTATTATCATTATTATTATATTATTATTATTGTTTGTATAGATTTTAATTTGTTTTATTTCTTTGGCTATTATTTCCTCTGTTTTTTTTTGCTTTAATCAAAGCATATGGCTTTAGTCTTTAATAAAAAGAAATAAGAAAAATCTTTACCAGGCCAAATACTGAAATGCTAATATTAAGTTGATAAAATTTAAAAATAGAATTTTTATTGAGAAAAAATTTTTTATATAGATTTTTATATAGAAATCCATAATTCCTTATGAGTGGGCACCTCAGAAAAAAGAAATTTTATTAAACGATATTATTGTCGAATAATTAATAAAATTTCTTTTAATAATTAATTCAAATAGTTTTTGATAAATATAGTGATAGTATAAATCCAACCAAAATATCAAATGCTGATCCTTGATCTTTGCTTGATATCAGTTATCAGTTTCTTTTATTATTTTTTCTCTTATTATATATATTTTATTTATTTATTCCTTATTAAATCTTATTATTATTTCTCATTTTTCATATTAAATTGATAGTTTTTTTTTATACGAAATTTCTCATCTATTTAAAAGCATATCAATCATAAAATCACTGAGGCAATAGCCATTTGAAAAGATATTTGGAGCCAAGCATGAAATCATTTCCGTTCATTGGTCTCTTATCATTGAAACCAATTTGCTTGGATTTTCATTCATTCATCTTGTTTCTATTATTTAAATGACGATATAGAGCCTTTAACTGGTTTTTGCTGTCTTAGTTCCAGCTTCACTTCAATAATTGATAGCGAAACAGAACTCTAACTCGTTTTTGCTGGTAACTTATCATTCCTAAGAGCCTTTAACTGGTTTTTGCTCTCTTAGTTCCAGCTTCGATTCAGTAATTTTACAACTGTGGAATGATAAGTTGTGCTCTTCGCAACTATTTCTGTTCATAGTTTTTCAGCCCTCCAACATTCAAATCATTTGGCTTCAAATATGCAAATATTAAGTCAACGATTTTTATTCATTCACCCACTTTATATTATTTAATGACGAGACAATCTAACTGCTTTTTATTGGTACCTCATAATTGAGATACCTTATAGGTTAATAATTTTTAACTTTATAACCGTGGTACTACGCTCTTCAAAAAATAGGCGCTTATATAAGTGATTAGCTGCAGTTATTTCTGTTTAGACTAATTTTACTGGCGATTAATAAAAATTTGAAGAATTTTCACTAAATTTGAAGAATTTGCTGATCGACTAGTTGAATCGCTAGCGCGACGCGAATTTTTTATTCTTGTAAAATCCAATCGAATCCATGCATTTCAATGCGATTATCTTACAAGCCATACAATCACGATCCACTTACTTTAATTTTCTTCATAAAGAGTACCACAGCTCGAACTCCATTCGGTAATTTTCGCTTTTTAGTAAAATGTAAAATTATCATGAAAATATCGCCATTTACCTTAAAGATGTTTATCTTAAAGATCGTCATAATCGTCTTTGCGAATTCTAACATAAATGAATATAAATAATTGAAGGGGCAAAGGTCATGGGGAGGGGTCAAGGGGCAAGGGTCAGGGGGCAGGGGTTAAGGGTTAATGGTTAAATAGTCGTTAGCCATTTGTGGGTTATTAAATGCCTCGTAGATTATTAAAAACTATAAAGCAATGAGCGTTTAAAATTTTTTGCGTTAAAAGTTCCCCTCATCAGCTGAAAATCTCCACAATAAAAAGGCTTAAGCTGCCTGGCGTTAATTTATTTTTGAACTAAATATAATTGCATTTCGTGAAACTTTCCTTCTTAACGAAAATAACTAAAAACAATATAATGCCGGGCCAATAAATCATTTGCCGCGGCCGCGTTTTCTCAATAGCAATAAAAAATTGATTTAGAAAACATTCGGCTTCGTCATTCGCATATAATTCGTTGGCGTAAATAGATATTTCTTTCAGAGAATTGCGAAAAAGGCGAATTCTTTGTTTGATTCGTTTTATTTATTTTGTGTAATGATAGCTGAGAATAACGAAATTCCAAGGTTTTTCAGGTAAATTTTATTTTAGTGTTTGAAAAAATTTAAATTTTAATAATTAATAATTTTAATTTAAATTTTGAATTTTAATTTAAATAATTTCAAATTTTTTAGAATTTTTTTCAGAAATTTATAAGAAAATTTTAAATAAAATAATTTGAAAGAAATAGAATAAAATTTGAAAAAAAAAGAGTGAGAAAGGGAAAGAAAAATTTCATTTTATTTATTAGTTCGCTTTAATTTTTTAGTTAAAAATTTATTTTATTTCTACGATTTTATAGTTTTTTTTTCTTTTTAACTGATCCTTTTGAAATTTTTTTAGTGAATTACAAATTAAGCGAAAATTCAATAGCTAATTAATTTATCATTTGGAATATTTATTTAATTGTATATTTGAAAATTAATTAGCGCATAGTCAATTATTCCCTTTTTATAACAGTAATATCGATAATTTTTTCAAAGAAGCCTCGTTCACCATTGCTGATTAGTCTCGCTTCGTTGGCTTATCGCACTCGACAAATATGCCCTTAGGAAGTTCCTCAGCGATAGAAATATAGGTGAGTGGCGAGCATCACGCGGATTTTCGGACAGCTTAGCTCCTCTGTGGAGTAAAACCTCAGCAACAGCGCTCGAATTTGAGCAGCAACCCACTGAGCTATTCTTTGCCCCAATATCAACAGCATTAATGAAAAAATATGAAAGAAAAGCCAAGCCATTACATATGGATGGTGCAGAAAGCACACCAGTATTCCACTAATACTATGAATATAATGTAATATTCGATTGATCTTACAGTTTGATGTACTCGATTACTTTTACAATTAGGAATATTCGTTTAGCCTTGTAATTAGGAATGTTTGATAAGTCTTACAATTAAGTATATTCGATTGTTCTTACAATTAGGTTATATTCGATCAATAGAAATAGCGAAGGTAATTAAATTATTTAAATCAATAAAACAACAAAAAGAAGATAATTATTTCAGTTACAGAATCAGTTAAAGAAAAATTTCTTGTCTTTCATTGATATATGTTTTTTTAGCAAAAATTTCATTGGTAGAATATAAAAGATAAGTTTTGTACAAAGCGAAAGAAGAATGCGGACTTTTAAAGCCATATTTCACCGTAGATTTTAAAGCCATATTTCACCGTAGATTTTTTTTCTCATCTGAGAATTTTTATGCAAATTTTTTAGTTAAATTTTGAGTGCTTTCAAATTTTTTTGTAAAGTTTGATATTGAGGAAATTTAGAAAATCATGTTGCCTTAATTTCTTAGTGGTTGTTTTAGGTGCTTTTATAGTCTCTTTAGGTGGAATTTCTAAGAGGTACCGCTCAGTTTTTCTTTAATATTTGTTATTATTATTTTTATTATCATTGAAATAATTTATTCAATTTGGCGAACTCTTAAAAACTTATTGTGAATGAATGAAATCGCAAAGTAATTTTAAGAAATTATTTCTTTTTTCAAAATTTTTCTAATATTATTCTAATATTTAAAATTTTTAAATTTCTTAAGTGCATTATTTCAGTTAATTTTCAGTTCACTTATTTTTAGCCTAAATAGCACTGTTGGCGGAGAATATTGCAGGGCGCAGCACGATTAATTCAACTCTTTAAAATTAATTACTCGCATCGAATTATTAGGTTAAATTTTTGAAAAATTGTTTTCAAATTTTTATGTGTTTAAAATTTTTTTTAAAAAAATATATTTATTTCTTATTTTTATTTTCTAGGTATTTAGAATATTGAAAAGTTTCAAGTTGAACAGGTCTTTCTTATTTCTGTAATATTCATCAATATATCACGCGCGATTTCGTATATTTTATCGGTAATTATTATTTTCAGTTAAATGCAGATTTTCAGCAAATTTTATAAAAAGATTGCAAAATGTTTTATCCAATATGAAGCGTATAGATGAGAATAGATTTGTTTTAGTGGTTGTAACAGATTAGCAGTAGATAATTTAATAATTTAATACTTTTAAATGATTTTTACAAAAAATTGTATTTTTTATTTTTATATTTTTTATATTCTATTTTTCTGTTCAAATTTGACTTATTTATTTTTTAGAAGTAAATTGAAGACGTGATGACAGCGACAGAGCGACGAATTCCATCGCCAACTTACTTCAAACCAGCACCGAGTGAAATTCAATACGGCAAAATGCGATTTCTTATCACTGATCGTCCATCTGATTCTACTATTCAAAATTATATCGGAGTATTTAATTTTGAATTTCTTTTAAGATTATTTTAAATTATCGTTATTATATCACTAAGAAAAAGTTATTAGCAATAAATTTTCGCCTGAAAAACTTTATTCAGTTTTTAGTATTCAGTTATTCAATAATTTAGCAATAATTCAGGAATTGGAGAGGCATAATGCACGTGCTGTTGTGAGAGTTTGCGAACCAACATATGAAATAAGCCCTCTGATCTCGAGTGGAATAGATGTTCTTGATTGGGAATTTCTCGATGGTAGTCCACCACCACAAGAAGTATTGTTTTATTGTAATAGTTTTTTATTGAATAGTTGAAACGTTCACAAAAAATGACAATTTCGTTAAAAAGAAAAAAAGAAAAAGTTTTGTGAAAAATATATAATACAGATTAATTTTCCATATTCGACAAATTAAAAAAAAATCCTAGTTCCGGTACTTTTTTTGCATTAATATTCTTTTTAAGTTATCATTGTGAACTCGGATAATTGTTCTTGTTCGGATAATAATGATAATGCTCATTTTGCGAGAATATTATCAGGGATTCTTAATTTCATTTAATTTAATTTTTTTAATTTAATGAGTATAATAAGGACAATATATCCAAATAGGGAAGTGTTGATTCGATTTGGAGTTCAAGCATTATCCTGTTCGCACTATCTCATTATCTCTTGGAAAGAAAATTGTCTTTAGAACTCTTAAACCCTATGTCAAAAACTAAGTGGAGATGGATATCCACTTGTACTTCTAACTCCTAGTGGTTTTCTGGCAAAAACTACCTTAGTAACCGACAAATTTAATGTTGTCTATGCAAGTTTTATTTTTCCTTCGTTCTCCTTTTAGTATGATTTAATGGGAAGTTGATTGTAAACTTTCAGAAAACTTTGAAAATATTCAAACATTTAATTATATAAGTACAAATTAATTTGAATGAGAAAAATATTTTTTATTTCATGTAAACTAATTAATTATTTGCATCATCCGACTGATGCTGGTGGCTCGGCTATCGCCAAGAGCCTGCTTGCTATATTTAATGCCTAATGCGATGAGACAGCGGTGCGAATCAGTAATGGCGAAGGCTCTTAAAAAATTCTTTCCATCGAGAGGCGATTTTCATGACGTTATTATTTCATTTACTATTGCTCGAGTTCCCCTTGCAACGTACGTCAAAGCGGAATAATTTTGATTGTCACGTATTTATTCGAGACGATATCGTCCCAATATCGGTTTTTGTCTTCCATCGCTATAAACGTTGTAAATTTACGAATTTAACTGTCAATAACTAATATTTTCTAACAAGCGCTCTTTGACAGCTCAGTCGAATAGGAACCATTTCGTTCGAGATCCAATTTTCATTTCGAAGAGTTCATTCTAAAGCGGATTTAGTTGATTTCAAAATTTCTGATTGTTCACCAGGAGTTTCAGAATTTTCGTCCCTGTACAATCATTACGATTGGAATATTAAAATCTTTTAGTGTCTATCTTGAGTCAATATTTTAGTGTGAAATGTGTCAACTATCTCGAAATGTTTAGCTCGCAACAGTTAAAAGATTTTGAAGACTCGTTTTTGCGCATTGTTGTCTTCATTTGAGTTTAAGCTGTAACCATAAAGTGGTCTAATTCGTGGAGGTTGCTAATTTTGCTTAGTACAAAACGCTTTCATCGATGAGTGATCAGAATGTAATCAATATGGCTGGAATGTTGTTTGGCGAGTCCCATATAAGTGGAAATGTTGAAATCGCATATTGGTGGCAAAATATCTATATTTTTTAGCAAAACAAGGAAGGCGCTGTGCATTTGTACACACTTGATCCCAGTGCCATATTTGCTGACTGCAAAAGATGAAAAGGATGAAAGGTCCTGTTGGTGACCTACGCATATATTCCAAGCTTCCGCAACTACGATTATGTCGCTTTTTTGGAATATATCACTATTATATTAATAAATCATTAAGATATTAAGTAGAATCTTCTTTCAGATCGTCTGTACAACATAGGAATGTGACGAGATGTAAAATTTGCCTCTGAAATGGATGTAGGTCGAATAATTAGTCATTGATTTGGTTCCGTACGGGCAGAGAGGATCGTGCTGTTTCGGGCATGACACTCCATTTTCTCTTGAGTTGTCTAGAACTCCATTACAATACAATTCCAGAACCAGATTTAATTAATGCTGTGGTCTCGGAATAGGACTTCCGACAAATAAAAGATGCACACTATATTTGGATAAAGTGTAGATGGTTATCACTTGATTCCCTAAATCTATAATTCTAATATGTACTCATAATCAGGACTTCGTCATTTGCACGCAGAGCTGATATTTGCTCGACATGCCAGTGGAAATAGATATAATTTGGCTTTGCTAATTTATATTCTAAATAAATTGCTTTATGATTGATAAGGAATTGGAATCACTTCTAATTTAAATATAATTTATAAATCTAATAAAATTTTTTTGTGAATAAAACTGAATAGTGTTGATTTCTGGAATAAATTTATTTTAATTATTTTTGTCGTCTTTCGTTTCTAATTTCACATATCTTTCTAGTTTCTCGTTTTGTAATTTGAAATATCTAAAATAGTATAATTATTTGGTTTATGAATTTGATAATTTTGTTTTTCTTGTCATATTTTCATTTTTTCTTTGTTAACCTCAAGCTCATGATTTAAGCTATCTGTGCTTGAATTCTTCAAGCAAATAAATCAATATAATTTCCTAATATAATAATTTAGGTAATTGATAAATGGTTGATGTTAGCCAAAGAAATTTTCAATGTTCATCCCGATCAATGCATTGCTGTACATTGTGTGGCTGGGCTCGGTAGAGCACCTGTTCTTGTTGCGTTAGCTCTCATGGAGGCTGGAATGAAGTACGAAGATGCCGTCGACCTCATTAGACGGTAAATGTTAGGAATTTTAATTTTTTATCTTCTTATATCTTCAATAATTTTTAATTTTTAGCGAACGTTGAGATTGTGATGTTATTTCATTTAGGCATCGGCGTGGAGCGCTTAATCAAAAGCAGCTAACATTTCTAGAAAAATATAAGCCTACTGGACGACTAAGAAAATTGCGATGTAAAGTGGACGACGATAAAAATAACAAAACGTGCTCATTGATGTGAACCATTTCATTTCCTAATCCAATTTTTTTTTTCCATTTGTTTGCAAAAATTCAATAAAGGCCTTTTATTTATGAATTTTTATGGAAAAATTGGAAATCGGAAATACTGATGTTATTTAATATTTTGCTATTCTCTCAGTGAAATCCATTCATTTGGAGATTTTATTTTGAAGACATTTTTTTTCATTTACCAGTGAAGTAATTCCTTCTTTCATCTATTCTATTCTTGGAAAATAGTATGATTTTGTTATCTATTCCTTGCTCCATTTTCTTTTTTTTTTGAGGCCAGTTTCCAGATATCAGTAAACTTTTCGTTTTTTTTGATGAAAGTTCTACAAAAAATGTTTACATTTTTTTTGTGCCTCATCTATTATTTCATTTCTGTTAACACCACTTCATGTTTTTTAAAAAAAAAGTTTTTTGCTTTCATTCTTGAATTTTTTGTCAATTTTTATGTGATTTAAAATTTAAAAGAAGGGAAATTTATGCAATACAAGAAAAAGATTCATAAAAGAAAATATATTATTAAATTTTTATACAAGGGAAATTAGATAAAAAAAATATACCCGCTTCGAAGAATGAAAACAGGATGGTTGAATTAGCGCAACGATATAAAAATAGAAAGCAATCCAAATAGTTTATTCCTTGGCTTCTGTGTTTCCATTGTCTGGCTTCTTTCTTTTAGGATCGGCGCTGTCATTGCAATTTTCATTTGTATTTTCGTCTTCGCTTTCATCTTCTAAAAATGGGAAAGGCTGGACGAAAAAGCGATTGTCATAAGGTGTATTAGATTAGCTATTTCAGAATAATCAAAGAAACATTCTTGTGCCCATGCTTGCTGGTTTGCTTGTCAATAAGGAATATTTCAGTTGGAGGTTCTTGAAAATAAGAACAACAGTCTCACTATCACCCATAAAAAAAGATCCCAAACATCATTTTAGTGATTGGTTTAGTGATTAACTCGCTCGGAAAAGGAATCAAATTCGTAATGTCTGTCGATCTTGCAGAAGAAGCAGACGTAGGAATGGTCGAGTGACATCGCTGCTACGATCTGCATCAGTTCGTTCGCATTATACGTTCGATTACTTGCATCGGTAGCAGTAAAAAATAAAATGTGCTGGCAATCCACCTGTGCTTCTATTGTCAAATTCTTAGCCAGAAATGGCGGGCGCTAACAAATTTCTTTAAATCGAGTATATAAATCGAGGAATAAAAAAATAAAAAATAAAAAACGAAAGAAAAAAAGCTAAAATTTATATAATATATAAAATTTCATTTAAATAAAACATTTTATTATAATGAATTTTAAAATATAATATAAATATAATACTAAATAATAAATATAATACTATTAGATAAATATAAAATATGTTTCCATTTACCTTCCACGAATCTGTTGAACTGAGAAAGTATGATGCTGAGTGCATGAAGATAATTTCTCCGTTCCGCCAACTAAAGTGATAAAAGATAAAAAGGGAGAATAGAATTTTAAAACCACAAATTCATAATTGATCTAATAATCATAGGGATGATTTTAAAAAAATATTCAGTTTAATCAAAAATCAAATAATTTTGAATTAAATCTATATCAGGCTCAATAATGGAAATGTTAACTCACTTTGACTTCTAACCTTCTTTGCTTTTCATGTTGTTCTTCTAGTTCCATTTTAATCGCTTGAAGTTTCCTGTAAAAAGTTTTACAAGAAAGAAATAAGGCAAAGTAAGGATCTCTGGATATTAAAAATAACGATTAATTATAACGACTGTTATCGTCAATAATAATTAGAATAATTTTATTTTGAATAAGAAAGAATTACGATCAATGGCAAAATCTCAAACTTTTTCAACTTAAATTCCAAATGATTCTCAAGTTTTCGATTCATTGTTCTATCATTCTAATTCAGCAACTATCATTGTTCGTCCGCAATAGAGACAAATCAACGTTAATATAATTTGCAACCAAAAAAAGCAAAAATTACATAGTTGTTTCATGTCGAGATGGAATTTTTTCAATCATTTTTGCAAGTAATTCATATTCTTCTTTATTCTTTCGAATACCCTTTGCTAAGACCAACTGCTTCTTTGTTAGTTGTATTTTCTCATTTGCTTCCAAAATTTGCGCCTCTAACAAAAAAAACTGATTAAAAAATTACCAGAATTAACAAAAATTTGCTTATGAATATCGTCTCATGAGCTAAATATTTTAAAATAAAAACGTGAAAACCTTTGATTGATTTAATTTAATTCATTTAACTATTAGTTATTAATTTAATTAACTTTTAATTAAACTAACCAATTTGACTAGCCAACTCCTTATAGGATTCGACTTGTTTTTCATTCATGGAACCGATCATAAGTTGTCGCTGAATTGCAGTTTCAGCTGCATCCAACATTTTCAATACTTTTGGCAATAAACTAAAAAGATAAAATTTCTTAAAAAAAAGGAAAGTTGCCTTATCTCATTCATATTGAATTTTAAATAAAAAATTTAGTGCTTACAATTGAACAAATGAAGTGAAGAAATTTCCCCCATTTTCTCACTTCATTTTCCTTTTATATAAACAATATAAAAATAATCGAATTTAAAAAAATCATGAAATACCTCGATGTCGATTCTGGATCCTTTATCATGCGAATTATTAAAGGAAGTAACGAGGCAAATCGCCTATCGTCACCACCACCATCACCATCTGCGATGAGTTTACGTATTATACACTCCTCATTCATCTTTTAAGTTTCCTTTAATAAATACTCGCACGAAATCATTGACATTTCATTAAGTCGTATAAATTGAAATGGAAAAATTTAATATTTAGACTAAAAAAAAGCAAAAAGGCATTTTTTTAGATTCTCTTAATGGCAATAAATCTCTCATTAAGAGTGACACTACTACTGGAAACTCATTAGTATGTCGATCACTAAGTCTAGATACACCTTATCCTGGTAACTACATCAATAATAATGGTTACACGACATTCGATACTTTCTTCATTATGTTAAAAGTTATTGAAACCGTAAAAATACACGGTGATCACCTAAAGTATATTCATAGTCGGCCAATGGCACCAATACCATCTTTCCTCAACGGTAATTTATTTTAATCACATCGTGCAATTTTCACTTTATTACATTCTTATAACTTTACGCTTTTCTTCCAGTTTTATATTCTCTCCTACTGAGACATTAATTCGTTCTTCAAACCGGTTGCTATAACTAATAACTAAATATATTATGAATATATTTAGCAAAGGTGGTAAGTGCCCATCGTTTCTGGCAATATAATTTCAATCGCTTTCAGTAAAGACAGAACTTCCCGTCGACTCACTAGTAAAGGTGGATTGCTAGTACCACAAATTTTTTAATGACGGGTTTATTCATGATAGACAGAAAACCCGTTGCTTTTCAATACAATAATTTATCCTATAAATTTCATATTCTTAACTCATTAAAAAACAATGCAATATGGTAAATCCATTCTTTCAAAATTATTTCGATAGAAAAAAAATTTATTTAGAACAAAATCAAAACGAATTTGATTAGGGACAACAAGATTTAGTATTATTTTAAGCTTTTGATTCAACGGCTTCAACTTTTGCCATTTTTTGTTGCCGATGACGTTTATTACGTTTATTATGTTTTTTAGCAAAACGTAAATTACGAAGGAATTTCTGATCGACACCCTTCATCGACATGAAACGATGCTTTTTTGGCTTTTTTATTCCATTCCTATGGTCTTTACGATCTGCAAAAAAAGTTAATAATTCCATTCCATAGTTAATATCATTTGATTTGATTTAAAATTTATAAAAAAATTTTAATGATTAAGAAAACTTTTTTAATCCTTTTTCTCAGAAATTTTTTCAATCGATTTGTAATAGATAACGAAAAAAAGTCAACTAAACAAATTTGCAAAATCGAGGTACTTTTCGGTTATGGCGACCCTATCAATCCTAATAACTGGAAAAGTAAAGCAAAAAGAAAAAGAATTTTAAAATCATTGTTGAATTGGTCTAATTTTTAACACTAATTTGGTTGAATAAATTATTCAAACTTATTTATTTAAATTGATTATTTATTTTGATTAATTTTTATCAAAACTTCGTAACGACGAAAAAAATTAGCTGGATTAATTCCTAATAGATCGAATAACTTTTAATAATTCAACTAAGACAAAAACAAAGAAATAAATAACGAAAAAAGCCATCGTAGTAGTTGAACAAATCTATCACTTGGAAAGAGTAAATTTATAAGTTTTCTATTTAAGCAAAAGAAAAAAGTAACAAAACTTGAAAGCCATAAAAATCTTCTAAATAATCTCGCAAAACAACTGTTTCTTAATTGTTATACAAATTGTTTCGTTTTTCTACTAAATCCTAGTATGCCACCTTTTTTTTCTTAAGAGTCCTCACCATTACTGGTTAAACTCGTTCCACTAGGTTGCGGTTTTGGGCAATATGCCAAGGAGTTCTTTGGCGATAGAAACACAAATGAGTCGCCGGCATCACCCGGATTTTTGTGCAGGTTTACTCCTGCGAGAAATCGAACCTTAGTGTCGGCGCTCCCAATTGCGCAACAACCCATTGAACCCTATTGTGCCACCTTAATTTCTCCATCTTCACCCAAATACCACCTGCATTAATAATACTAACATAAAGCGTCGCCTTCGTTGATTAGGACACATTCCATTCTTCGTCGGCCATCCCTCGAGATGACCCAAATTTCATTGCTGAGCCTTATGATAAATGGCGTCAAAAGCGAGGAAGATCAATCAAGACTTGGACTACTGCAACTGATAAATGGATTTAGAAGGCGGAAAAAGAAATGGCTTCTTTTAGCGATTTCAGCGATAATATCCGACCGAACAACTCGGAAACGCAACCTAACCTTAGAGTCAGTCGAACCGACCTAACTAACTAGCAATGGCTACGTTAGTGACGACGAGCTGAGACCGCGTGACCTGGTGATTTTAAAAAACTCCCCATTTTATTTGATTTAGACACAAAATATCCTTAAAAACCTCTCCACGTATAACGACGCGAAAGGAAAAAAAGAAAAAAAGGGGGAAACCCGCCGACGGGGAAAGTTTCATTTTTTTAAATAAAATAAAAAATTCACTAACTTTGATTATGATTTGTGTGATTCTTCGACTTCGCCATTTTCAAAAATTCAACCTAAAATCATTCACTTCCAACCAAGAAGAATTTTTAAACGAGAAAAATATCCAACAAAGTTCTCCCAAAAAAAGAACTTGAATTGGCTGCAAATTAGCTATTTTTAAGCCGCAGCTGCAGATCCTTTAAGTATTTATTTTGCTCAATGGGAGAATTCCTCATCAGTTCTTTAGTCCTGGATATTCAACTGAAGAAAGAATCCAGCGAACATAAATCACTTTTTAATCGTTTGGGAGGAAGAGGTGAGGGCGGGGGGGGGGGGGGGGGGTTTAGCGTGATGAAATGGCGAGAAGTGTCGTGAAATGGCGAAAATAAAAAGGCTAATTTGAAGTCGGCACGCTTCCACTCTTTTGACACGCGGAGTTTTATATCTTTCATTGGGCTATTCGTCGATATCATTGGATCTTTTTTTCTTTCTTTATGGATATCATCGTCTTTTTATCTTGGATCGTTTTTTGCCGATTCGCTATTTTGGCATTCTAATAAATTATGAACACGTTTGGTCTCGTCGTATCAGCCTTATCAGCCGTATTCTTCATTGATTAATCGTTGCTTGATCGTCAATTAATTTCTTGGAACCTTCACGAGTTTGCGTGTTATCCTTGCGCAGGGGCCATGCTAATCTTCTCTGTATTGTTCCAGTTTTACTATATGTTCATCGGAATGTTATCACATAGCGTCGCTGTTTAGGGGACATTCTCCGTCGTCCACCACAAGAGTTGACGCATATTTCGTTATTTGCTAAACCGTGGAACCGTTGGCGTCAAAAGCGAGGTAGGTCAATCAAGACCTGGACTGACATGGTCGGGAAAGATTTTGAACGTATTTGAATTGGACCAACAATATATACCAGCAACTTAGACGATGGAAAAAGGAATAGCTTCCATTACTGTCGACGAATGGCATCAGACCGCGCCGCTTGCAAGCGTCTTACCCTTGTAGCCGTTGGAGCCAGCCTAACCAGTAATGGTGAGAGCTGTTAGAAGAAGAAGAAGAAGAATTAATTTCTTGATAAGCCAATTGTTGGTTCGAATCTATTTTTCATTTTTTACGACTTTATAAATAGCTGATAAGGCTTTTTTTTGTTTTCCGCTGATCATTTAGCGAGAAGAAGAAGAGATGAATAAAACTTTCTAAAATTTCTAAAATATTAAAGTGATAAAGTGATAAGCAAAGAAATGTTGTAAAAATTAAATTTATTAAAATTTTCTTATGAAAAATATTTCAAATGCAAAATCAAAAATAGGAAATATTTTCCAAGAGAAAATATTTTTAAATTTTAAACAGAAAATAATTTTTTGTCGATGGAAAAATTTTGCTATAAATTTGAAATAATTTGAAATAAAATATTTTCTAATTTTTGCTATTGAATAAAATTATTTTGGCAATTTGACATCACCAAAATGAATTTTTTTCAATCAAATTTTTCTTAATTTGTCACTAACAAATATTGTTTTTTTTCTCGAATTTTTTGCTGGTTTTTGAGATTCTATTGATTAGAAATTTATAAATTTTTGGCTTTCATTTATTATTATTTTAATTATATTATATTATAATTATATAATTTTAATAATTATTAATTATCGATTTATTAATTATAATAATTATAATTATCAAAGAACTGCGGCTAAGATTTAAATAAAAATATTTAAATATAATCCATAAATTATAAATAACAATGTCAAAAAGAAGGAATATGATAATATTAGAGAAAGAGGAAGATGTGGGAATTAAAGGCCGGTGATAATTATCACCTGGCTTCGCAATAAATTCCAGGAGCAACATCTCTATTCAGAATGGCGCACTATTACAGCTAAGATATACTGCACAAAACTCTCAAAATCTCAAAATCTCCCAAGCAAGCTTTAGTAAAGGATCCGAGATTGAGGATGATCATTATCACCCAGAGAGGATAAGAAGAAAGAAGATTTTTTTTTTATTGGTTATCATTTAGATTATAATTTCTAGCATAAAAATTTTGCAGATCCATTTGCTATAAATTTGCAAAAATAAAAATTCGGTTGGTGCTGAGCTTACTCATTTGTGCTTCATTCCCAAGTGGCATTATCTTATAATTGTCTCATTCTATTATCAGTCCATGAAATAAGTTGGCTGTCTTGCTGAAAGATAATTTATTAATATTGAATTTATTTTTTAGTTCGAAAATCTCGATTTTAGCTATGGTTTCATTTATTATAATAGGTGATCGTTTTTTAAAGAGATCTCATGTAACTACTCATTATAACCGGTTAGACTCACTCCGCTGGACTAGGCAAATTTCGCTTGGAGTTCTTTGGTGATGGAAATCCGGATGATGCTAGCAACATCGGCGCTCTCAGTTGAGTAACAACCCACTGAGCCATTCTACTCTCCTTCGTTTTGCTCGTGTCGTCCGATGAAGCAAGGTGTGTCGGCCAGATAAAACTCGATTCTCGGTGGCAGTTATTTTGCCGTTGAGCCACGACGTAACTTAAATGATAATGATTAAGTGCTTATCATTTATCATTTCCGTATTATTATAATTATTTCTATAGAAATTTTTATAGTAACTATATAGAAATAATAGTAATAATTATTATTATTTCTATATAGTTTCAATGGGTATTAATAAAATGAGAAATTTTCGCCACAAGGTTGAGGATAGAAGATATATGATAGAGGATATATGGGTAAATATATGTGTATAGATGGGTCAATAGCAACACCACTGAGATTTGCAGGCCACAGATCTGAAGCAGGATCTGAACCTCGATGCTCCAGGCAATAATCTGAACAATAAGCATTCTTCAGGTTATCTTTTAGTATTTCATGGTACTTAAATCATTTGAAAAGCAATAGGTTACCTCAACGGTTTTGTTAGTTATTCATAATATGTAAAGCATTGCATTTTAAACAATGAAATGCTAAAAATCGAAAATAAAAATTGCAAAAATTAGTAAAAATTCATTTCATGAGTATTCATGAAATTTTAGATATTATTCAGTCAACCATAATAATTCGAAATATTAATGTTTTTTTTTCAGAATCCATTATAATTTTTCAATATTCACATTATTTCTAGGTTTTTTATTATTTTACAAACGAATATAATTCGATAAAAAAGAAACAAATTTTATAATTTTTATTTTAAAATTTCATATAATTTTTTCGATTTTATTTTTTATTTATTTTTATTTATTTTTTTAATTATAAAATATTTTTATTTCATATTTCATTTTAAAATCATTTGAAAAATTCTTATTCTTATCATTAAATTTACTTATTATTATTCCTTAAATATTATCATTAATGAATTGGACAAAAAGAGAGATTAAGGATAAAGAAGAAAAAAAATTGTGACTTGTCAATTTGATAAAGGATGAAAATTAAGTTTAATCGTTCTTGACATCTCATTGCCAATGCTAAATTATGGATTTTTAAACAAAGGTTCTTATTTCCGAGGTGAATTTTTAGCGAAATAATTTTCACTAAATAGAGCAAATATAGTTCATTTTTGATATTCTTACAATTATTATATTTTATTTGTGCTATAATATTTTATTTAATTGAAATTGGTGGTGAAAATTTATTCAATAGTTCAATAGTAAATGTGTAAATGTGAAGTACCATCTGAGGAATATTCGCGATATTAGATTCTCTACGGATTTTATCAGATCAGATCAAGTTAAATAATAACTGAAAACAATAGTTAAGATAAAGTTTATCCGAAGATGGAGATTTTAATTTGTGCGAGCAAAGTTCCAATAGAATTTTAAAGAAGATTTTCTGCGATTCACCGTTTAAAAGAGCCAATTTGCCGAATTCCTTCAACTTTTCTCAATATATTTTAATCAATTTTAGAATTCATACAGTTTATAGTTTATACCAATGAAAAATTGGTACACTACGATAATCCTAGTCGTAAATGCCATTTCGCTATTAGCCAGTAGAAACCAGCGGTTGCTATTGCTAAGTTTGGCATTCATAGAAGAAAAATGCTGAAATACTGCAATGCATGTAATGAAAAATAGAAGGATTTCATGGAAATTACCTGAAGTAACTAAAAGAAAAAGTGTATTCCTCTATTATAAGATAACGGCAAACGCGATGCACGTCAAAAAATCAAGGATTTTGGCTAGGAAATTTATCCATTTTATAATTCCGACATTAAACTTTTTGATTTCCATTTGTCAAAAAAACAATTTTTTGCAATAATTAGCGGAGAAAAGAAATTTCATAAAAAACTTTCAATAATATTACAAATAATATTACAAATTTAAGAACTACAAAAAGTGAACCATTTAGTTGAGGAAAAGTTTTATATAAAAAATAAATATTTTTTTAACAATATTTAACAATATTAATAATAATATCAATATTAACAATATTTTTTATATAAAAAATAAATTAAGTAAACTTTTATTAAACTTTTATATAAAAATTTTACTGACTAATATTACAAATGCCAAGGACTGAAAGAGGAATTAGAGTTGTGAAAAGTAAAAGATCAAAGTAATTCCAGTGATAATTGGAGCACTTGAAACTGTGACTTCTAAATTGAAAATAGCTTCAACAAATTCCAGAAACAACAAATCTCCTAGGCTTCTGGTAGGAGACACCGGTTGAAGGTAATTATGACCACACACAAAGAGGTGAGAGAAAAAGTAATTTTTTTTTATTTATTTGATATTTTAACTAAAATTTTAGGGAAAAAAATATGAATTTATTTATTTTATACCCTATTAATATCGCCAATATTACGATACGATATCGATAAAAATTTCGATCTTATCGACTGTTTAATTGCAGAAAAAATTTAGCAGAAATGATAAATTATTCGTGTGTGTAGTGTTAATTTTATTTTTGGTATAGAGCAAAGATTTTGAACCAGTGAGAACATGGGATCCTCTGGTGCCTAAGAAGCCAAGTTTTGAGGAAGTTTTTCAGATTCAGATTTAGATTCTCGGAGTATTATCAGAGATCTCTACCCAGAAAAACGCTACTGGAATTTATTTCTTCTCATTTCACAACAATTGTTTACATCATTCGTACTTCCAAAAAATTTTTTGCCACTAATTCCTTCGAGCATTTCTTCAAAAAAAATTTTTTTTCTTTTTTCAAATGATTATTTTTTATTTTTTCTTCAATCCATTCATTTTGGTGGATTTTGTCAATATTAGTAAAATTTCATGTATGAAATCTTAATGCGAACAACCTCCATTTTCATCGAAACAAATCGCTTTTTCATTAAATTTTTTTTTCTAATAACTTAGTTACTGGAGTGAATCCATTATTAAAGATCCGAGTGGTCCTGCTAACCCACTTAGAAACCCATCTACATTTCTACACTTCAAGCGATTCACTGGCTAAAATAATTAGTAGTACTATAGTAATTGTTTGAAGCGAGGCAAAAATAGTAGACACTTAGCATATAATTTTTTTTGAGATAAAACTTTTTTTATATTTTATTTCAAATCAAATAAATCAATTGAGAATAGAATAGTTGAACTGACAGTTACTCAGTTCGGAGCGCCGATGCTGGATGGGTTTCTACTTCTGGCATGAGTAAATCTACTTGAAAATCCGAGTGATGCTAGCGACTCACCTATAGTTCTATCAAAAGATGCATAATTGTCCTATGCGACAAACTAGCGGAGCGGAGGAGAACTAACCAATAATGGTGAGAGCCATTTAAAAAAGGCTCCTTTTCCAGAGAATTGGAGAAACTATATCAAAAAACTATAGAATTAGAAGAGTCCTTGAAATCATGGAATCATCCAATGATCTTTTTGTAGTTAAATATAGTTAAAAGAATAGGCTTGCATGGCTAATTGTCAATGCGATTAGAAATTTTATCAGGAAATCTAAGAAATAAGTGTATCGACAGCATCAACCTGATTTTTTAGAGATAGATTCCTTTATTCCCTCACTTCCCAGGCACAGGAATTGAGCCTTTGCCTCTTAGAACGATAATCGAAATCATCATCCATCCTATATAAGTCAAATATTTTTGACACGTAAGAAAGGTCTTAAGGCATCAATTTCAATCTATAATCGTTGAAATCAAATTTTTATATTTTACAAGACATTTTTCTCGTTGATCGCCGATAAATATAAAAGTTTCAATATGAATTATTCGAGTTTCGCATCGATGCTATTTTATAATGGGACCACTATACAAATTATAAAACATATGTATATATGTATAATTTATAATTTGTGTTTTTTCGTCCCAAATGAATAAGGCTTATAGATTTTTGATTCAACTAAAAAGACGAAAAAATACGAATTTCATTGTTCGTAACGGAAACCGGAAAAGAAATAAGAAAAATTTCGCTTCTTTCTTAGTTGTTGTTTTCCATACTGACAGTTTCCTAAAAATTTTAAATTTTTTTTTGCGATTAATTAGGATAAAATTTATTTTCCATTTATTTATTTTTATTTTAAATTTTTATTAAATTAAATTAAATTAAAGTTTAAATTAAATTTTTAATAAATTTTTAAACTTAATAAATTTATTTTATTTTCCTTTAATTCAATTTTTAATTATTTGTAAATTATTTAAAATTTATTTATTAATTTTTAAATAAATCTAATTTTTCTTTTAATCACATGATTATACCTAATAAATAAATCATTGATGGCGGTTTGCCGAGTGGATAAAATCTCATGTGATCCTATCCATCTTCGCTCAAGTACTACTTGCATTAACAGTACCATTACAGAGCGTCACCTTTGCTGATTGGAACACGTTCTTTGTCGCCAATTACAAGAGTTAACACATATTTCGTTACTTGCTAAACCCTGTGATGAGTGGCGGTCAAAAGCGAGGTGAGTCAATCAAGACAATTAGAAAAGATTTCAAGCGTATAGATGCATCAGCAATATAAGGACCTCCAGATGATGCTGGTGACTCATCTGTACTTCTATCGCCAAGAGTCTTTCTAGCATATTTGTCCATGCCGACAAGCCAGAGGAGCAAGTTTAACCAGTGATGGTGAGGACTCAAAAAAAAATATATGGACTTAAACGATGGAAAAAGAAGTGGTTTCTACTACTGTCGATGATAGTATCAGATCTCCTAGCTTGTCCAGTGGAGCCAGCCTAACCAGTAATGGTGAGAGCGGTTAGAAGAAAATTTAATATATTTACAATTGCCATAAATAGAATGAAATATGCTGAAACGTCAAACATCAGTGTAAATCTTATATGAAAAACCCTATCCAGTGATTATGTTCCACAACATTAATTCATCTTTAATAATAATAATTCACTGATTCGTCGAGTGGTACATCGATCCAATTATAGGTTCGATTCCTGGCAAATTAATAAGCAAAAAAAAATGAAGGCGCTCACCATTTCTGGTTAGGCTAGTTTCATTGGCTGTTGACATAGTTTAAACGCTTTACCAATAAATCACTTTGAAATAGAATTATAGGCAGATTTCCAGGTTTTTTAATAGCGCCCTTACTCACTTCAGCTGAACTCTTATACGATAGTGTGAGAAATTATCCATTCTGATATCCTCTAGCCTCCTCTATTTCTATTTTATAATAATTCTCTTTGGCGAAATAATTCTTTCCTAATGGCGCGTGGAACCGGTTAAGTCAGAAATGAAGATAACTCTAGTTTTCCTGCGGGCAAAGTTCGAGCTTCGAGACGATAACCATTTTTTATTCCGTCTCTAAATATATGGAAAAAAATTTTATGAAAATAATGTGAATATCATTATGCATGACCAGAAACTAATGAATAATCAAAAGCAGTGAGGCTGAATGGTGCTAAATGTTACTACGAGTGGTGCTGGGTGGTGCTAAATGTTGCTACGAGTGGTGCTGAATGGTGCTCAGTGGTGCTCTGTTTCTGTTTCTAAAGTGATTCGCTGACAAAAAAATTTCACATTGAATGATAAGCGTTGACGTATTTTTTCTTTTTTTAAAATCGTGTATGAAAAAGATTGATGAGATTCGTTAACATTATTTGTTATTTGCAATGTTTGACGAAGAATAAATAATTTTTTCGAAAAAGTTTTTTTTCCGGCAAATCCGGAAAATTGCGTCAAATAACTAACTGATAATCCCAATAGAAATTCTTTTATTATAGCGAAAGCCAATTTTCTTATTTAGAAAAAAAACCGCTAATAACCGCCATTTTTCAATAGCAACTTATTATAGTGAGGGAAATTTATCTAAAAATTTTTTTGTTTTTATTTGATATATCATGCATAATTTGGCTTGCATACCATCATGCTAATTGCCTATGAATGCTATTTGAGGATTAAAGGATAGATTTAGAATATTACTATTATCATTGTTATCATATCATCATATCAGCTATTCAAAAATTTTATGATTATAATTTGCAATTTTTGCAAGAAAATATCAATATATATATATATATATATTTTAATTTTCTTTTTTCAAGCCTAACATTTTTCCCAACAATAATGGTACTAATAATGAAATTTTCAGTTCCGTTTCTACCGATTGAATTACTTGCAACACTTCAATTAATAATTTAAATTGTATTATCCATCTTCAAATTTTAATACATACTCGATTTATTGTTCTTCTTGAATCGTTAGGAATTATTTATGAAAAATTGAAAAATTTCTTCAAAACAAATTTCTTTGTTCAAAGTTCTTAACAAAAAATTAAACTTTATTAAAATATTTAAACTTTAATAAAATCAAATTTTATAAATAATTTTTTATAAAATTTATAAAATTTATAAAATTTTTTATAAAAATTTTTTATAAATTTTTTATATAATAAAATAATTTTTTTTTTGTAAATTTTTTTTTAATTTTTATACACCTTTGCAATTTTTTAATTTTAATTAATAATTTTATTTAATCGAATTTCGATTGCGTTTTGCAATAATAATCAATTAATTAATCTCAGAAAGATAAAATCGCGAAAAAAAAAGAAGAAAAGTTTATGAAAATTTTTTTTATTTTTATAAAATAATTTGTTCATTTTCACGATAATTATAAATTTAAAATTCTAATTTATCTACGCATCATTCGCTTTATTTTAATTTATCGAAATAATTCATTGGTTTTAAATAAAGGAAGAAAATAATTTCCGCGAGTTTTTACGGGTTTCTGTTATGCTTTTCGCACGAAATATATAAATTTTTCCTTTAATTAAATCGCATTCTTATTAATGTCCCAGCCTGATGTCCCAACATGTCCCAGTTCGCATTGTTCTGCATGTCCTTCCTGGCATTATTTCCCAACATGTCCCAGTTCACATTATTCTGCACGTCCTTCCAGGCGTGATATCCCAACATGTCCAAGTTTATCTCAGCTGGCATTTTTATTAATAACTCAGCAGTTCGCATTCTTATGCACGTTCTGCCATGTTCCTAGTATTATTATTGTTTTTGAACAAGTTTACTCATATCACTGGGATGCAATCAGTTTCAAACAGTGTCTTCTCCAGCATTTTGGTGTTACTTCAAAATGAGCGAATAGCCTCTCTTCGATAAAGAAATATTTCATCTAGACTGCTTAAGACTAAATTAGATGAAGCAAATGATAGGAATAAGTACATGCTTCACTAGGCTCGTTTCCTTTTGGAATAAACCTATTATTAGAAGTAAAAATCTGGGTGGCGCTGGAGAGTTGTGGGTGGGCTTACTTCATTAATTCTAGCGATAAAATTTTAAAAAAGGCTTATATATATAATATATCTGCCAATGCTAATTGGTTTTGCGCAGTTTTTTGCCTTTTTGAAGATTAGATTTTCATTTTCCTGGTGCTAATCTTTATAATTCGTATATTCTTTTTGCTTTTCGATTCGCTTATATAGTGGGCTTATCACTGATAAGACAGTATTTCGCTAATATACTATAATTTTTATTATAAACTGATGATTTAAAGAAATTAATTTTAGTATAACTATTCTTTTCATAGCTTTATTATTTTAGTTATTATTATTTTATTTTATATATCTTAGTTATTATTTTCTTATCCTTTTTTTTCTATATCACTCAATTTGCTTTTCAATGATATTTTTATTTCAGCATTTCGCTTATATAATTGGCTTATCACCAACAAGATAGTATTTTGCTGATGTAGTGGCCTTATCATGAATAAGGGTATTATTAGGTATTATTTACCAGTTGGCAAATTTCTTTTTAGAACCCAACTGGTTATCCCTTCGCACAAATCTTATCCACAAATGGCTCTTTGGTTATGATGCCTCATCCGATAGCGAGCATAACCAAAAAATATTAATCATCGATAATAATCATTAATGGAAGTCTGCGCATTTGTAGGACGAATTTGAAAAATGATCAAGCGCCTTTTTACAATGATAAAATACTAAAAATTTCATTATTAACTTATATAGATGGTAACAAAAGGAAAGCCAAACGAGGTGGAATGCGAACAACAGGTTCTAATAAATCAATTGCATACGCTTGAAGCGAAAGTTTTAACAGCGAATCTCGCACTGCCCAAGCAGTTCAAAATGAAACTTGAGGCAAGTTTATCACAAACCAGGTTTATTAATATTAATATATATTTTCGATATTAATAATTAAATCTAATGCAAATAGAATGAGACCATTCCGAATACTCTCTCGAATTTTACCGATATAGAACAGCCAAGTGATTCAGATTATCGTATTTAAGCGTAAAGATTCTATTTTTGCTCTTGGCCAGTACAAACATATTTTAATAATCGTTAGTGCTAGCGATATACCTCTATGTCCATCGCCAAGTATGCTTACCTCTCAAAAATTTCTTAGCGATGCTTTCTGAAATTTTCACTATATGACGATTTAAAGAAATTAATTTTAGCACAATTATTTTTAACTTTTCTATTATCATTTTCTTCTTCATTTCTTTAGTAGTCTTATTTATCAAATCTAATTTATCAAACTGATAAATTGATAAACTTATAAATGAAATATCATGAAATATTAAAAAAATATAATAGTTTATCACTAAGACGATTTTTTCATCGAATTTTTCACGTCTCTGGCACATTTTTCTGGCTTTTAATGTTGCTTAAAAATTATAGAATAGAATAGGGAAATTTTCTTAAATTTTGCCCTACAAAAACAATAAATATTACAGGCAGCCGATCCAAATGCGATGAACAAAATGGGTGAAACGCTATTAATAGCAACTATCAAGCACTTGGAATCTAAGGAAGATCGAGTTCTCTTCTTTTGCTTTAAAATTCTATTTTCATCTCTCTCTTTCTTATCACTGCAAGAAAAAAAAAATTTATCATTTTTTGGTTTTCTTCAACAATGTGATATGGAACATTGGCTTATTGACTTTTTTTACCGAATTTTCTTCCTTAATATATATTTTTTTTATAAGAAACATCCATAGGGAAATTGAGAAATCCATTACGAGGAATGGAGAATTTTTTCTAGTTAGAAATGAAAATCGTAAATGCTTGTAGTTTATGCACTTGCTGACTAGTTTCTTCCTTTTTCTTATAGTATTTATGGCTGAGCAAACGCTATTGGCCGATAACAGCTGATGATAGCAATAGGTGCCGTGAGACAATTTGGAAGTTATTAAGTCTTAAAAAGGATCGAATCGCAGTATCATTCGAATTTCACCTTTAATGAAACATTTTTCCTAATATTTATTCATTACAACAATAAACTAAAAAAGAACCAAGCAATTCAAAATGAAACTATCAACCAGGAACAATACCAAAGATCTCTATCCAGGAGAGCGCACTTAATAAGCAGTTAAGATACTATGCAGAACCCTAAACCTTATTTTTATGCTTTTCTTAAGGCTTCTCGTAGAGGAACCGAGGAATTTATTAAATTACTAAAGTTCATGATAAAGATTATCATTATTATCATTTCATATTAAAAGCACGAACAAAAAAATTTCATGTTCATTTCATTTCATTGCATTTAAAAATTTCTAGGAAGAAATCTGAAGAAAAAAAAGCATAAAAAATAAACATTAAATATTAAATCCAGTGAATTGATTAGCATTTTTTATTGGAGGAAATTAATTGAGACCGATGATTAAATTCCTAATCTTAAAAATTTCTTGAATTAATCTATGCTTTCAAATATTTTTAAAAAATGCGTCGATTTTTTTATTAAAATTCTACGGTTTCTATGATTTTCGTGATAAATGATAAAATACATTAGTCGACGTTAAATTTTCGTTTTCTTTTATAGCTAAACTTGCTGCTGCATATTAAAACATTTTAAATCATTAAATCATTAAAAGTATTAAAAGGCATTTTCTTTTTTATGATTTTAGTGATTTCTTTAATGATTTAATTGATAATAACAATAATAATAAGAATAAAATAATTATCTAATAATGATAGTACTACAGTAATAATAATGCTAACAATAAAATAATAATACTGATAACAATAATAATAAGTAATAGTAATAATAGTAATAAGTTTAATAATAATATTAGTAATAATAATAGTAATAAGTTTATTAATTTTTTTTTTATATTTTCTTTTTATTTCATTATTTCTTATTTTATCTGTTGTTATTAATATAAGTATATGACGTTTACAGTTCTGCTTGGTTAGTTTTCAATAAATTTGAATAATAATGATAACAATAATAATAGTAATAATAATATTAATAAATGATGATAACAATAATAATAATAAAAGGGAATAAAAATAATAATAAATCCATTTTTTAAATATTAATATTAATAATATTAATAAATGATGATAATAACAATAATAAAAATAAATCCATTTCAATCGAATAATACTTTATATATATATTTTCATATTTCATTAATAATAAATGATGGTAAAAGTGCATATTGTTTTTCATTTACATATTTAATAATTTATCAACGATAAAGAAATATTTAATGGATAGAAAATAAAAAAAAGAAAAAAATGAACTTTTGAATTAAAATTATCTTTAATAATGAAAAAAAGAAATTTTATAGGGATTTTAAATAAATTTCTTAAATATATTGTTAAAAATTTAAAATTTTAAATTAGTTTAATAAGAAAAAAAGCAATTTTTTCTTTTCATTTCCATTTTTTACGAATTTTTTATTAGAATAGATTTATTATTCAAAAAAAATAGATTAATTTCTTTTAAAATTTTCAATTATAGGATTTCCTAATTTTCGGTTCATTTTTGAATAAATTTTTCTTCTTCTAACCATTTTTGATTTTCGCTTATTGAAAAGCTGAGATCCTAATTTTACCAAATAGCCACTTAGGAATAAAATGGCCACCAGAATCCATTATCCAGTGTTTTAATAACAGGCTCACTCTCATTAAGAAGTGGGAATTGAGTCGTTGATAACTTAATCTATGGAATAGTCGATAGAACATAATATTCGACCATCAGATAGCTCATTCAGTTCATTAAGCTTATCTACTTCAACGATATTAGTCGTAAATAATATTTTTAGAAAAAAGAAATTTTTTCTTTCATCCTTAGGAGATTGAAGGTTGTGCGCCGTGTCTTAGCTTATAGATCTATTATTTCTAATAGTTCTTCTGGATGGAGATCTCTGATGTTTTTCCTGGAATTTGCTGAAAACATTTTTCCACTTAAACCATTTTTATGAGTCATAGTTCCAAATATTCCAATTATAATTGAAATTACTCTAGCTCTTACTTTCACATCTTCTATACTGTCGCTTTCAGTCCTTAATGCATTTTTATAATTCTGGGGATAGAATGGCTCAGTGGGTTGTTGCTCAATTGGGAGCGCTGAGGTTTGATTCCCAGCAGAAAGCCTATACAAACCTATACAAAACCTATACAAAAATCCAGGTGATGCTGGCGACTCACCTGTATTTCTATCGCCAAGGGATTCCCTGGCATATTGCCCAATGCCACAAGCCAGTGGAGCGAGTTTACCCAGTAGTGTTGAGAACTTTTTAAAAAAGAAATTCTGGATTATAATAAGGATTTTCCTTAGCAATAATAGTTGAAAAATAGATTTATTATAATAAGAGCAATTAATAAAAAGAATGATGGAGGACTTATTTCCATCGCAGCATAAAAAATTAAAATAATAATTTTTAGATAAAATATTTAAAACTTCTGCTAAATAATGGTGCAAAAATAAACGATCAAGATCGGCGAGAAAAGCGAACAGCACTTATGTACGCGTGTTTGGAGGATTCGAGAACCGACGAAGGAATAATTTTATTAAATATGGTTGGATGGAGAATTATTCGAATTGAATCTTTTTTTTTGCTTTTGACTTACTTATCACTTAACATTTTAATCATTTTGTGAGGATTATTCAAGGAGGAATATATTTTTCAATGAATTTAGTGGAAAATTGATGCCATAGCGATGCTATTTTCTAAATGAATTCATTGCATTCTTCCAACTTTTTTTTCCAGAAAAATTGCAAAATACAAATCCAAGATCGACTTGGAAACACAGCCGTCATGTATGCAGCAATGAAAGGAAGGAATGAATTAATGGAAGAAATTATTCGACATTTATCTATGGTGATAATTTACTTGATAATTGGTTACGATTCTTTAAATAAATTTAAAAATAGCTTGTAAAAATAAATTTTTTCTCATGAATGCTCAATATGTTATCAAATTTATTATCAACTTCACTATCAACTTAATCATTTGAATAGAAATTTGCATAAGTCGTTTCGACTGATAATCGATACATTCTCGGAAAATCCTCTTTGAATTATCCTTAGCGTCTTAGCCGCGTATAATTCCTTATAGTATTGGCTATAATCCTATCTTTCTATCTTATAGTTAAAATTACTTAGTCATTCGAAAAATTACTCTTTTTTTTAGGAATGGAGCTTAGCCGCATTACAACTTAAAAATTGCATGGGTCATACAGCTGAAGATCTCGCTATTCGTAATGGTAATCATCGTTGCGCCCGAATCGTTCAATCTCAAGTGAATTCGAGTTCTTTTTGCAAAAACAGCTTTCCTTTAATTTCTAAGCTGTAATAAGAATCATGAGGGAGGAACTGGGAGGAAATGGGGGGGAGGGGAGAGGAAGAGGGAAAAGGGGAAGGAGATCGCAGAAGCATTATCTGAATTTCATTTCCAATAAAAGATTGCTCGATTATTTATTCCCTTCTCAAGGGCGAAAAATTGAACTACAATCGAAGCAATAAATCGTTCAGTATGTGCAATATGTACATATATCATTCGAATACCTTATGCCTTGGCCTCAAATCGTATTTGCATTTTTACAAGGGAAAGGCGTATGACTGCAGGGTCAGTGAGCTGTTGCTCTCATTTCTGACTATCGATGTTGAAATGCTTCACTGCAAGAAATCTGAGAAAATCCGGTTCATCCATACTCCTATCGCTAAGATTTCCTAATAAAAATTTGTCTAATAGTTATATTTGATTTAAAATGGGCGGTAATCCGGATGGCTTGCTCATATTTACAGCTTTTTTCACCATTCGGCGACACTAGCGCTGACAAAATCTGTTATACATATAAGCACTCCTATGAGCAAGCATCCCTACCAGTTTCCATCTGAGCTTAATAAGATAATAATGATCTCGGCTATCCTTAAATTGATTATCCCATTGATTAAGTCAGCGAAGTAAGTCGAACCAATTCGAAATTGAAATTGCACAAATGTAAGTGTAATTACATATATAAATCATAAGATTTCTTTAGAGTTACTTACATTTATTAAGTACATTTATTAAATATTACAAAAAATAAATTTTAATAAGTTAGATAAGATAATTTTACATGAAATTTACCAAGAATTCTTAACTTTATCGTTTAATTTTTCATGGCTTTTTTCTTCACTGTAATCATCACTAATGATTTTTGCTTCATTATTTTAACTTTTTTTCCTATTTTTCTTCTTCAATAAGATTTTTTAATATTTTAATGGAGAAATTTTTTAATGGGAAAATTTATTCCATTGCGCTAGGAAAGATTTTCGAATAATTTTTCATGTAATACGAAATCCAAATTATTTTTTCTTTTTAAATTCGCTTTTTTTTGTCATCAAATTGATTTATTCAAAATATTTCATATGAAAATATCTCAAGGGAAAATTTAATCTATTTCAATCCATTAAAGAAGAAAAATAGACATTCTTTTGAAAATTCGCTTTTTAATACATTGCAATAAAGATATTTTAAGAGGTTACATATGTTATCATGCATGAATCATCAACTGATAATGATGGGTCGGATAGGATGTCGTCATTGGGGCGCATTTACAGCTTTATATAAATGCGCTGATAAGTTAGAATTTTTTTATTTATATTTTTTATATTTTAAATAGCATATTTATATTTTTCAATTTTGCCAATTATATTAATAATAATTATATTAATTATAACATCAATAATAATAATAAATACAATAAATTAATAAATAACAATATTAATAAAAATTTCAGGATTCTTTTTCTTTTTCAGGATTCTCTTTAAACTACATTCCATCATTATTTATGATTATTTGACTAGTTTCTTACGGCCATTAGAATGAGATTTCTGCATCAAAGATCACTAGAAAATATTTCATTTTGAATTTAATTCTTATTCAGATATTCATTATTCATATAAAGGGACAAAAACCGAAACTTTGGTACTGTGGTACTTTGAAATGTTATATTTGCACCTTAATTTACAAGTTAATATGCAAACTCAGTAGAGCCAAGTGCGTTAAAAAACAAAAATTTGCGATAATTTCAGATGGAAGCCTCGTCAACGAAGAAAATCGTGCGATAGAGCACGTAGAAATTTAAGCGTTCAACCTGCCAATGTACGTAAAGCTTCGATGTAATTCATTAATTTTTGTATAGAATGGTTTTGCCGATGGTTCCGATTTCCGAATCCAGTCGACTTGTTTGTTTATTTCCTTCAGTTTCTTTCATCTGTTGTTATAATCTATGATTATTGAGCATGAATGAAATTGATGCATGAGATTCCACGTTCTAAAAATTTTTGCGTATCGCAAAAAACTCATTTCCTCAAGCATTCCTTTCCAGTAATTTTGCTATTTTGTATTTGCTTGCAATTCTGTAATAATTTTGTAATTTCGCATTTGCTATAAAAAATTCTCAAAAAGAGATTTTCTTCGCTAAAATTCATTATCACTCAAGGAAAAAAAATCTTTCACATCCTTTCACTATTTTACTATAATAAATTCATAATTTCATTGGTTTTTTATTTTTTTGTATTTTGATCGATTTTAGGAAATTTCATATTTAAAGAAACTTTATTTATTTATTTACTTAAATCATTGAATTAAATTTATTGCAAATCAAAATCGAATAAGTTATCATTAAAATAAGTTAAATCTCATAACACTAATAATAAATTTAACGAATTTTTTTCAAATAATTTTTAATACTTACGATTGACTTTTCTCATGTTAAACATTTCAAAAATGAAAAATTTTTAAAAACAACGTAAAATTACAAAAAAAAAAATTTCTAAAGAAATATTTTTTTTATAAAAAATTTTTGCCAAATATTACAAACATTAAAATTTAAGAAAAATAAAAAGATAAACTCATTTCATTTTTTTCATTATTATTAAATGTTAAAATTAATAAATAAACAAAAATCGAAAAAAAAACAATAAAAATTAGTAATTTCACCCCTTCTTATCGAAATTAAGTTAATTTACACGAATTTAATGAATTTCGCACTTTTCTCTTTTTTTTTCATGGAACTCACCACTTAAACTGATTTGATTAACTTCATCTCTTATTTGCATTGAGGCAAACATTATAATATATTATTATTATATTATTATAATAATATAAAAATTATAATTATTATAATTAATATCAAATTACAAAAAAATGATTGAAATAGCACCACGAAAATTTCAGTTTCAATATAAATTTATTCCTTTCAAAGCAACGAAGCCAATTGAGGAAAATATTTCATCTCAAATTTCGCCTTTAAAAATAATTTAATAATTTACATCCACAAGATATTTATTTTTTTATTTTAAAATATGTTACAAATGAAATAAATCAAATATAACAAAAATAAAATTACGCAGTGAAAAATATCGTTAAGATAAAATACAATTAATAATTAAATTTTTCTTTTTTTATAATTTGAAAATAAAGGAAAATTTTGAGATGAAAAAAGGAAAATAAAATAAGTTATTTCGCTGATTTAGCGAGAAAAAATTTTCTTTCATTGATTCATATTTGGATATATTTTTCCATTTCTTAAATACATCAATTTGAAATAAAAAGGAAATCAACTATTTTTATCAAAATATTACAATTTTTAAATGATAAAAAATATAATAAGCAAATATGCTGGGAAATGGAAATAATTTTCCAATCTTGGATTATCATTTTCATTTTTATTTTAACTCATCAATTGTTTAAACATCACTAATTTTTATTTAAAGAAATTCATAATTTATTATCTTTCAATTCCATTTTTTAGGTTTATAAACTAATATATATAAACAAAATCGCTGCGATTCGCTCACTGATATCATCTATTATTCCGAATTAAATCTATAATTTAAATTAATTTCTATATAATAATTACTCGCTAAATATAAATTAATTATGGCTTCCATATATATCTAAAATCCTATAGAATTGCAAAAAATTGAGGTCAACAAACTAAACGAATGTAATATTTTAGCAATATTAAAAATTAAATTAGATTAAATTAGATTAGCAAGAACGAGAGGCATGGCATATTCTGCATATAGCACCACTGCTTCTGCAATATGCTTTGCTCACTGTAATAAAGGCAAAACCAAATAATAACATAAAACCCAGAAAATCGCAATCGAGTCGATCATGATCTTCACAAAATGAATAATCTTTGTGGCAATGTCAAATAAAAACCTAATAAATAAAATTAAGACTATAACATTTGCTAGGCAAATATATGAATCTTAAGATGAAAAAGAAGATTAAGAAGAAAGGATATGATATATGCTAATTAGAAAGCTTTCAATATTCACTATTAGGATATTAGCAAAGAAATAAAAAATATTGCCGCGAGGGCATATTATTAATAAAACAATGAGCATGACAAAACTAATATGATTTTGAGATGCAAAATATAATAAAAAAAGGTGAAATATACATAATAAATTTTTCTTGGCTGAAAAATGAAAAAAAATGCGAATATTCTTCAGTAATAGTATGATTAATCCAATCAAAAAAAAATATTAAAATAATTCATTTTTTAAAAAAAGATGAATTTTCGGTTTTCATATGATTTATAATAGTACGTAAAACTAAATCATAAACGTTGAAACCTTTTTTAAAAGAATTATTTAATAAAATATCTTTGTTCAAAGCGATAAGATTACGAAACAAATAAATATTGAAATTGAAAAATTGAAAAAAAACAACCGTACAATTTATATAACATTTTTTGAATGAAGTCAAAAATTGAATTAGAAACACGTTTTGCCATATGAGGATATTCTTAGGTGGAATTCTATTCCTGAAATTTTCTGATGTATTTGTTAAGCTTCAAATAAAAGATAGCACAATAAGAAAAAAACAAAACTTTACCTCAATTTTAACTCTTTTAGAGTCGCCATCCATCGGTTCTACTGAATGATCTCTTTTATACGAATGATCACCACGTCGACCATCGCCTTCGTTTTCGCCATCATAAAATTCTCCTTGATCAGCAACCATCGAGTCCGCGATAGTATCTTAAACAACAGATCATCAAGTAAATAATGTTGTATTTTCATCAAAATCAATTATCTGAATTAAAATATTAGAATATTAGAATTAAAATATCACGAAAATTAAACAGTCTATTTCTGGCTAGTTCTGAATATGCCAAAAATCTAGATAGTGCTAACGATCCACCTGTATTTATATCGTCAAATGACCCTTTGGTAAAATTTATCTGATCGATAAACCAGTCCAGTGAACTGAACCAAAAATAGCACATTATTAGAAAAAAATAACATCACCAATGTTTTTGATAACTTTTTGACTGCTTTTTCCCATTTAAAAATTAGTTCACAAATTCCTTTTTTTGCAAGCTTGCAACTCTTAAAGACAACTAAATGTTATTCGCTTTTTTCTCGTTCTTTCCTACCATATATATGACAGTATTTCTCTGCCATGCAGGATTATTGTTGGTAATTTTCCGCTAACAGTGATTGGCATTTACAATTAGGATTATCGCAATGTACGCATTTTTCATAACCCTTCTGTGCAAAAGAGATCTCTTTTCTTAGAAAATTTAGAAGGAAATAAAACTGATAAGGATTTAAGGTGGTACTCTAGTTTTTGTCGATCCTAAACACTGATCTTATTTGATTTCCACATGGAAGATGGAGGGAATAATTTTTTTCCATCAATTTTTTTTTACACATTTCATCTAATGCTTATTTGGGATTAGCTTCGATTTTAAATAGCAAAATCTGCACCATTTTTCTCAATAAGGTCTGTTAGATCTTTAGACATTTTGTAAATTGACATTTTGTAAATTGAAGCTTCTAAATTTCAAATATTATCTCTGAACTACTAAACTAGCTTTCTCAGCTTTCGGATAATTTTCTTGGATTATTTACCCAGTGAAATTTGTAGAGCATGTAATATTGGAAATATTCTTCAGATGGTATTCGTATTCCATTACTAAACTGTAAGATAAATTTTCACCAAACTCAACTAATCAACCATATAAAATCACAATATTACTAAATAAGCACTAGAGAAGTGTTATGTCTGTTCTTTTTAAAGAAAAGCACTACACTGAAACTTTACCTACGAAAAAAAAACAAAATTTTGAGAAAATCTATTAAAAATTATCAAAAATAAGTTTCACTGCATTTAAAAATTTTACAAACAAAAAAAAAAATGCAAATACCAATAAAATGACTAATAACTTACGATGCAACCGGATGTCAGGATTTGCGAGATCTTTCGCTGTTTCTTCATTTTCAATGATTTTAGTTGAGTCTTCTGGAATCGACTGCATTTGTACACTAGGAGCAGCAGGCAAATGACGTAAATTTTCCATTACTCCTTCTCTAAAAAAAAAGAAAATATTAATCATATGTAAAATATAAGAAAGAAATCGATAGTATAAATAAAATGCTAAAAATAGAATAATTAAACAAAAAAGAAAAGAAAATAAACTTACTGAACTCGCCGAAGATAATCAGGAGTATTTTCATTAGTGGCATTTGATGGTTCAATATGTAAACGATAATGTGGACCAAAATATTCGAAATAATCATTATAAGGAAGGTCTGAAAATGCAAATCGATCACCATATTACAATCATCATACTATATAATTTTATTTGAATCCGATTGCCAAAAATAAAAAACATTTTTTTGTGGCACAGATAATTTAAAATGAGGAATAGAATTGTGCAAACTGACTGTCCAAAATAAATAATTTACCATCTGAAACCTCCATATTGACAGCAATTGATGTTTCATATGTCCAACAACGAGCTACATTACGAGGAGTGTAACCACCACCACCTAGCATCATCATTGGAATATTTTGTTCACGCAAGAATCGCGCACACGCTCCATGACCTTTTAAAGATTTTATGTTTTATGTTGTAAATAAATATTCAAAAATACATATATTTTATGCTGCGAATAAATATTCAAGAATGCATAAAAATAAATGGTATCAAACAATAAAAAAGAAATAAAATATATAAAAAATAGCAATAATAAAAAAAATAAAAATAAAAACTAAAAAACAACCTTTAAGAGTCAAATTAAACGTTCCTAATCGATCACCATTGAGAGAATCTGCACCACATTGTAATACTATAGCTGAGGGTTGAAAAGTTTCCAGAACTTTTGTCATCACCTGAAATATTTTTCAAGCACTCATAAATAGAATCGCCACTTGAGAATGAAAAGAAAAAAATAAAAAAAACCGGAACAAATATGCTCTGATATGCTTCGTCAGTCATACCATCCCGCAAAGGAACATTAACTGCATAATATTTTCCACGCGCAGCACCAATATCCTTCAACTCGCCTGTTCCAGGGAAAAAATCACCATACTTATGGAATGAAACAGTCATGACGCGATCTGTTATGTAAAATGCTTCCTCTACACCGTCGCCATGATGGACATCAATATCCACGTAAAGAACTCTAAAAAAAAATTAAGAAATTGATTGCAATAAAATAAAATCTAATCTGGTTGATTGTAATAAATGAAGAAAAAGCTGTGGAAATGCATCCTTTTATCGAATAACTTATATCGAATAACTTCACCTACCACTAAAAATCCATAAATAAAAACCACGCATCCCAGTCCATTTATCTCATCAATAAATCAACTATCAAAAACAACAGTGAATAATTGCTTAAATGCTAGTAAAAACATGTTCAAAATGATTTAATCAGTTCAGTTCAGTTTCAACATAAGTCGATCAAAATCAAAAGTACAATCAGAAATATTGAGAAATACACTTCTCGAATTCATTAGAATGATTATATTTTCAAATTTTTTACATTTTTAATCGAATAATCAAAAAAATGTAAAACAAAATATTTTTAAAAAATAGCTTCATTAGTTACAATGGAACTCAATCCTATCAAAATTCGGCCCTTACATCTTGGCGCAAAATACAAGAAATGAAATATATGAGAGCCAAATAAAAGCCCTTTTTTTATAACCCTTAAACAAGTTCGGTAAATTATTGGAACTAAGTTACTACTAAAATTTATGAAAAAAGCAATTATTTGTAAAAAAAAGAAAAATAACGAAATTTACCGTTTATGATATTTTAATAATTCTAAAATCCCTAAAACAATATCGTTAGTGTAACAAAATCCACTAGCTTCGCTTTTTTTTGCATGATGTAAACCACCCATCCAATTAATGGCAATATCAGCTTTATGTTTATTTAACTTGACTGCAGCGGCTAAAAAAATTCATCATATCATCAGACTTTTAAATAACTCAAAACTAAAAAATATCAGACAGAAGTTCTATGCAATATAATAAATATAATAAAAGCATAATAACCAACCAAGAGATCCACCACTAGAAAGTTGACAAAATTCGAATAAACCATCAAAAACCGGACAATCTTCTCCAACATTAACTGCATAAATTATTCATTTAGAAACGATAAACAAAAAAGGAATTAATAGTATAATTAAAATAATTAAACTAAAAAGCATGCAAATAAAAAAAAATACATTTAAGCATCTGCTTATTAAACTGTTTCAAATTATCTGGCGTAGCGGTTCGCAAAAACATCATATAATCGTGACTATGAAAACGAGTCATTTCATCAAACGACGCAGGGAACGGTCTCTAAAAATAACCTATTTTAAATATTAACAAATATTTTTTCGTTTTTAATATTTTGAAGCGATTTTAAAAGATAGGCCAAATCAGAGCAAAAATAATATTTAAATCGTATTTATATTAATTTCATATAGTGCGAAACAAAAAAACTATCTATAAAATCTATCTATTTATCTATAAAAGTACACGAGTGAAGAGCGCTGCTAGTGATCCATTTGTCCTCCATTCTGCACTTTAAATAAATTGAAAAAATGTCATTCTAACAACTACAAAAAATCGTATAAGAAATGCTTTGAAAAAATCATTTATTGAAAAATTAATGACTGGGCAATCTCTCCATAATAAAATCATGAATTAAACTTACATATACTTCAAGATTTCGATAGATCCCATAATTTAAAAGCAAATGATGTGTCATCCGGATTCGATGAGGTTTCATAACGTGTCCTTGGCCATAATAATAATTTCCAACGTTTGCTACAAAAAAACCTTTTTCTTTAGTTATAACGAAGAATCCTTCTTTTTCTCATCATCACTGGTTAGGCTGGATCCGCTGGCAACTATTCCATCCGACGCCATCGCTGACAGTAATAAAAGCCATTCCTTTTTGCATCCAAGTTCACATATCGCTGGTCCACCTATACTCGACTGATTGTGTTATTCCAAGTCTTAAGTGGACGGTACAGTACTTCGCCATTCGTCACAAGGTTTAACGAAATATGCGTCAATTCCTGTGGACGACGATGAACGTACCCAAACCAGCGAAGATGTCGTTTTATGATAGTACTGTTAAGTGATATTTGAGCGAAGGTGGACGCAATCATGTGCGATTCTATCAGCTCGTTGGATCCGTAATGAAGAATTTATAATATTGCATTAATTAAACTTACATTAACTGCATTAAATTGTTTTTTGAATCTTTCAACAGAGTTGAAAATTCTTTATTTTGTTCATTTTTAAATTTTTTTACTTGGGTTTTATATAAATTCCATAAAGTGCCTAAATAAATGGCAAAAAAACAGCGAGCTCACAGAAAAAAACACGGAAATGAAAGAAATTTGTAATGTTAATGGTACCATAAAAACTATAGCTATTTTTTGTATAAATAAAAAACAAATACAAAAATAATCACCATCATAATAATATGCAACACGACGTTTGCCATGTTCTTGTACAACTGGCATTCTTTTTCAATCACTTTTAGTTGGATAAAATTATCAATCGAATTATTATTAATTGTTATAAGATTTCGATATTCACTGTAAGAAAAAAAAATTACTAAAAAAATAAAAAAATAAATTTGTCGTTTTTTAAACAAAAATATATTAAAAATAATAATTAAATAAAACGAAATATATCGTTCAAATTATTTATGAAATTTTTTAAACTTTTACACTAATATATTTTTTCTCGAATATCAAAGAAAAATTTTTCATCAAAATCTCAATGAAAGAAAAGGAATTCCATAGCTACGAATCTACATGAAAACTACAAAACTCCTCTTCACCTTTACTCCCCCGCTCCCTTCCCCCCCCCCCCCCCCCCCCCCCCCCCCCCCCCCCCCCCCCCCCACCTCCCTCCTCTCCATTTCTATTCTAGAATCTTTTTCAACGGCGAAATAATCATACTGAATTACTGTGATGGCTGAAAGATGGAGATTTCTAATTTTCAGATCAAAAATAAAGCGGCTTTACAGACCACTAAGATCATAAATTCTCCGTATGAAATTAAAAAAACTTCCTCACCATTTATTTGCAACACTGTTTTACCAAATTCCAAATTCCCGCAGCCATAGTCATAAAGATTTGCCAAATTATCACTATCACAGTCATAAATTAAATCGATAGTTTTTAAATTATTTAAAAAAACACCAATTGCATCAAATTTTTTCTCATTTATTCTTTTAATTTCTACTATTTATTAGTTTTACATCACCAAATGGGCAGAAAAAAGGCGATTTTACAACTCGGATCACAAATGCGTCCTTCCGGTTGATGAAATCGTCAATCGTGGAGTCGTCGTGAAATCACCATAAAAACAAAAATCCGCATCTACATAGCTGTGATTCGTTCGAATTTGCTATATGGTTCTGAGGCATGGCCAATGAGAGTGGAGGATATTAAGAAGCTATCCACTTTTGACCACTCTTGTCTAAGGTGCATATCACGGATCCGTCGAGCGGATAAAATATCACATGATCGCATCCATCTTCGTTCAAATACCACTTGCATAAATAATGCTATCACAGTGCGTAGCCTTCACTGGTTACGGCACATTCTGCGTCGTCCACCATAGGAGTTGACGCATATTTCGTTAAATCATGTAATTAATGACGTCAAAAGCAAGGTGGGCAAACCATTCTCCGTTGTCTATAAAAAAGAATGGCTTCTCTTACTGTCGACGATGGCTTCAGACCACACCTCTTGGACGCGTCTTACCCTTAGGAGCAACCTAACCAGTAATGGTGAGAACTGTTAAAAGATTTATTAGTTTTGACCAAAAATAATTCGAATAATAAACGACATGGTTGGCATTCTCTCTACACTTCTTTTTTTAAAATAACACTAAAACGAGAATTTCACCTTAGTAAACTTAGTGCAACTAATTAAAACCTGAAATGTCTCTCTGAAAAGAATAATTTTAAAATCAATGCATGAATATTAATGTGGAAATTCAGAAAAAAAAATTCAATAATCATTTGTTTAAAAAATAATATTCGAATAATACTCAAATATTTTTTAATAAAAATCGTAATTTCAATCATTTTTTTTTTATTACACAATATTTTTAAAAAAATTTTTTCCATAATAAAAAAGCATTTTTGAAATCATAAAAGAAAAGTATAACCTAGAATTTACGAAATAAAATAAAGAATCATCTACAAAATTATATTATTGGAACTCTAAAATTATAACAAACAATTTAAACTTTTTATTTTGAAAATATACTGAAAAATTACCTTTTATAAACTATTAAAACGAAACTTAAATAACCCTATAAAATTGAAAATAATAGATAAAACAAAGTAATCAAGAGATCAAGCAATTCATTATAATAACCAAACATGAAATATGATTTTAAAAATGTGAGTTGCAAAAAAATAACATGATTGCTTATAAATGAAATAAACAAATTCGAAGTGAATCTTACTCCTTATCTTATTCATCAAAATGAATGTATAAAAGGGAATTATGAGAGAAAAAACGACTCAGCTTTACTAAACGACGAATATTCGTCGATTAATTGAAATAGTTATGGAAAAAAATTTCAAGAAATCCAGAAGTGCAGACCGATGAACCAATAAAATGAAAAAAATCAAGAAAAAACTGATTAAAATTAGATCCAAATTAATAAATTTAACAACTTGAAAACAATTTTAATAAATAATGTAATAAAATATAAATATATTAACAAATAATTTATGAAAAATGGTTGAGGCAAGAATGTGGTAACCAAAGTATAGTACATATAAGCATAAGTATTGCTACAACATTACTACAGCAAAAAAATATAAAAAATAAATAAATAAATATTTGAAGATGATGTAATTCAATAAACAATTATCTTCTCACTCAAATTCTTCCATCTGAAACAAATCATTTTTTCGTTTTAATATGAAGAAAAGTTTGACCTTGGTGATAAAATCATATTATCGGCAAAGAAAAGGAAGAATATGATGATAAATCAAAAAAGAACTTTAAAAAAAAGTCAGTAAATGCTTAAAACTTAATTGAAAACATTTTGCTTATATTAAATTAAATAAAAATATAAAAATTGTAGTTATAGAAATAAAGAGAAATATATGAAAAGAAACTAAAGTTCATTAGTTCCATTTAAAAAATGAAAAATGCAATAAACTCACACGAGGAATACGTTTCTTCCGTAATGCTAACCGCGTTTTACGAGTGGAATTACCACTGACTAGAACCGGATTTTTTGCAGACGCTTCCTTTTGTTTCTAGAAAGATAAAAACCTGATAAAATGATTTGAAAAAAAAGAAAATAGTCAATATCAAAATCTTATCAATTACTTTTGTAAATTTAAAGCATTTTTGTAATGGTATTATTCCATTTTCATTCACTGTTATAATCCTTTTCAAATTTGATTGCGATTCAACTCGATCTGAGTTCTCATTGGTACCTAAATGAATAAAAGATGAATAAATAATGATTAATTTTTCTCGGAAAAAAAAATTCTAATTTCTTTTTTAGTCCAAATAATTTCAATCAACCACTGCATCTTCCAATTAACCAAAACAATTTAAAAATAAATAAATAAATAACGGAATGGAAAATAATCGCAATTAAACATTTTGAATTGTCTTCATTCTTTGCATCATAATCACAGTGTGTTACTGTTTCATGTACTAATGTCGAATCATTTTGAGAAATTGACTGAACAGAACTGTTGAAAGTGAGCGATGGACAAATACTACCATGTTCATTCAAAGCATTAACCTTTTCACAAATTTCTATAATTATTAATTTTTGAAACAACAACATAAACAAAATATAAATATTATTATTATCAATAAAAAAAACTTTAAAAATTCACTAAAACTTAGAAAATTGAAATAATCTCCACTTTTAAATAAATTCAAGCGAAATTTTATTTTAAGAAATCGGAAAATTTTTTTTTGTTTTCTTATATTAAGTTCTTGCCTAAATTTCTTAAAGACTTTGAGGTGAAATAAAATGAAATATTAGAAATCTTGACTTGGTGAAATAAATTTTTTCGAATATAAACTCACCTTTCGCACCTATTATCTGTCTATTACAGCGATTTTCTCCCAACTCAATCTTTTTTTTTAAAAGCTCTAATTCACATTCAAGCTCTCGATTTCTGCTGGCTTCGCGCAAATGTTGTATGTTGGAATATTCAAATTTATCAAAATATTCATTTCTTTCTTTTATAGCTTGCTCTAATTTTCTCGTCAATGCTTTCACTTCCTTCCTAAATGTATGAAACTAGAAAAAATTTTCAAATATCTTTTGAATTTTGAAAAAAAGAATTTTTGAATTAGAAAAATTTATCGAAATTCCAATGATTTTTAATTTAAAAATTTAAAAATTTCAATAAGGCTTTTAAATTTGATCATTAATTCCACCTCAAACTGATTTTAAAATCTTTTTTAGAGAAAATTGTTGAAAATTTTGGAGAAAATTCCGTATAAAGAAAAATTTTTTGAAGAAAATTTTTTTTGCTTTCAAAATTTAGCTCATATCCAATGCCATAGAAAAGTCCAAAAAGTTTCGCCTATGAAATTTTCTTCGATATGGCAATTATTTGAGTTTATAAGAACTTGTTTATAACACAAAATCCGAAAAATTTTTCTTTTAATAAAAGGGAAGAAATCGAAATAATTATTCATACAAAGGTGTTTCTATTCTAAATATCTAATTGATGAAGATATCTAGTTATTAACTACTATTATTAGTGGACTATAAAACCAGAAATGCTGGATGCCGTATGAAAAATTGTACCACTTTTATTCTGCTTTCTATGAATGAATGAATTAACAAAAAAATCTGCCACAGAAGAGAACCCTTGGGGGAAAACGAGCGAAACTTTTTGGACCTCTATATTTGAAATTTTCTGTTTGGTCCGTATAAGGCCAAGAGAAATACATGATGGTATAGTGAAAAAATTGTAATTTTGTATAAAAAAAAAAATACCTTGCTTCAGTTAAGCATGCATTCGTATAATTGTATATACGGCTATACAAGACAGGATTTTCTTTTTCTGGAGGAATCTTTAATTCTGCCGTTGATGTTTGATTAGCTAATTTTTCAGTGAGCACTGCTATTTCCATGCGCAACTTTGATATTTCGGAGTGCGTATCGACTATATTTTCTAAAAATTTTTCAAACCAATTATTAATTAATAACTGAAAAAACACAGCCTACTTCATCCTACTCCAAAAAGGAAAAAATTTATACCTTCATCAATTCCATTTCGATGATTACGCAAGAGATAAATTTCTTGCCTCAGTTCTTCATTTTCTTGTTTATTTTCTTCTAACTGCGCTCTCAACCGGTCATTCTGTGTTTTAAGCAAGACCAGATCTTTTTCAAGCTTTAATCTCTCATCGACAAACTGAATATTGATAATATAAAAGAAAAAATAAGAAATAGAGAATAAAAATAGTAACTGGAAAAAAAATCCCAACTTCATAGAACATCGAGTTGCCTTTTTTAACGAATTTCGTGCCGTTTTTAAGTTGTTCGATTTCTAACGTCAAGTCCTCCACTTGTTGACGAAAATCCTTGAGTTATATTTTAATTTAATGTATGGTTTTTAATGCATTTTATAATTTTTTTCACGTTCGACATCCAAATTTGAATGAAATAAGATTAGATCAACCTGAATTTCATTTTGAGTACCCCTGTAAAGTTGATCGAGTTCCTTTTTTTGAGAAACCTCCTTTTCCAAACACCACTGTAATTCACAGATACGCACATTTGCTTTTTCAAATTCATCAGCCAAAATTTTATATTCCCGCTCCATTTCCACCTTTAAAAAATATGGGAAAATTATTTCAACATTCTTAAATAATCTTTTTTTAATCTTTTAATCTTTTTTTATTTTAAATTCCTAACAGGAGAGAATATATATATATATATACTTCCTTGGAAAAGTTAATCATCATAAGTTCCTCATTTTCCTACTTTAACAGGAATTTATCATCAAAAATGAAATTTATGCGGTATTTATGGCGATGGGAGGGCTTAATTTTCTAATAGTCAATGGTGCCAACGTAACAAAAAATGCTTAGGAGAAAAAAACTTTCCCATCAGACAAGATAAAAAAATAGTATAATAATAATAATAGTAAAAATAATAGTAAAATAGTAAATAATAATAGTAAAAAAAATATAAAGTAAAACTAAACTAATAAAAAAAAATTTCTAACCATTTTGTTTGAAGCAGAAATGAGTTCCAAATTCTCCTCATCATTTCTAGAAATATCTGGTGATGGCATTAACGCTTGCTTACGAAGTTCTGCGATAATATTATTTTTAATTTCAAGTTCTTGTTGAAATTGCAAATTTCTTTGCTCGGCAGAAACAAGGTCGTTATTACGGTTTTGCAACTAAAATTTGATCCAATCGAATTTAAATTCAAATTTAAAACTCATTAAATCCATAAATTCATAAACTGAGAAATTTATTTGAAAAAATAAAGTTTTTTTCTACAAATGAAAAAAAATTTGCAAAATGACCAAATCTTCAATTTCTATAAATAAATAGATGATAAGCTAGTGATTAATGTTTCGCTAAATTATAATTTGCCTGGATTTTTGCTTCTTGAAATTGCCGCTCAAGCTCATGCTTTGCACGGATTTCAATTTCCAGTTTACTCGTAGTATTTGAGTTTTGATCCACTTCATCGATCATATATTCCTCATTTTTTTTCACGATAGTTTGTAGGCGTTCAATTTCCTAAAAAAATTTCAAAAATTCTCAACCATACGGACCATTCTCAAAGATTAAAAACAGTTAATTTGAGATTTAAAAAACGACGTTTAATTTTAAAAAAATGAACAAGTGATTTTTGCGAGATTTCTTCCACGTATTTCTCAATATCTCGCTTCAGCGATTCGATTTCCACATCTTTGTTGCAATTTTTTTGAAGAACTTCTCTTGCAAGTTCAGCGATCGTTAACTTCTCATTTTCTAATTTTTTATTTTCCTCCTCTATTATACGAATTTTTTCCCTGAAATTTTATCTAATTATAAAAATTTTATATTATATATTTCATATTAAAAGTAAGTTTTAACAAATTTGTATTTTAAGAATTCCTTGAATTATTAAATTCTGAGAATAATTTTAAATAAGCTTAAATAAATTCCACTTTTTTTCAAATTCAAATATGTAAAAAAAAAATGAAAATCACAAAGTAAAATTTAAATTTTACTTAAATTAAATTTAAATTTAAATTTTTTTTTAAAGAGTCCTCACCATTACTGGTTAAACTCGCTTCCCTGGCTTGTCGAACTAGACAAATATACCAGGGATATATCCCTTAGCGATAGAAGTATAGACAAGTCGCCAGCATCACCCGGATTTTTGGACAGGATTTTGGATTTTTGATTTTTGGTTCACTCCTGCAGAGAATAGAACCTCAGCACCAGCGCTTCGAACTGAGAAATAACCCACTAAGCCATTCTATTCAATTTTGCAAAAAAAATAAAAATCACAAAGGAAAGTTTAAAATTTATAAATAAATTTATCTCCAATGTATATTTTTCATAGACTGAAATCGCACCTTAATTCAGCTTCAGTAACAATTTCATTTACCGCCATTACGATCAGGTTGAATTATACCTAAATTAACATAATTATAATAATATGATATAATTATTGTGAATAATGTAAGAAGAAAAGGAAACAGCGAAAGGAAACAGGGTAGAGCGAAAAATTTGTCTGTTGACAACAGAGCAAATATAAAATCGCGTAATTATAAGCACAAATAATCACTCGCAAATATTATTTTAGAGACCATACAACCAGGAAGTACCAAATGAAAAAAATATTAACTAATAGGGCACAATGTGGTTGAATGCTCGCACATTCATATATACTGAGGCTGAAATAACAGTTTCAATTTTTTATTCCATCAACAGAGGGCGCAACTCCACCTATCTACAAGTGACTTCAAACGTAAAAATTCCACTTTTATTAGCAAATAAAATCAGCCAAATTAGAAAAGGGCAAAAACACAAAAGCTAAAAAATAATAATAACCTTAATAATAATGTTAACAGTTGAAATTAGTAATAATTAATAATAATAACAACTAAAAAATGAATTTAACATTAAACTTGATAATATTAATTTATAACAATAATATTTTAGTAATAATTATAACAACAACTTTAATAATAATATTGATTCTTAAAATTAATAAATCAATATTAGTTTAATATTTATTAATTTACAATAATAATGACTTTAATAATAGAAATAATAGAAATAATTTTTAAATTTATTAATAAATTAATAAGTGATAAATAAACAAATTTAACATTAAAATAAAGCAATTTTACGACTGATTTAATTCAATGCAAAATTTAATCGAATCTAAGAAAAAATAGTCAATAAAAAAATTTTTTTATTTGCATTTACACATTTACATTTAAATTTTTTTTTAAATTAAATTCTCATTTTTTGAACTGTTTTTTTATTTTATTTTATTCTTTATTTTAAACATTTTCTTAAGCAACGAACGACATGAATGGCACATCTGCCCGAAATTTATTCTACCTGAGGGCATCCATCTACCCACAAGTCATAATTAAAATAAATTTACTCTAAAAAAAGCACCGATGAACCAGCCGCCGAAAAATCTGCCAATTTTAAATTTTACCACTCTCAGGGAATCGCTGTAAGATGTGATTCCAATTTTTACCAGCATATATCGTGAGCGTCTACAACGGCCAATTAGAAGGAAATTTATAAGATAGAGGAATCATTTTGGGAAAGAGGAATATCACTGCATCTTTTCGGCATTTTTTAAGGGAATTATTCACTTATAAATAAAATTAGTTGCGTTAAGGCAAATAAATTAATATCGTCTTATCTCAGCATATTGTTTTTGCAGAAGAAAATCCTAGATTTCGATTATCAGCTAATCTCTGCGATAGGTCTTTCGAGTTGATAAGACGAAATCTCAATTATCAACTTATTTCTACGATTGGTCGCCTACTATTGATTTGATTCAAGCGGGTTTATTTCGATTTAGTTAAGAATTATTTCTTATAAAAATTCTCTTACTACCATTAATAAACTGTGTGCTTTTTTGAATCTGTTTAATTCGGATAATTCTTATTGACTTTTTTTTTTGAATTTTTCTTAAAGAACCCTCAGCGTCACTGATAAGACTCGCTGCGCTGGCTTATCGCATTAGCATTTGCCAAATATACTTTATGGAGTTCCTTGGCGATAGAAATATAGGCGAGCAGCCAGCATCAACCGGTTTCTTGGATAGATTTGCTCCTGCGGGGAGAACCTCAGCATTAGCTTTCCGACATGCGTTTTCGAGTGCAATTCTATATCATTTATCGGATTTGGCTTTTCTCACAAATCTAATGTAAAATGAAATGAACTGTGGCGAAACGACGAAAGCAAAAAAGGTTATTTCTGGAGGCGGCTAGCGGGCTTTTTCATGTCCTTCATTGGGCCATTCGTCGACTTTACCGGATCAACTTTTTTGTATTTTTTCGTACTGCATCAGCCCTTATCCAGCTTTCCTTTTGCGTAATCCTCTTCTTATATATTTTAATCTTTTTTGCTGATTCGCTATTTTGGCATACCAGTAAACTACTGCATCACGCTGAATTCGTGAGAGTTAGTAGAGAACATTGTTCACATAAACGATTTGTCGGCGAAGGAATATGTAGTATGTTCATTCATATTCTCGCCATCATCGACTGCATTAGCCTAAGCCTTAGCCTAATCGAATCCACTGATGCAGCTGCTTAGACTAGAATAATATTATTGTAAGCGGTCTCTATACCATTGTCTATTATGCAAACTACTCGTGCAACCATTCGTGCAACCACTCGTGCAGCTACTCGTGCAGCTACTCGTGCAGCTACTCGTGCAACCACTTTTTTCTACAATGTTTCTTATGCTTCATATTTCTATACTTTTATGCATTTATGCGTTTCGTTTTTTCATATATTTTTATAATTTTTTTTCGATTCTCTACTTAGCAGTGAAAGGAATTTCGATCGAAATTAAGGGATGGTCGAGATGATCGAGAAGGGAAATGATACAAATAATTTCAGCGATTTGCATAATTTCAAGAAATAAGGCCAATAATATCCAATAATAAAAATCCGCGCTCAACTATCATAAAGACATTTCTTCTTTCGAGTAAACAAGTAATGTTTCAATAATACAATGCTGTAAACAATCTATCTATCGAAAGCGATTCAATTCAAATTAGATCGACTTCGGCCAATATTCATCAAATCCAATTTTCTATAAGAAAATCCTTCCTAGAAAAGTTCCACTGAAAGCTGTTAATTCATAATTTTTAAATAAGGCAAAACTTTTTTCGTTACCCTTAGTAACTCTTCGAATCGCGATTGATCTCTATTAAAACCCCTCTCCCCAATTACTCTCAAATTACCATTTATCTCATTCGCTGCAACATTCTCTTATTTTTTTTCCTTGAAGTTTTTCCCAAGGCAAGGAGAAGAGCATCACAAGACTTGGCACAACGTCACAACGTTGTATTAATAAGACAATATTATTAAATTGCCCTTTATAAAGGAATATACTGCAATATTTCTTAGTGATCGGGTGGCCGAGTGGTTAAGGCGATGGACTGCTAATCCATTGGGGTTTCCCCGCGTGAGTTCGAATCTCATCCCGATCGGACGCTTTTTTCGCATTGGTGCTTTATTCCTATCTTATGCTAATACGGTTTGCACCACTGGAACAACTGTGGTACTAATCTACGAGAAAGTTTGCAGATTTTATAGAATCTTTGTTTAGAAAACTTGATTCTATTTTAAACCCCAATTTATTCTATTATTTATATTCGATTCTATTTTAAACTCAATTTTTATCGGAAATATCAATATTTTTAAATTTAACATTTGAAATAATTAAAAAAAATTTATTTCATAGATCCTATAGGAAAATTTTTGTATTATGTGAATAATAATCTGATAACCGAATAATTGAGGCAACGCACTGCCAAGCTCTTGGAATTTCTCTATATGCACCTCACTTTGAGCCCGCAATTCTTTGGACATTCACTTTTTAAATTTTTTCTTAACCTAAAGTATCAAATTTTGGTCCAAAATAAGCGTTTGCAGTGTGCGAATGCCTAAATATCGATAGAAATGCAATTAAAAGCTAACAGTAAAACTAGCATGTTCATCTAGTTTCACGAGCCAGGAGCCTCATCCAGCCAGCTATGCGAGTGGCATAATTTGCTCAGTGCGGCAGACCGGTGGGACGAGTAATGGTAAATACCCCTAAAAAAAAGAAAATTCAATAAGACAATTACCTTTTAATAATTGTTTTAAGAGAATTACTTAATTCTGCCATTTCCTCAATTTCGACTATATTCAAAATTCCCGTTCTAAATGATTGTCTCCCTTAAATATTAAAATGTGTATATGAACTTGATCGATTCAATGAAAATTACGCTATTGAAATGAAACCGTAAACTACTGGCAATATTTTAGCGTGACCCTCTCGATCGAATGTCATTTTTGCTAAAATGGCTCAACCATTCATCGACAAGATTTTACGACTCAGTTCATATAAATAAATATAAAACCACCGCCGAGTGAACTTATTCAACATTAAAATTTAAAAACACCAACAATTTTACGAGCTTTCCTCTTTTGGTGAACAAGAAACTCACATGAACTTATCGAATTTATTCCAATTATTTATAAAATTATTTCCAAATTTATCAATGAAAATTATTCCAATTTTTATATAAATTTATACCCTATAATTGCTCTTACTAAAATAAAATCTATTTGATATTTCTAAGAATATGATTAGAGCCAAAAAGATGACTATATTTTACGTCATATCGAAACAAACAGCTTCGAATAACGAAATGTCTATAGATAGCAACCATTAAAATTTTATAATTAAATACAAGCTAATACATTTTTAAGCGAGGGCGTTTCAACATCCTCACAATATATTATAAAATAAAACAAACACAACCAGCAAAAAATAAAAATTAGTACTATCAATGAAATGAACGAAATCGTTCAATTCCCTTATACACTGGTTATTAGTAATTCTTGAAAAATGCAATCCCGTTTGCAATAAATATCGAAAAATTCAACGGAAAAAGAAAAAAGAGCACCACATGTTGTTTTTTAAAGGTGCCAATATAACAACAAACAAATAGAAAAGATACATCAAAGATAATTGGCGATATCCGACGGCATTTCCTCAATCTGCGTATTATAAAAATTTTCTATGTCTTTAAGTAATCGAAAATCGGCCTCAGTTACAAAGTTGATGGCAACACCTTTTCGTCCGAAGCGACCTGATCGCCCGATGCTAAAAATTCCAAAGCACTGGACTGGAATAGGATATCTGAACCAAGCAGACAACAAATGAAAGATTTTTATTAAGATTTTTATTATTTATTATTTTGCAAAACATGAAAAAATTAAATTACCGATGAATGTAATTTTCGCGATTACTAGGAAGATCATAATTGATTACGAGCGAAACTTGCTGAACATCAATACCACGTGCTAATAAATCTGTCGTGATGAGTACGCGAGAAGACCCTGATCTAAATTCACGCATAATCAAATCACGATCTGATTGATCCATTTCACCATGCTGTAATACAAAAAATAAAAAGAATGAAGAAAAAATGAGTGAAGAGATAAGTTTTAAAAAAGTTTTAAAAAATAAAGTACCGATAATTAGGAATCAACAAATAAAAGAAAGCAAAACAGCGCAAGTAAAAACCATGAGAAGACAAACCATGCAAGAAACGGTATAATTTTCATCCTTCAACTGAGAAGCGAGATTATCGACCTTCCTTCGTGTATTACAAAATATTACTGCTTGGGTAACATTCACAGTAGAGTAAAGGTCGGTTAATGTCTCGAACTTATATTCCTGAAATAAATCAATTCAAATAGATTACTACTTTGAACTACTACATATATATACATTTATACATATATATACATTTACACTACATTTTAGATATATTTGCCTTACAAATAGCCAGAATCTCCTAATGCTTGCATATTCTCTGATATTCCAAAATTTATTATATATTTCTCGAATTCATTAAATAATAACTAAACACATTATTTCTCGACATAATCCCTGTCAATCTACCCTTTTCAGTTTTATTTGTGACTGCTTCAGTACCAAAAATGCAATGAGTGGTTAAAACGGCAAAATAAGGATGGGGATTTTTAATTTGTTAGTTTCTAATTAATGATAAAGAATTATAGGAGAGGAAGTGGCAGACAAGAAACTGATTCTTCTTCTTCTTTATAGCAAAAGAGAAAAATGAATTTTTTGATGAGATTCTCTACATGGAAAAGTTTTTCATAATAAGGAATAAAATAATTAAGAATTTCACTACGATGAACTTCATGAGCAAAAATTTTAAGCAATGTTAAAGGAACATAATGTAGGCTATCACTCTCATACTTCAGCAAAAATATGATAACAACAACCTACCAAATTATTACAAAAAGATAGGAATTATTCTTTCGTAAAATCAAAAAAAAATCGATGCTTTGATTAAATCGTAGTTGAAAAAATTTGGAATAAATATCAACTTCTTTTTTGATATCGATATAGAACTGCCGAATTCCTTCCAATGTTAGCTCTTCCTTTTTAACAAGGATCCTAATGGGATCATTCATGAAACGATTTGTAACCTCAAGTACTTCATTAGGCATGGTTGCAGATAATAATACTACCTGGAAGAGAAAAATTACACACTTAAATGTGGAGCAATTTGAAAAAAAATGAAGAAAGCTCTGAGGTAAGATAAACCTGAACATTGTTTGGCATACGTATAAATACATCATAGATCTGATCTTTGAATCCACGAGAAAGCATTTCGTCGGCCTCATCGAGCACAAACATTTTTATTGAAGCGGTTACTAAAACCAGTTCTTATTCATATATGTAAAAATCCTGTAGAGAGAACATAACAAATCTTCTAAGCAGTCATTTATTGTGATATTATAGAAACCAGAACGAGACTATACCCCATGTTCTTCCACACCTTATCGAATCTTGCTACAGTTTGCAACGCCATCATTCTAAATAGATTTACGATATCACCAATTGATTCTGGGAAAAGTACAGCAGAGATTTATTTAGACAACAAACAAAAACTGGTGGGGTTTTTCGAAAAGCAATATACTTCGAGTGATATCAAACATTTACCCTAGGAGGCCATCGTTTTTAAGAAGGAAAGGCAACAAATATATTAATTGTGCGAAATATATATATGGACAATATTTCAACACATATTATTTATTTAAAAATAAACTGCCAACCTAATGAATTTCGCTGAATCATATCACTAACACGACCAGGTGTCCCAATGACAACATGAACTCCTGATTCAAGCTTACGTTGGTCATCACGCACATTCGTTCCACCAATTGATGCATGGCATTTAACACCCAAATATTCGCCTAAGGAAACCATTACTTTTTGGATCTGAAAAATGAATAGGATGATAAACGAAATTCAAAAGTTGCTCAAGAAAAATTGTCTTCATCTGAGCTCAGAACCATAATTCTCTCGTCATATAAATACATAGGAGAGGGCAAATCATTTCGTCATCACTGCTCTCGTAGATTGATCTCTCAATTTTGATTCCGATAGCACTTCTGAATTGGCTGAACTTATACAATAAATGAGATATGAATTAAAAGCATTACGGATTTGGTTTCTTTTTCCTTGAAAAACTTTATTCTCCAGAAAAGAAATCTTCCTAACATTTTATAAATAAATCATAAATCATAAACTTATTTTAGCCTAAACGTTTGGAAGTAAAAACATAAATGGATAAAGAACATCATCCAAATTTAAGTTTTGATGACAGATCCCGCCAAGAATTTGGAATCAAATTTTTGATAATTGACATCTCAGCTGAAGGACTACCTTAGACTAGACTATATTAGATTACCTTTTTTTTTATTTCATAATGACGATTAAAAGATTTTAGCCTTTGCAATAAAAGTGCCAACGACCTATACATAAGTCTTGAAAACAAATGCAGGAAAATATTACATCACACGAAAGAACTACAAAATTAATGTTAAAATATTAAAAAAATTATATCTTTGAATAAACTTAATAAAATTTAAAAAATTAATATATTAATTAACATGTGAGTTAACTGATATGAAAGACTGATAATATTTAATTATCAAACTTATAATAAAACTTTCCACCTGTTGCGCTAATTCACGAGTCGGTGCCATCACTAATGCTTGTACTTCCGGAAGATTCTCATCAATATTTTGAAGCACTGAAATAGAGAATGTGGCAGTTTTTCCTGTACCTGACTGCGCTTGTGCTATCACATCACGACCTGAAAACCTGAAGGGAATCTCAGAGGAAAGTAAAAACCGTTTCATAATGGCATTCCGCATCAGCAATTTTATCCTCTCTTAATGCGGAACGGGGAAACAGTGAATTGTGAAAATGATAAAGGAAATAAAATAAGGAAAAAGAATAAAAGCAACGAAAAGAAATATTAAAGGAAAGATTCATATACATTTATTTTGGATGAAGAATTTACAAATTGAAATGAGGAACGAACTTCAGACAATATAAAAATAAATCATAGAAAAATGCATTGGGTTCACTCACGTGAAATGCAAGGAACGATTGCTCGCTGCTGAATTGCTGACGGTTTTTCAAAACCAAAAGCATAAATTCCACGCAAAAGCTGTTCTTTCAAGTTCATATCATCAAATGTTTCCGAAACTTGGGTCCAATTGCTCTAATAAAAAAATTAATAATAATTCAATAATAATAATTCACTTTTAACTTTTAATAATTTTTAAAAAGTAGAAAAAACTGAAGGGCCAAGAAAACGTACTTCAATAAGGCCATCTGCATCCACTGCGGATGCATTCGTTCCTTGATAATCTTTTTGATCTTCTACATTTTGCGCACTAAAATAAATACAGATTAAAACAGAATTTCGAATTTTTTGCCAAAAAATTTAAAAAACTAAATAAAAATAAAATTTTTAAAAAAAACAAAAAGAACTTCTAATTCACATCTTATATAATTCGTATATAAATATAATATAGATATAATATAAATGACCAAAAGCTAGGCAAATAAAATTCTTATCAAAAAGGATAACCAAAGGATAATGATTAGAGATTATTAAATAAATAAAACTAGCAAAACTAGTACAGCAGCTATTTAAATCGATTTTTCAGACGATCCAAAATCTAAACAATCATAATTTATACGTTCAAAACTAATCTACGATAATCCTTTAACTATATTCGAATGGTATGTATGAATTTTTTTGAAACTGAACATTAGAAACAGTTCAATTTCACCCAATAAAATTCAGTTGTTTTTGCTTCCAGTGACGGCTAAATTTGACCATTTTCGACCAAATTAGTGCTTTTTTTGAAAGCGTAGATATAACAATAATAAAAACTAAATAAAATATCTTCAACTACAACTAAGATCAGATAATCTTTGTTGTAATCAATATTATAAATACCCTTTGAAATTAACCGTTCACAACAAATTGTAATTTAAAAATGTACACTAGTAGGCTAAAAAATAAAACTCATCCAAATCAGCTGATTAAATAATTAAATCAGCATTTCCAATTCTTAATAAAAAAAAAGAAGTTTTAAAATTTTATTGATTACATCGCTTATGATTCAATCTAATGTCTTAGGTTTGCCCTTTGACCTTCCTTAAGCAATATGGAACAATCGAAATAACCAGATTCCCCTTATTAAAAACTAACGTATAAAATAATATATAGGAACCTCTGGTACTTTCTCCACTTCCTCCCTTTTCTAGCATCATTATTTCTTACATCATTTATCATTTCATATATCCCTTAGTTCAAATATATACTAATTTATGCTATATCAGAATAAGAGATTAAAGGGGAAACAAAATGTTGAAAAAAATGACTACAGCATTTAATTAAACTCGCTGCACTGACTATGTATTAGAAATTACATGTATTACCATCTATTAGAAATTTTTTCTATTGAGTTAACCATTTGGCGATAAAAGTTTGGATGGACTTTGCTAATTTCACCATTACTTTACGATAATAGCTTTGGTACTTCATTCCTAGGGAACCACTCCTGCTTGGCTCTCTTAGCGCCCTTCCCCCGCCGGAAAAGTCGCATTTGCCAGGTTCAAAGGTCAAATGTAGAAATATAAAAACATTAAACACACTGAGAATAATTAATTAATTAATGGATGGAAAGAAAATTTCGTTAAATTTTCTATAACCTAAATTTTTTCCTAAATAAATTGCGTAATAAAAAATAAAGACTTACTTGAAATTAGCATCAGTCATGTCCGAATTAAAATCAATTGAAATTTAAACCGAACGACGCAATCTGACAATTTGTCTCCAACGACCTCTCAACTCGACGAAGTTTTAGCCTAACCGACTCTTCGCCCAGCAACGTAATACGACTACCGTAACTCAACCACAATCCATTCCAAACAAGATCCTACAACGATTTGCGATTACTGTATATTTTAAATTTTCGATTTTCGCTTCAAGATCATTCAAAACCGACACGCTAAATATTTCCGACTGATCTAAGTACCAGATTAGATATTGGGGATGTTTTTTAAGGTGGAGGGGGGGGGGGGTGGATTTGGAATAGAGAAGAAAGAATTGTAAGTTAAGCTGGGGACGTAAACTGGTGGAATTACTTTGAGGTGCGATAGTAATTAGGAGTATTGAAGAAATCCAGTTTTGTTAAATTTATCATTTTTTTCACTGTACTTTTCCACTGTTATTTACTTATTTTATTGATTTATTTATTTCATATATTTTTATTATTAATTTTTCTAAAATAACAATATTTATGCGTTTTATATGGCAGAAATATTTATATTCTCTTTTGTTTATAAAATAAAGTAAATAAAGAATTAAATTAAGCAAATAAATTATTCAAATTATATAAATAAAAAATGAATGCAATATTCTCCTATAAAATTTCTCCTATAAAAAACAGTATTGATTGTTATTCTTGTTACTGTTTTAAGTTGGCTCAGCTCGCTATAAGGATAAGGCGTTTCTAGGTTATTCGATGCCATCGCTAATAGTAATAGAAGCTATTCTTTCTTCCATCGTCTAAGTCCATATATTGTCGGTCCAGCTATATGTTCAAAATCTTTCCTAACTGTTTCAGTTCAGGTCTTAATTGGTCCGCAGAGTTTAACGAAATATGCATTATTGTATTAAAATTACAATAAATTATCGATATTTATTGCTTATTGCTCCCCGCAGTTATTCATACTCAACAGTCATAATCATTATTGAGTCACGAATTTTTCATATTTTCTCCTCAACACTGCCAAAGAATAGATGAGATAGAATGCAGATTAACCATTTCAATTTACCATTTAAATGAAAAGTGGCTAATTAATTAACGTTCACCATCCCGGTTAACTTCTATCGGTTTTTATCACGGTTGGAATTTGCCAGGATGTCCGCAAAATGTAGAATCACAAGTAGATTAAACACGCGAATTGCTTAATGGCAGATTTACTCGTATTTCTATCGAAGAAGGTGTCAAATCCTTTCTTCATTGATTTTAGGAATATACAATAGTATTTGATTGAAATTAAATTAATTTGAATTTATTATAGAGAAAAACTCAAAAATTATCGTGAAATTCTGGTGAAAAAAGAAAACCTATGAATATTTTCAAGAATAAAGTAAGAAAAAATTTATCTTTTCTATTATTTTTTTTTAAGTTGATATTTTTTATCATTTTTATTTTGAATTTTGAAATGAATTTTTTTTTTAAAATGATGTAATCTATCTAGAAGATTTTTTTCGCGAAATGACCCATGTCGAATGTTCGTATGATCCATGTTCATCGAATTTTATTGATAATGTAAATGATAATACTGGTGCGACAGTTTTTGCACGAGCCAAACATTCATTTGAAGGACGAAATAATGATGAAGTTTATTTTAATATTTTCTTCTATTCTATATTCTTTTTTAAATTTCATGTTTTTCTCTTTTTTTCATTTCACATTTTTTTAAAATAATCCGCATTGACTGCTTGGTTATGCTATTTGATAGAGTGCGCTTCTTGTCGTTAAACAAGTATTAAAGGCCCGGTTAGTATTATAGATATGAAAGATGGTGAATTACTGGGCTGTGGTGATAGGAGAGACTTTTTTTGATAATTAAATTATCGATGAGAAAATAGGAAAAATAAAATATTCAACAATATAAAATGTTAGCCCTATGGAATATTTTATATATTGGTGATGGTAGAAGATTAAAACTAGTGAAAAAAGGAAGGGAGGAAGGGAAAAAGTCTGATTTTTGTGCTATTTTTATGACTGATAACTTTTTTTTGTGTTTCAAATAATTAAACAATTATTTAATTATTATAATTTAAAGCAGCTGCCAACATAAAAATTAGTTAATTAGTTAAATAAATAACTGTTTTGTAGCTTTCATTTCGAAAAGGTGATGTGATTACGGTGTCGCAACAATTAGAGGGCGGCTGGTGGGAAGGTACATTGCGGTCTAATACGGGGTGGTTTCCTTCCAGTTATGTGGTTATTATTCCAGACTCAGGTAATTTGGTTTTTTAGTAATTTTTTCGACAGAAATGCTTCAATTGTGGCTTTTTTAATTTTAGAACGTTTTTTACGTTCGCGAATTGCCAATAACCTTCCTAGTAATATGCCAAGCGATGTTCCCGTACTTAGTGTAGACTTAAGTCGACAATCGTATCGTCAACAGGTTTTTTTTTTCTTGCAGTTTTAATTAAAATGATTTAGCTTATTCGGAATAATTTTTCGTAAATTCTGAAAAGCATTGGATGGTTATCTTCGTGGTTATCTTGTTTGCAAAATAACGTTGGTTTGTAATAGGAAATAGGATAAGAGGGCAGTAAACTGTATGAAATAAATTATTGGTCAAATGCTTATAAGTTAGAATAAATAAAATAGATAGATAAGTACTTTCATTAACGTGCAAAAAAAAAAACTATTGAAGAAATAATAGGAAGTGAGATAAAAATGTATGGATCTTTATCAACAGAGAATTTTTTATGATTTTTTATAAAGGAATAATCGGAATCGGAATTATTGAAGGAAAGATTGAGGATAAATAGCGAAAAGGAAAAAGAAAATAAATAGAAGTACGCAAGCTGTGGCCTTCATCACCTCGATTTAGACCTTATGATCGAAAAATTTAAGAAAAAATTGATTGTATATTCATGCATACATATAATGAAAAATTTTTGTTTAATACTTTGTCTTTAATTATCTTTCAAAATTGCTTCAAAAATAAAAACGTAGAAATAAAAAAGTATAAATATCTTATTTGTGATCAATGCTGCGTAATATTATTATTATATCATTATGATTATTTTATTTATTTGTTGTAAAATATCAAATAAAGGACTTCTTTTTCTAGATAATGAAAGGATTCGTGATTTCTGAACAAAATTATGCAAATGCTATAGCTAATTTTCATACGAATATTTTGATGAAAATCAAAAATTCCAGTATGTAAGTAATTTTTATTTTTCATTTAATTTACTGATATTCAATGAAGATTATCAAAGCCGATAATGCTAAAGATTCGATAATAAAATATGACAAAGGAGTAAAAATAATTTACGATTACAGGATATCAGATGTGGAATTTTCGACACTTGCTGGTAATTTACAATTTTTGGTTCTTCAGCAAAACGAATTACTTGAACAAATTAAAGAAACTGTGGAGAATGATGGTTATCTGGCTAAAATTGGTGGGATTTTGCTACTCGCAGCTCCATCATTACGATATTTGCATCGTTCATATTGCGAAAATCATCCGAGAGCTGTGGATTTAATTCTGAGGAATAGGTTTATTTTTTTTATTTTTTCCCACACATTTTATCAAAATTGTTTGATTTAAATCGAATTTCATTTTTAATATGATATTTCCTTAAAGGACAAATTCGTCATACTTGGCCTCAATCGAGGCAAAATAAGCGAAATTAGAAATGGAAAATCCATCTTTTTTGTTATAGGAACAAATTCGAAAAGATTATGAGTGAAACTGGTAGTAGTTTCAACGTGTTAATACATGAATTAAGCAGTCCTTTTCGCCATCTCGAAAGTTACCCTTCCATATTAAATGAGCTAGAAAGATGTATGAATGCAGCTCACCCGGACAAAGGTGATACTCAGCGAGCTGCTTCAGTTTTTCGTGATATTGTTGTAAGTTATTGATAATTTGCAAATGTTATTTAATTAAAATGAATTATTAAGATCATTATTATTGCTTCTATAACTATTTTTGTTTTATCGATTAAATTTGTTATTTGTAGAATGAATGTTGTTTTATTCGAAAACAAAAGGAGGCGCAATTGGAACTAATGCATTCAGATTTGGTTGAAGGCATTACTTCTGATCAAATGAAAGAATTTGGTGAAATCATTTATATGGGCATTGCTTCTGTCGGAGTGAATGAATTTGTTGGCGATATTATACCACTTGAAAAGTTCTCTTTTTCATGATTCTAAAACGACAAATAGTTGAATAATTTCATTGGTAATGTTAAGAATCTTCATCTTTTAATCGCATCTCAATCGCAAATTTTAAAGTAGCAAGAAATGCAAAAAAAAGCTGATATGCTTACAAATGCCTTTTGATAAATAAATTTTTTTTTTTTTTAGATATCTTGTGCTGTTTCCTACAGTCTTACTCGTACTTGAAATTACATTAGCTATGAATTCATATGTACTAAAGAACTGTATTGAGCTCAGCAAATTAACCCTAAAAAAATTAGATACAAAGTCTTCTCTTCTCCTTCTCAAAAGTTTGTATTTTATTTTTGTGTATTATATATATTGTATATTTTTGTATATTTTATATTTTATTTTTTAATTATGATTGTTTTTTAAATTAGAATAATAATCTTATAATCTTTATAATTTTTTCTTTCCCATATTTTTATTGGAAAATGTGAAGAAATGATGTTCGGATTATATTGCATTATATTATATTTATATTTATATTTATTTAATGAATAATTGAATTTTACAATAATACATTTGCATATAAGCTCTAATAAAGATATAATAAAAGCTCTAATAAAATGTGAAGAAATGATGTTCGGATTATATTGCATTATATTATATTATATTTATATTTATATTTATATTTATTTAATGAATAATTGAATTTTACAATAATACATTTGCATATAAGTCGAAGTAAAAAGATATTTATTTCTAAATTTTCTATTTTTTATAGGGTTTTTGCATTTTTTGCTTTATTCAAGAATTTTACTCAAGAATTTTTAGATGAAGGAGAAATAGTTCTGGCAATACATTTATCTTCGCATGATGAACTTCGACACTGGATCGAATCATTCCTTTCTTGTTCTGATGTTAATATTGATGCTTCTTGTTTCGATAATTTACCACAAAAAATTGATGTGCCTAAATTTACGCATGTGGAGGATACGGTACTTTTTTTGTATAATTAATGGATATGAAACGTATCATTTTTTTGAATAATTTGCAAATTTTTTTCTGCGTCGAAAATGTGAAAATGCCCAAACATTGGTTGGTATTATGGTTTTTAGAAAGGATAAATTTGCTCTTGGTAGCCAATCATATCATGCAATAGACTCAGTGAATTTGTTTCTCCTTTTCCTCTATTTTTGCTATTTGATTTGCTCATAATGATGGGTATAAGTCTATCCAAAAAAAGTGGCTATAAATCATAAATCAGTAAAGTAGTCGAAAATGCATTAAGTTTTACGCGTTTATAAATAAATTTAGTTAATAATTTAATTTAATTTTTCTAATTTCTTTTAAAACCTAGAAGTTCATTTCTTAGATTTTTTTTTTTTCATTCAGTATTTCTTTATTAGTAAATTCATTATTAGCAGTAATAAGAGGTTTTTATTATATTTTTCTCTTTGATTGTCCATTTATCTTGGCGTTATTTTATATATAATTAATTAATTAATGAAATTAACTTTTTTTGCAAATCTTTTTTGCATCAGAAATAAAAAGATTCCCGTTGGCTTGCTTTTTTGAAAGGGTAAATTTATTCTTGGCAGCCAATCATTATGTCATTTTACCGATTCACTGATTTCTAGATGATTTAAGTGCAATTCAGTTTGGCTTTCGTTAGTATACTTTCGAATTCCATTTTTTCTATTCCATTTTTACAGAAAATTTTTTTCTTTTTTCAAAATTTCTGAATTAGCTTTGAAAGATTGACTCATTCTGCAAATTTACGAATTAAATTTTTTTTCAAAACGATTTCAATATAATATCTTGTTTAATTTTAGGCTTAATTTAAACTTCACACAAAACGCCAAAGTGGGCAATTTTTTGGATTTTTGAAAATGCGAAAATTATTAGTTTATATTTTTTAATCAAAATTCCAGTGTAAGGTCATTTTTACAATTTGTCGAAATGATCGGTTGAATATCGGTTGTTTTCTTTCTTCCAGAAAAGATTATTTCATGTATTCCTGTAATTCTAATAATTTAAGGACAAAAATTTTTTTAAAATAATTTTTTTAATGTTTGTAATCGATTGAATGAAAAAGGAAATTGGCTTGCAAACAAAGCAATTTTTAAGCACTTTTTTATTAGGGAAATTTTTTTTGATAGAATGGATTGATACGTCGATTGGTTTTGTAATTAATCCTCTGCCGATTCGATAATTCTGCATTATTCATTCACTGTTAGATGTCTTTTTTAATTGTTACATAACACTTTATAAGTATATTTTACGTTTTTTTTGATATTCCTGTTATTTCTTATTTGTACAAATTTGCATCTTTTTTTAACTTCTTTTCGGAAGCTTTTATAGGCGTTGATAGTTGTGAGAAACAAGCAAAGATACTGAGAGGTGCTTTTTTTTCAAAAGGCAAGCATGGATTGTTTGCTTTTCATTTTCATTAATAGTTCTGCAAATATCGAGGAAATCGGTTTGCTTTATAATCTTTCGAAATATGGGCAAACATAGGCAAATATATGGGTAAATGCTTAAATAAAATGGGTATACTTTGTTTTTTTGATCGGCGACTAGTAAAGCTTTTCGATTGGCTATTAGTTTTTTTTTTCAGAAAATTTTATAGAATATATTCGAGAAAAAATTCGTAGAGGATATAAATATTTTCTATAAATTTTTATAAAATGAGGCAAAATTAAAAGGTTTATAAAGTACTTACTATAATGTTCGGAAATGGATTTTAATTATATGAGATTAATTAGGATTCATTTCGAAAGCCGAAAGCCAAAAATCGCTTCTATTTCGCTTTAATTGAGATAATTTTGATTAGCATTTTAGTAAAATTTAGCATTTAATTGGAATTATTAAATTTTTTCTTCTTTTTAAATATTATTACTATGGTTTGTGCCATTTTGCAATTGTAGATTATTCATTTGTTGTGGTTTCTTAAAATTTTATATATTTAGGTTTCGAGTTCGAGTTTCAACAATTTTTTATTTTTAATTAATTATATGATTTAAAAAATCGGAATGAAATTAAACTAGGATGTGCGGCAGTTTTAATGGTCATCTCAAGCGCATTTTGCTACAGTTGCTGTTCGCAATTCGAGATAACTGACGATGATGTACTTGTATTTATTTTAAATTTTTTCGATTAGCTAGCATTATTCAAAGATGCTACGATGCATTTTCTTTTTTCTTTTTCATTTTTGATAACCACTCTAAAGAATTTTTTTCCTAAATTTGAATTGAACAATTAGAGTAAAGAATTATTTAGGAGGATTTTTAGATTAATGAAATCGGCTTAATTTTCGTAGAGCGTTTTAGAAAATATTTCTTTTAGGCAATAAAGATTTCTGATTCAAAAGTTCATTCATAATTCCTTATTTTTTTGTTTAATTAAGGTCTTTTTATATTATTTTGAAGTTAATTAGTTTGTAGTAAATGTTACAACTCATCATTTTTGGAATAAGATTCATTGGAATTTTTTTTTTCCATTGGAATTAAAAGCGAATTATAAAAAATTTGTAATTTACTTAGTTAAGTTTTTTGCTTCTTTCGCATATTTTTTTTATATTGCAATATTTGGATTTATCTTGTGTTTGGGCAATTTTAGAACTCACATTTATCACACTTAATATATTTCTTTTATCATTCATTCAGATAAAGGATTTTTACATTATTTTATTTTTGTTTTTACATTATTTTCTATAAAATTGTATAATAGTATCAAATATTATTCCAATTTAACGATTGTAGACTGATTTATCACCAATTCAAACTGCAGAATCGTCAGATTTGCCTATTACGACAAAAGCCGATAATGCGAAAAAAGCGTTAGTTATTAATTTCTTTTAGCAAATATAAAAAGATCCGAATTCGATCCAATTACGAAATTTTTTCTCAATATTTTAATTAATTTGTTCTATAATTTTTTGATTTTTGGAACTTTTTTTTTATAATTTTCTTTATAGTTTCTTTATAATTTGAATACATTTTCAGTTCAAATTTTTCATTTTTAATGCTAATTGGGTTAAAACGATTGAATAATGATAAATAATTGAATTGAATGCAAATGAAATGTCAGTTGTTTTCACAATATGTGTTAAAGGAAAGAAAAAAATTTTTTCAGGCAGTTAGGATTTCGATTTGATCATAAACTTGAAATGATTCTACCTGAATGTAGTAGTGGTGGTGGTGATCAAAGTCCAAATATATCATTAAAAAAAGAAAAGCTTTATTCGGGTTATTGTCTTCGTCCTTATGTGGCTTACAAAGGTAGTCATGCTGTTGATTATTCCAAAAAAGCAAATGTGAAAATGCGCAAAGACGGTTGGTACTTATTTAACAAAATTATATATTATAACGTTATCAGATTGATAAATTTAGTGAAAATTTTAAATCTTTTTTTTTCAGATTTTCTTGTTTATTGCGCAAATATATCATATTTTCATTGTTTATAGCTTTACTAATCGATCAAGAAGATGCTCAACTTCTAAGAATTGTAGAAGGCTATTGTTCTTCATCGCATTTGAGTCGTTTATTAAATAAACAAGGACAACGATCGAATAATCGATGTTTCACTGACCAGCCACCTCAGTTAATTGTGGCTGAAGATGAGAAAATTCTTGTCGAAGAAGTTGTTGGTGATGAAATCATTGTCCAAGAAAAGTTCATTTTTATAATAACGATAGATAAAAACAGGAAATAATTTGTTGTCGGTCATTGCCTCAACTTTTACAATTATTTAAATTTTCTTTTTTTTATTTTAAAAAATTTTAGAAGCTTAGTGGATACGGTTTATGCATTGAAGGATCAAATCAGTGAAATGCAAAAGGTATAGTTTTCATTTGATTTTTGAAAGCGAAAATTTTCTATCCTTATTTTTTTATTTCCCTGTAAAACTGTCGTAAAAATTTTAAAAAATAATTCATACAAATATTTTTACGATAATCATTGAATTATTTGTTCAATTTTATCAACGATTAATCTTTGTCAACAATTTTATCAATTTTTATGCTCTTCTAATTATTTTTTAGGAAATACGATTATTGAATAAGACAATTGATCACGAACAAAAAGCTCGTCGTCGTGTAGAAGAATCGTTAAGGCGCTTAACACAAAATTCATTAAGAAAATCGAGTATAAATCAAGCAGATTCAGAATCTCAATAAGTCGATAAATTATTAAAATATAGGATTTAGGGATTTTTGCTTTTCTTGTTGATTCAACTTTAAAAAAAGATTTAAAATTATTTAAGATTGTTTCGCTCACATAATGTTTGCATTTGTTGAAAATTAAAAAAGATGCCATGAAAATTAAAAAACACCGGTAAATTAAGCATTTATTTATTTGTAGATTGATTTAGAATTATATCGAATTCATTTTTCTACTTTTGCCTGTAAAAATAATTTTTTTTTGTTAAATTATTTCATTTTGATCTATTTTTGGCTTTCACTTTTTTAATTTTTTTTCTTTCGTTTGCAGTGGTTGAAATATTATACTGTGGATTTACTTTTATTAGTTTATTCTTTATTGGATTTGTCTTCTTAGATTTTTTTAATTTGTCCGCCTTCTTGATAGATTGGTATTTAATATCAAAATGTTATAGTATTATATTGCTTATTATATTATGGATTAATTTTGAGATGAGATTATTTACAAGATCCGGATAGATTTCTTTTTTATAGAACACTTACCATTACTGATTAAATTCACTCCTCTGGCTTATCGCACTAGACAAATATGCCGGAGATTCTTTTGGCGATAGGAGTACAGCTAAGTGCCAGCACCACTCCGACTTTTGAACAAGTTTACTCTTTTCGAGAGTAGAACCTCAAACATCGGAGAAAAGTGATACGTTGACTGATTCGAATCCAAGTTTTTAGTGGCATTTATCTTGCCACTTAAGCCACCGACGCATCCGATTTGATATATAAGTTTGTTTTTCCCGAATTTTCTATTCTCTTTTTATGTTGTGATTCTTGGAATAAAATATTTTGCTAAATCAACTCTTATCTATTCTTTATAATAAATTTTTTTTTTTAAATGGCATTGTTCCATAAATATTTTAATTTGAGAATTTCTTGAAATTAATCAGAGTTGTATTTTTTGAAATTTTTTTTTTGCATAAATTTCAATTTAATATGTGCGTAGTAGCTTTATGTTTCAGTTGGGAAGTCAGTTGGCATCGAAGAGGATACTTGGTTTGTTTTATGCAACGAACAGGTTCATACATTTATTTAAATATATATTAAACATTTATTAATTGGAAATGAGATATGGGAAATGAGATAAATTTCATGAAAAGTTCGGACATAATCTTTAAAACGTGTGCGTTGTTGGTTTATATTTAGGTTCTTTGTTAAAAACTTTATTTTTAAACGAACAACCAAATTGTTTTGCTCTTTTGAGATTGGTGTCTTCAAATATAGTTAGAACATTATATGGTCAAAAAATGGTCTTTGATAGTCTCGATTGCAAATGCTATCCATTAGCTCGAAAGGATGATACCATCGTTGAAGATTTCCATGGGATAAAGGCAAGTCATTTTCATGATGCTGTAATTTTACATTATTCTATGTTTGATATGATGAAGTGGTATTTGATATAATTGATGTTCAGGTTCCGAGTAATTTTAGCGACACATCTATATCGTTATATCATGAAATGACTCTCTCTGGCAAAATTTTTTGTGGTCCTAGTCGACATTATTAACCACTTCCAGAAAAAAATATGTATTCAGGTGCCTGATCCATATCGATGGCTTGAAGATCCTGATTCTGCCGAAACCAAAGAATTCGTTAACAGAGTTAACAGCATTTCGGAACGGTTTTTTAAAGGTTCATCCATTCGGGAAAAAATTCGCAAAAGGTTTATCTTTTTTATCTTTGTCTTATCATAAGTTATTTCATCTTTTTTTTTCATCTTTTTTTGGTACTTCGCTGGGATTATGGAAAATTTACAGAAAACTAATTTTTAATGAAAAATATAAATTATTAATTTAATGTGAATATAAAAAATGTAAATATAAATTTTAAATGAAAAATAAAAAATAACGTTATACGGCGATTTTTAGTTATCTTTATATCTTTATATCATTTGTTATATTTGTTAGGTATTATTTGTTATACTTTTTAAGATTAACACAACTATGGAATTATGAAAAATATTATTGTCCATCGAAGAGAGGCAAATATTACTATTATTATTACAATACTGGGCTGCTAAATCAGAAGTAAATCCGTAAATCCTTTTCTATTTTTATTATTATTCATTTACTTTCGTCCAACGGTTTATTATCTTGGATTTTTCAGCGTACTTTACCAACAAAATAATATTAATGAAAAGGGCCACGTTTTTTTGGATCCCAATAAATTTTCTGATGATGGCACAGTTTCTATTCGTATCCAGTGCTTCTCAAAAGACGGTTCTATCTTGGCATTTGGTTTATCGGAAAAAGGAAGTGATTGGGTGACACTTCGAGTAAATTTTTGCTTATTATAACTTATGTGGGTTCTTTAGAAAAAATTTTTTTTAATCTTTATTTATAAGTTAGATCATTGTGAAATGTCGAATATTTAAGTGGCATCCAAAGATAAAAGTATTAAAACTGATGGTTTAGCTAACATTTCATTCGTATTTTTTTCTTCAGTAATAGATAAATTTTCAGTTCCGAACTGCCGAAGGAGTGGATGTGAAGGATGTTGTGAAGGGAGTTAAATATAGTGGTCTCGCTTGGATGCCTGACAATAGCGGTGTTTTTTATTCAGTTCGTAGTTTTAAAATTTTCAGAAATTCTAATTTTTTTTTATTTATAAATATAATGCACATAATCGCTTTTTTTTGAAATTTTTTCCTTTTTTCAGTAATTCTTCAATGGGTAATTTAATTAACTGTGAAAAAATTTAAAAAAGTTAGAATTCTTTTTCAATTTTTAAAATTCTAGATGAAACATTTGAAACATTCAAAAATTAATGAAAGAAAAGGGGAAGAATTTCCAGCTTTTTTATTGTTTCTATCAACTAAAATATGAAAAATATGAAAATAAATATGAAAATATAAAATATGAAAAATATTAATAAGAATTAATATTTTTCTTATTTCGAAAGCGCTGATTTTGTAGGCTTATCCCGATTATAAAGGTGCTTTGGAGGGATGCGCAGTTGAAAAAAATGAATATCAATCGCTCTTCTTCCATAAAATGGGAACTGCACAAGAGGATGATGTTCTTATTGCAGATTTTAGATCCGATCCCCGTTACATGTGGTTAGTTTTCTATATCGTGCCACTGATGGGAACTTATTTGTATTTTTCGATTTTTTTTTCAAGATTTCATTCTTGGTTATATTCACTCCATTAGCTTGTCGGATTAGACGAAATTCACTAAGAATAAGAGATTTGAAGATAGAAATAGAGGTAAGTCAAAAGCATTTTTTAAATTTTTTTAAAACAATTTTACTTCAGCCCGAAATAAAACTTCAGCATCATGTTTAATTCTGAAATGTAATAACTCATTAAGCCATTTTTGCCTTATTTTTCGACAATTATCAAGATCAATCTAGTCATGGGGAAGTAAGTGATGATGGACGTTATTTGATTGTGGATGTGAACAAAGGTTGTGACCCGACAAATATGTTGTATTATTACGATTTATCAACCTTAGAAAATAATGAAATCAAAGGAAAATTGGATCTTCTACCTCTTTTTGATAAAGCGGACGCTAAATATGAGGTTCCTTATCTCTTATTTTTGGTTTTTAATTTTAGCTTCATTTTGTTCCTACATGCTTGATGCTTTTTAAAGAGATTGTTTATTTAAAAATTTAATTTAATTATTTAAGTTTATCGGTAATGATGGAGATTATGCGTTTGTTCTTACAAACCACTCTTCACCTATGTACAAACTTATTCGAACAAAATTTTCCACCGTTCAAGTTGGATTAACATGGGAAACTATTATTAAAGAGAAAGAGAAATGTAAATTAGATTGGGTAAAATTCGCTGGAAAAGATCGCTTGATAGTTGCTTATTTGGAGGATGTGAAGGTATTCAGTCAAATCTTTATGGCCTTTGTACCAATATTATTTTCCTATAATGTTTGATTTTCATTTAATTTTATAGTATGAAATAAAAGGAAATATATATAATAATGATAATAAAAGTAGAATTTTATTTTTAGACGAAATTGTATGTATATTGCCCGAATACTGGTGAACGTTTATGTCAAATACCTCTTGATATTGGGACAATTTCTGGTGTATTCTGCACAATATCTGTTAATGAATTATTTCTCTTATTTGAATCGTTCTTCACGCCAGGCATAATTTATCATTGTGATTTTCAAGGCCTTGAACTATCGGAACCATTGAAGCTTAAGGTAATTTGAAATGTCCTCCAACTTGTTCACACTTTATTTTTCATTTTTAATATATTCATATTTTCTTTTTTTTATGAAGTAGGATCTTGATCGGTAAATTACTCGGTAGATTCTTTTTTACTATTAGCTTTTTTTTCTGTTTTCATCTGTCTTTTTTGCCTTTTATCTAAATTTTGGGTTTTAGAAAGCGACTTTTATGTTTTCTGATTTAGCTGGAACTACAGTTTCATTGATTCATTGACACATAGGAAAAAGAAAAGTTATAGGAAATTCGGCGAATAAAACTATCAGATGTTGATACCAACGAATTTTTTGTGAAACAAGTGTTTGCCTCAAATCGCGATGGGACTAAGGTATATGTTTAAAGTTTGAAGTATATGTGCTTTAAGAAACTAGTTTGTTGCGGCAAATATTCGCATGTTGAAATATTGTTTAAATTCAATAATTTAAATACTATCTAGCAAAGTAGATTATTTCACTGATATATACCTCAGGTGCCGATGTATATTATGCATAATTCTTCGATCAAATTGGATGGTAACGCTCCTACAATTCTTAATGGTTATGGTGGTTTTAACAGAAGCATACTACCGAATTTCTCAATTTCTCGGCTTTTGTTCTTGGAGCACTTTAATGGTATTATTGCGCAAGCTAATCTTCGAGGTGGCGAGTAAGTTCAATGTTTTGATTCGATTTTATTTTTTCTTGTGATGTTTTTATTTTTTATTTTAGTTAAATGAGATTATGATATGCTTAATCCTTAACTTGTTTGATATTTAGCGAATATGGCGAAAAATGGCATGAAGCTGGTATGCTTGAACGTAAACAGAATGTTTTTGACGATTTCATTGCTTCAGCGGAATACCTGATTAACAATAAATATACATCATCTGAAAGGTTTTTCATTTTGAATACTTTACTGAATGATAATGTAATATCAAGACATTTAGACAACAGCTTGACTTGTTTAACTTTTAAAAGTTTTAGTTGGAATGGTCAGGGAGATTAAATTTAATGCTTTTCCAGACTTGCTATACGTGGCGCTTCAAATGGTGGGTTGCTAGTTGCTGCATGTTCTCAACAGCGTCCTGATTTGTTTGGAGCAGTAGTTATTGAAGTTGGGTTAGTATTTTTAATCATGAATAAATGGTTAAATATTGTGTATCATGTATCATAGAATAAATTTGTAGATTATCCGCAATTTTTTCAGAGTGCTTGATATGTTGCGTTTCCATAAATTTGGTATTGGTGGTGCTTGGATACCGGAATATGGTGATCCCGATAATCCATCTCATTTTTGCTTTTTATATAAGTCTGTTGTCGAATTTTCTTGTTGAAAATAATTTTTGTTTTGCAAAATATAAAAATGGCGTATAAATTTAAAAGTTACCTTCAGATACTCACCTTTGCATAACATACGTATGCCACAGGCAAATCAATGGCCCTCAACTTTATTAATGACTGCCGACCATGACGACCGCGTAGTGCCATCGCATTCACTTAAATATATAGCTCGCCTTTATGAAGAAATATTAAAGCATGGTGACACCCAAACAAATCCAGTCCTTATACGTGTAGAGGTTAAAGCTGGACATGGTTCTGGAAAGCCAACGAGCAAATTGGTTAGTCTTCCATTATATATTATTAGCAGTTCGTAGATGAAATTAAATGATTAGGTGATATTTTTTATTTTTTCATAAATTTCAATTGATTTCTTTTTTTGCGATGATTTAAAATAAAAATTTTATGTATAAATTTTGTATATAAAAACAAAAATCAAACAATTTCAGATTGCGCATTTGGTTGACATGTTTAGTTTCTTGCAACGCGTTCTCGGATTGACTTGGAAAGATAAATAGATTTTTTTATTTTTATCCTGCACTTATTTTTTTTTCTTCGCCATATTTTTTTTTTCGTTTAACGGCCATAAAGTTCTTTTAACTGTGCCATTATTCAAAGATTCGAAATTGCTTATTATAGTTCTTGGTTTTTTATGTTTTAATTTTATTTTCTATTTGCATCTTGTTAAATTTTTATGATGAATTATAGGCTATATGATCATATGACGAAAAAATTCTTGAATCGTTTCGTTTAATGGTTTTTGCTGGATTATATATCTAAAAAAATTCATAAAAATATATCGATAATGATAAATTATGCACCAATTTTTTTGTTGTTATATTGGTTTTGCAAAATTTTTTTTCTATATTCTTTTTCATTAAGCATTTTTTTAACGCCGGCAATCTATTGTTTCGCTTCAGTTTATTCCTTTAATCCAATTTTGTCTTTCACACGAATTCGTTTTAAATGTCATTTTTAATTTCCCTTATAATCTCTCCTTCAAGAAACGGCTATCTTAAAAATTAATTTCCTCTCGCTGTACTGCTATATTCACCTAATATCTCATTAAACATACTCTTTGAACTCAGTAATATTATAAATCTTTTAATATGAATTAATGTTGTTTTTCCTAATCGAATATAGAAGGAATTCATGTTGTTTTGTCGTTTTCAAGTCAACAAAGCCTACTCTAACGAAAAATTCAAAAAATCTGTTTTTACCGTCACAATTTTACCAGTATGAAAACAATACTGGTGTAGGAATTTTTTGGAGCCTATAGAAAAAGGTATCGAAATTACTAATTGGAAGTGCTAAAAATTATAAGAAATTATAAAATTATAAATTTATGCGAATTTTAACGAACGCATTGTAACTTAATATTTTGCACGGGTTAGACCAGCAGGGAGCTTTTTATTCAGGTTTGGATTGTGGTTTATGGTGCTCCCCAGCATGACTGGGACAACCGGTTGATTTTAGCCAAGCATCCAACTAAGGTTTACAGCCGTGGTAGCTATGTGGTTCTGCCTAAATCATTAATAGAAGAAAAGACACGCAATAAAATAGGATAAATTAAATGAGAGTATGATAAAACTTGAAAGATTCCATTATCTTTCTCACATATCAGTCGCATTAGATTTTTTTTGCTGATAGCCGGTCCTCTAACGAAATTATTCACCTGGTTAGTGTCCATTTGTCAACCACTTTGTATTTATTCCGAAAAATCACAAATGTTAAATTCGAGTCGAGGACGTAGTAATTGCAAATAGTGGAACTCGATAGAGGCATTTCACAGGGCCGAAATCATTAGGTGATTCCAGTAATTACTAAAATGGAAATAAAAAAGCATCGGTTCTTAATTTCCTTTTAAAAATATCTTTAAAAAAAGGCTGAAAAAATGAAATTTGTTTGTTGTTATTAGGAGACCTCGAAATGCCTCACCATTACTGGTTAGACTTGCTCCACTGGTTTGCCGCATTAGACAAATATGCCAGAGGAGTCCTTTGGCAACAGAAATACAGGTGAGTCGCTAGCATCCGTCGGACAAGTTTACTCCTGCGGAACGTGGAACATCAACATTGGCGCTTCAAAATGAGCAATTGAGTTACAAAAAGCAACCAACCAATCAATTTATATAAATTAATTAATTTATTTATTATTATTAATTATTTCTTGTTAATTAATTAATTAATAATTTATTATTAATATTTATATATTTTTCCATAAATTAAATTCAGCTTTTTACCAAAAATTTTTCCCAAAAAATTTCTCATTTATCAATATTTTTAAATATTTTGAAGCGCATTATCGAGTAGCGCTAATTTTGTTGCCATAGCAATTCGAATAGAGTCAATATAGAAATATTTTATTTTTCGTAAAAATCGCTTGAAAATTTTTGAAAAGTTTTAGATTCTAAGCAGCCAAATGCTTGGCCCGTCAATTAGCGATAGTAGTGAAGAGGGAAATGAACGCCAAAATATGAACGAAAATAAAATAGGAAATTTTATATCGAAGGCGTCGGTAGGTTGCTTTTTGCAATCAAACATTTTTTTTTTGGCTTTTGGCAAATTTGGCAATGTAAATATTTTAAAATTCCAGTGGATTTTTTGCGGTGGAAGCCTTACGAATTACGAAAAACCGCGATTATTTATGACTTCGAAATAGGTCACATAAAATCGCTTATAGGCTCATTAATATATGAGAATTTTTACTTATTATCGATTTTTATTTGTATTTTTATTATTTTAAATAATTTTACTAAAATTATAAAAAAGTAACATAATGAAAACTAAATATATTATTTTCAGGAATCAAGTAAAATTCCAAGCAGTTTTAATAAAAATGAAAGGAATATGGAAAATTTTATGGAAGAAACAAATAGATATAACACAAATGGTTAATGCATTTTTTTCACTAATTAATTAATATTAACATTAATAAATATTAATAAATTAATATTAATAATTAATATTAACAAAAATAATAAAAATGGATAATAAAAAAAATTTATCAAAATTTCAGACAGATCTTTGCAATCTTCTGATATGAATCAAAACCATACAACGGTCCGAAATTTTCGAATATTTTACAAAAAATTTTATATAAATGGCTATCTAATCCATAATGCTTAGATTTAGTCTTTATTTGTAGGCTTTATTAGAAATAGAGGATGCAGAGAGTTTTACTGGAGTACCACAGTACCAGAGTACCAGAATTCCACTTTTTCCATTAACAGATTCACGAATTAAATCAGTGTTTTTTCTCAAACAAAAAAGTAGTACGTCAGAACGAATGAGATGAAAAGAAAGATTTTGAAAAATTTACTTTCTTTATTATAATCATAGTTGTGGGATCTGATAACTGAAAAGTGATCAAATCAAAACAATAAATATGTTGATAAATTTGCGCGACGAATTTTTTTGCAGTTAGTAATTAATTTTCAAAAATTAAAAGATGGATTTTTAAAAAATTCTCATCCAATATTAATAAAATTAATTAAAATATAAATATGGAACATTTAAGGATCCAACGAATGCTCCTGCGGAGAATAAATTATATGAAGGTAATGTTTGATGGTGAAATAATAATATTTGCCTTATCTAATCACTTCTGATATCTAAATTATGAATTGGAAATTTCATATCATTTATCATAATCATACTGAGTATGAAAGTGAGAGCAATTTGCAGGGCACAATTTTGAATATCCTAAAGAACCACCACCAGCATATTCCAGTGGCAGTCATACACCGGAAGAAAATCCACTAATTGATGAAGATGACTTTGGTTTGAGTTTGGCTATTCTTCATTTATTTTGATGAGGAAATATTTTATTACGAAAGCAGAATCCTTTAACTTCTTCTAATAGTGCTGAATGCTAACCCAACAGAATTTTATGAGAATATTGATTAGACCTCGGCACCACTCGTCCAATATTCTTATAGGCTCTTTACTCCCATTCAGCAATAGGGTTAGGTTTACACCTAACTTTCAAATTCATAATACTTTAGGGCATAGGCTTTCGAATGCTTGGCATTGCTTTAGTCCATCGAAACAACACATCGATCTGGACCATAAGAACCAATGAAAAGAGAATTTCAGTTTTAGAAGAAGGATCAAAACCAATGCGAACCAGCGGATCTATTGCGAATGTTGTAACAAATATGGCGAATATAATTACACCGGCAATTGAGCAAACTTTTTCAAAAACATCACCATCATCTTCGAAACAGTTGGAATCGGAAAATTCATCTTTTAATATTAACCATGGTGAATTTTTTTCTCTTTCTGGGATTATTTATATAAATTTGTATGGGTTTTCTTCAATCGACTGAAGAAAATTTTCAAAAAGACCGGGCAATCATTTTTCTGCCAGATATTCTTTATCGGAGACGCCACTGGGGAACGCCCTCTTCGCTATGCCAAAGAGCATAAACTTTTTGTTATCAATACTTGCTTCCGGCATCGTAGAAAATATCTAGTTACGTGGAACTTCCCAGATAACCAAGACTTCAACCAGATTAATTATATCTATGGAAATTGAAAATTAAAAACCATTTGTAGGTGGTGAATTGAATCCTTTACGAGTTCTAATAACATTGGAATAAAATAGTATAAAATTATTCATATTCAGCACTCGTAAATTAGAAGATCAAATATTTTTCATTTTTCATTTTCAATTCAACTGGGTATTCATAAATGAAAAAATATTAATCCAAGCAAAAAAAGAATTTACAGGCTTTTTTGTCTATTAAAAATTGCTCTTTTATTTTATTTTTATTCAAACATTTTTTAATTATAATTTATTATCAATTTATTCTTTAATTACAATTTATTATCAATTTATTATCAATTTAGAATCGAAGTTATCAAAGAGTTCTATCGATGATATTGAAATTTTTGAATATATCAATGCGTATAAACCTGAAAATATTGAAATTAAATTCTTATTAAAACCATTTCTACTCGATTATATTCCAGCAATTGGCGATGTTGATACTTTCATTAAAATTCCTCGACCTGATGGGGTCGTTTATTTTTTATTTTATATTTTTAATTATCGAATTTTTATTATCAAATAAGGAAATTAAGGAAAAGATTTACGGAAAAAATATTAATTTCAAAAATTACAAGTCTAAAAATTAATTTTACTACATTAATGAGACGATGAAACTAGTCTAATTTTATATTTAGGTTGAGGATAATCTTGGTTTAACTGTACTCGATGAACCAGCCATTCAACAAAGCGATCCAACGATCGTTGGTATGCAACTTCGTAATGAATGCAAGGAAATCAAGACTGAAACGTTGGTGAAAAAATTAGATCGCGGTGATAAAAATGGTGCTGAAATTGAACGATGGATTGAAAACATTAAGGCAAGTGATTATTAACGTAGAAAATGAGCAATATAGTAAGAAGACATCACTCTCTGTTACTGATTATTGTCTAATAAAGAATCACCTGAGATGCAATCAGTTATGGCATATTTTTTAAATATGTGATTGAAATGGCTATTGTCGAAATGAAGAATAATTTCAGTCATTAAATGATAAGATAGTAAGATTAATGATAAAAATGATAAAATTCAATCATAAAATATGAAATAAATATAAAATAATATTAAACAGAAAGGATTTTCTATTCTTTTTGCACGACAATAAACCTGTCAAAACTTGCCAGAAATTTAAATTGTGAGATCTACTTGGATTGGTTTGAAATCAATAAGGGTAGAAATATAGAAATGAATGGGGAGTGCAGGAGAATAAAAGTTGATCCGCTGTAGTTTTAGAGGAACTATATAAGAGCATGAGAGTTGGGTGTCGAACTGTGGAAGTTAGGTGGGATCAAAAATGAAACCGCTGGAATGCCGCATAGTCTGCTGGTTGCGTTGGCGCACCATAACCACACGGTATTTGCAGCTCCAACAATTGTTTGTGATCCCCAAATTTTTATATCATTTGAAACATCTATTTTTTGAGTTAAATTTAAATTTTAAAAATTTTAATTTTAAATGATTTTAAATAATGGCATTTATTATTATTATAATTATTATTACTTTCATATTATCATATTATTATTTATTATTATTATATTATTTTTATATTAGCATTTCGCGAAGCTTCTTTGATAATCATTTTGTTACCAACATGGAAAAGTTTTCAAAAATTTAGGATTTTCTAGGAATTGCATCGTAGCAAACCTCCGGATAGTGTTACTTATACAAAAATAATGCCGGATATCGAAAAACTAATGCAAGAATGGCCTAATGAATTAGAAGAATTACTCAAATCCGAACGAGTACGTCTTATCATTTACCTTTATTTTACTACAACTACAATTTTCGTTTTTCTCTATCTTATTTTAGTCTAAAATTTTTCTTAATTCATTTGATAACAAATAAGCCAAAGTTAAAGTTTAAACTTCTAATGAGAATAAAAAAAAATTTACACTTGGTTAATAATTTTATAATTTTAATATTATAATTATACTATTATAATATTATTAATTATTCTCATTAATTATTGTTATCAATATTTAATATTGTTATTAATACTGTTAATACTGTTGTTAATTATTATTATTAATTAATATTATTATTAATTGTTATTTGTTGTCATATTATTATTTATTATTATTACATTATTTTTATGATATAATATTAATATTTACTACTATATTATTACTATTATTTACAACTATTACTTTTTTTTAGGAGTCCTCACCATTACTGGTTAAACTGGCTCCACTGGCTTGTCACATTGAGCAATATGCCAGTGAGTACCTTGGCGATAGAAATTTAGTCGCCAGCATCACCCGGATTTTTGTAGAGGTTTACTCCTGCGGGGAATCGAACCTCTGCATCGGTGCTCTCAATCAAGCAAGCACCCACTGAGCCATTCTATCCGCATTATCATTATTATATTATTATCATTAATTATTATTAATATTGCTAATTTCAGTTACCGTCAGCATCTTTGGATGTAAGTTTAGAAGAATATACCGATATTTGCTTATCACTTCTCGACATACCCGTATATAAATCTCGCATAGAGTCGTTACACGTTCTTTTCACTCTTTTTGCCGAATTTCGTAATTCTCAACATTTTCGTAATTTAGCAGAAAATAATCTCATGAATATGAATATGAATGAAGTTGGAGCTGAACGATTGGAATTATAAGATTTTTTTATTTTTTCATTTTTTTATTTTTGTATATTTTTAGTAAATTTTATTTATATCGAAGAGAATTGATAATTTTTGTCTTATATTTTTTTGTTTTTTCACTTTATTTTTATAGCCAAAAACGAATTTAATTTTCTTTCATACTAATTTCGAAAAATTTATTTGAATAAAATTTTTATTCCAATTTTTAAATTTTTATTCCAAATTGCCTTCAATAGTCTAATATTTATGAGCAATTAAATTTAATTAAGTATTCTTTTCTCGCAAACAACGTTCGATTCGATTTGCATCGATTACATTGAATTTTTGAAAATTTCTTACAAATCGTGGTTAATATCATTTACATTATTAAAAAAAAAAAAAGAAAAAAACGATTTTTCTCTAAAATTGATATTTTTCATATGCAATTTGAATTATTTTTCCCATTAATTTTTTACATTTTTTTCATTTTATTTCCTTTATTTTATATTTTTTAATATTTTTTATGTTTATATTTATTATTAGTTTATATTTATTTTATTTTATATTTTTATATTTTTTATGTTCTTTAACATGTAAAAATTAATGTTATTTTTATTAAATTTTTTTATTTTAATTTCTTTTGTATAGTTATTGTATAATTGTAATATTTTAAATTATAAATTTAGAAAACTATTAAATTAAATTTTTATGAAAAATTGAGAATTAAAAACTAATAATGATAATGAATTTTAAAAATTCTATTTGGAATACTTAGAAAATTCAAGAAAATGAGCATGAAAATATTACAATAATAATTCCTTTCGAAGACGAAAATCGCATTAAATGGCCTCGTTGAACAGTCGAGTTAGTATAAAGATTTGTCTCTATCCTAACCACTGCTTGAACCGTTTTTTGAAATCAGTTTATGCATCATCAGTTTCTCACGGGTATATTTGCATATTTTATCAATTACCATCTATCTCAACCCACAGATAACACATCCTATCAATTACCATCCATCTCAATTCATGAATTGCACACTCCACTCAACTAAAATTTATACTGCGGATAATGTGGATAAAAGAAATATAAATAAATAAATATATATATATAAAATATATAATAATATGTTTATTCGCTTAAATAGAATCAATATCATCATGGAAATAATTAGTTGCAATAAGTTGCAGATTTTCGATGCTACAATATCACCGCAGATGAAGGCGAAATTTTTTTTGAATTTTCATTTCGAATGGCTCATAATTTTAACAGCAACGTTTTTAAAAATTATTTTTCATAAATTTTTATAAATTTTGGGATTTATTTTTTTTTATAATATATGTATATATATAAATGTTTTGATTGGTATCGGCCATTCATAATTTCTGATGATAGAGGATTGAGAAGTTGAAGATTTTAGCTGTTCTTAGCAGAGAATGCTATTCTCGACAGAGATCGCTGAAATTGTTCCTGGAATCTGTTGGTGCCATTTTTCTAGATTTTTAGATTTTTAGATATCACAAATCTTAATGCATCAACTACCACTGAGACCACTTTCCACATTTTATCTATTTTCTTATATTCCTTCTTCACAGTATCTACTGCTTGGTGTTGCTATATTTATCACCAATGTTGACTTCTGATTCTTGTTTACTACCACATTATCTGGTTGATGGGCCAGTGTTTGTTTGTCTGTTTGGATGAGCAAGTCCCATACCCTTATTATTTTCCATGATTTAGGGCATATCTGGTCTTCAGAGGGTCTAAGCCATATGCTGATTCCTATAGACACTGCAAACTAATTAATTACACTGTTTAATTTATACTGTTTCGTTGGACGTTTTTGAGATTTTTTTGCACCTTGAGTGCTATTTAATGGATCTATCGTTTAATCCTCGTTCTCTTGTTACCATAATCAATAGAGTATGCCATTGGCTCAGCGGCAGAATAATTTTGCCGCGAATTGGGGTTTGGGCTCGAATTTGCCGATACACCACACTTCGTTAAGCTGCACTGTTTCTTAACGAAGAAAAGCAAAGAAAAATAGAATGGCCCAGTGGGTTATTGCTCAATTTGGATTGCCAATGCTAAAATTCGGTAGGAGAAACCTGTACCAAAAATCCGGGTGGTGACGACGACCATTTTAATCCTAAGGGGCTATCTAATATATTTGCTTCGACAAACCAGCGAGGAGAATGCGACCAGTAATGGTGAGTGCTTTTAAAAAAAAAAGATTCAGTTTCTTTTAACCTTTTTCTAACCACTGGTATGATTTCTTAATGTCAGCTATCTCAGTCTATGGTATATCCCATGGAGAGTCATGGTACTTCCTCTATTTGGTCTTGCTCGAATGTCTATGCTTATGCTCTTCTCAACGACTTTGATGTTTTCTTGCTAACGTCTTCCTGATTACTTCAGGTTCGAGATTGGTTCACCAAGCTTCACGTCCATCTTCTTTTTATTCTTTAAATGTGGACTTGAGGTAGAAATTACCGTGCTTTATGAAGAATTTCCTTCCTTTTCACATCGGCAACCTACATGTCCTTCCTTTGATTATCTTTTGCCAGCAGCCTATCTGATGATTTGGTAGGGCGTGAATGTTTATGGTATTGTTTTATTTTTCCCATTGAGCTGGCCCTTCAAGATCTATTTTATTATTTGGTAATTCTTAGATATTGCAACTTTTTTTGCCTCTTCATTATTGTTTCTGTAGGATACCACGATATTTATATATATTCCACTTCTCGCTCCTTTAGGTAATGTAGGTCTAAACCTCGGGTTCTCTACCAGAGATCTGCGAGATCAAGGTGAGGCGCAGATATCTTTTTATAGGATCTTACCCAAGGATCTTCACCGAAAAGGTGGAGAAGATTGGCTGAGATTCGAATCATTGTTGTTACACTCGTTTAATATATTTATAATTATTTTATTATAATATTTATAATTGTTATAATTGTATAATTTTAATGTATATATATTTGTTTATATATATATTTGTTTAATGTATATAATTATTTTACAGTTTTTTCCGCACTCTGTGGATGATATGGATGAGTCTTCCTCGAATTTTTTACCAGAGACCTGGGAGACCTGGGAGTTTAAGGATGAGCAAATGAGCATTCATTTATAGTTAGCCCATCTGAAGCCATTTAAATTCTATATTTTGCATTGTTTTATCTTTCAACTTCACTCTGCTTTTTGATTGCTCACCTTTGAACAGCCTTTTCTCAAAAACCCAAGTTCTGATGCGCTGGCCGAAGCTCGGTTTTATATATCAGTAACCATTACCAATGAACCAATAAATTGTTCCAACGGTTACACAAATTAAAGATAAAGAGAAGCTTTATTAACTCAATTGGTTTTTTGAATTTTTTTTGTTGAAAATTTTTCTCATGGCTAAATTTTATACTATGGGGATAGAATTGCTCAGTGTGTTGTTGCTCAGTTTGGAACGCCGATGCTGAGGTTCGACTCCCCGCAGAAATAAACCTGTATAAAAATCTGGGTGATGCTGGCTGCTCACTTGTATTTCTATCGCCAAGGGACTCCCTGGCATATAGCTCAATGTGATAAGCCAGTGGAGCGAGTTTAACCAATAATGGTGAGGACTCTTAAAAAAAAAATTTACACTACAGCATTTGATTGAAATTAATATAATTATAATTTCAATGGGTAGGATAGGATATTCTGGCAAGTTTCTAGTCATCCTAAGTGAATAGACTTGGAACTGTGATCTCTAATACCGAAAAGTGACCTTAGCAGATTTCAGGAATAGCATCAGAGATATCTATCAAAAAGAGTGCACTATTAGGATCGGCTACGATATTGCGTAATTCCCTCAATCTTGTAAAGGGCCCAAGGTTGAGGATTATCACATTCACCCATAGGGGAATGAGAGAAAAATTTTTCATATGTTGCTATAGTTCCTTTCAATCAACTACTTTAGGGTCAAAAAAAATGCTTTAATTTGATTTTTATTATTATTGTTATTATTATTATACTTTTATTGCTATAATTGTATAGTATTGATATTATTAATATTATTAATGCTATTAAATAATAATAGTAATGATAAGACACTAATAACTAGCTATATAGTTATTATCGATTGATAATTATTGTTATCATCATTTATTATTATTTATTAAATTATTATGGAATTTAACAATTTTTTTATTTTTCAGAAAAAAATTAGTGACTAGAAAAAATGATTCATCAAAAGCAAAATAATATTTCGAATGGAGATGCTAATCCTCTTATCACTGTTAAGCAGTTTGAAAACTTAGTAAACGATAAACAATTTAATAGCAGTAAAAGAATTGGAGTGATAGGTATGGCATGTAGATTTCCATTAAATACTTCGGATCCAATGGATTTTTGGAATTCACTGAAAATTGGTCGCGATAATACGATTAAAATACCATGCTCGAGAATAGAAAATCGAGATAATTTAATATCACAAACAAATGATAATTCATTAACTAGATGCCATTTGTTATCACATGATATATCATTATTTGATGCCAATTTTTTTGGAATTTCGAAAAGTGAAGGAGAAAAAATGGATCCACAACAGCGATTATTACTCGAATGTATCTATGAATGTATGGAAAATGCAAATTTAACAACACTAAATGATACGGGAATGTTTATCGGTGTGATGAGTATTGAATACGCTAATCTCGCCAATAAACTCGATATTATTTCGATGCTTGGCTCGAGCGCATCTGTTATTTCTGGCCGTTTAAATCATATTTTCAATAGTAATGCGCCAAGTATTACTATAGATACGGCGTGTAGCTCATCACTTGTTGCTCTTGATCTAGCTGTTAAAGCGATTTCAAACAATGAATGTTCTAAAGCTATAGTTGCTGGAGTTAACTTGATTTTAACTGAAGACGGACTTAGACGTCGAATGAATGGAGGAATGTTATCAACTGATGGATTATGCAAAGCGTTTGATGCCGAAGCTAATGGTTATGGAAGGGCTGACGGCTGTGCAGTTCTATTGCTAGAGGCAATAGATTCTAAAGTTTTACGCTCAATCCTTGGTTACATTGAAATAACATCTGTTAACCACAAAGGCAGGAGTATTTCATTAACAACTCCAAAACAAAAGTCGCAAGAAAAGCTGTACAAGAAATGTCTTCGAAATATTCCTAGAGATATCAATGTGACATACTGGGAAGCGCATGGAACAGGTACAAATATTGGTGATAAAAAGGAGGTTCGATCACTTAGCAATTGCTTAAATGAATGTATTATTGGTACTGCAAAGGCTCATATCGGTCATACTGAAGCTGGGTCGGGTGCAGCTGGATTCATAAAACTTCTTTTGCAAATGCAACATGAATACACGGCATCCCATATTCATTTTTCAGTTGCTATGAATAAATTTCATAATAAATTACGATTACCACTTATAGGAGAGGAATGGTTCGGTAATGCTATGGGAATTTCTTCATTTGGAGTTAGTGGTACAAATGCAGCAGCAATAATCACTAAGCCATTAAATAATTGCAGGGAATTGTTGTTATCAAAAAGTCAAAAAAATTTCTATATTTGCCCAGTTTCTGCTAAATCTGAATTATCACTGTACATGTTAATTGATTTATATGCTCAAATGCTTCATGAATCTTCTCATGCATTATGGTTGCTTTGCACTTGTGCAGCTATTAATCGAAATCATTTCAAATACCGAGCCGTTTTTCTAGCAAATAAATCATCAGATCGACAAATTAAAAAAATTCTGCCAAAATCTTTTAATGAAATAAATCGCCCATTTGGAATTAAATTATCTATTAAAAGTCTAAATACGCAAAATTTTATAAAATGGTTTGCTGTAAAAGCGAATAGAAAAAAATTCAAAAAATCAGAACGGATAATCCAACGAATAAACGAAAAACTGATAAAATTTTATCAGAAATCTTTATCAGAAAAATATTTGCTATTATCTGCTTATTTTTATGCGTTAATTATGCAATTCATTGATATTGGATTACAAATCGATGCAATTGAAATCGCTGAACGACGATCTATTGTTTTAGCATTTGCTTTAACGAATATATTTGAGAAAAAAAATGAAAAAATTATGAAAAAAAATTCATTTTCGACGAATCGAAAAAAATTTTTTCAAGAAAACGTAAAAATTTTCATTTCATCAGATTTAAAACAACAATTACTTCTCGTTTATCGTTTATCATTAAACAATTATCTCTTTGATAAGCAAAATTCATCGAATAACGATTATAAATGGTTTGATCTTAAAAAAATTTCGCATAGTAATTTTTACGATTTAATCGGTCAATTTTATATTAATGGTGCTACAATTATTTGGAAAAAAATTTGCAAAACGCCAGTTCAATCCGTTTATTTGCCTAATTATACGTTTAATCGTGAAAAATTGTGGTGTATAAGTGGAAAAGAGGAAATTTTTGACGACTCACTACTCGGACGAATTGTTAAAAAATTTAATAATATAATTGAATTTGAGAATTACATTAATATCAACGATAATCCGGATTTTTTCGATTATTTAATCGACAATGAGGAAAAATTTCCATTCGGTTTGATAATCGACTTAACGATAAGAGCATTAAAATTCGTTATCATGCAACAACAACAAAATGATCGCTCGCAATTTCCTTCTGTTCAATTGATAAATCTAAAATTTAAGAAGCAAACAATTTCAAAAAATGGTTTTTGGATAAGAATACGACTATCGAGGACGAATACGATTCATTATAACATCGTAATAAATTCTCAAAATAATATTCTTTTTTCTGCTGATTTACAATTATGTAAATCGTTTTCAGAAAAAAATATCGTAAAAAAACTTCCAAAAATCAAAATGAGACCAATTTTGAGATTTTATGAAATATTAGAAGAAAAAGGCATAAAATATAGACGAAATATGCAAATTATTGCCGTAAGTTCAAAAAACGGAGAATATTTTCGAATAAAGTGTTTAGAAAGTAATATTTGGACTATGGCATCAGAAGCGATTCTACAAATTTTATACTTCAAAAATATTCTATCAGCCAAAAATTTCGACATTTTAAGCCAAATAAATAACATTCGACTCGATTCTTCCTCACTTCCAGTTGAATTATATATAAAATTTTCATATAGTGCCGTGCTTTTATGCTCAAAAGATGGCATTGTTTTCGCAAATTTCTCGATCAAAACAGAATTTAATGAAAAATTACATAATGAAAATTTAATGAAAATTATAGATGAGGAAAAATTGGAATCACAAATTGATAAGAAATATCAAAATGAATATATGTTTCCGGAAAATAGAGAAAAATTAAAACTTACAATAAATGATGTCGCGAATAAAGTAAAACGTGCAATGGAAGACGTATTAGGCGGACAAGCTAAACGAGATGATTTTCAATTAAGCGACACATTTAATAAGTATGGCTTTGATTCCTTGGCTATTACGGATTTAACTAACCGACTCTCGGAAAAATATTTTAGTGGAATCGATATTCGTGTAGTCGATATATTTGAAAGTAGAACCGTGGAATCGTTAGCTAATTTTATTTTTACAAAGCTTAAAATCAAGGAGTTGTCTAAACACGTGGAGATGGAAAAATATATCAGTGATAATGAGACTAGTAAAGATTCTAGCGAATTCTCACAAAAGGATTCTGGTTTATCGTTGAGTCGAGCCGATTCCAATGAATCTTTGATTTCATTTCGACCAGATGATCGATGTTTTTTTATACGAAAGTATTCTTCGATTAGATTCGATTATAACGATGAAATGCATCTTCGAATCACAATAACTGATAAGAAAACTGATCAACGTCAAGCGATCATTTTAAATTCGAATAATTCCGAATTGGCTTATGATAAAGAGCGAAACAATTGGATAGTGAATAGCAGATGCGTAGATCAAATCCTAAAAGCCCTTGAAAATCTTACAGTAACAGCAAAGCGACAAGTTATTCTTCAATTTGACTTCGAAACAGATCTATCAATTGCTAGCTTAGCACGAATTCTTCTAACAATTTCACGTTTTATGGTTAATTCAAAAAATAATTTCATCGTACTAAATGAATCGCGATTTGGACGAGCGAACGCTTTTGCTACTGGTTTTATGAAAAGCCTTTCTGCAGAATATTATCCTAAAATTCGATTTTTGTGGAATTTTTCTCTAGAAAATTGGAAAATTTCAGATGTCAAGCCAGTAAAATCTACTGTAACCAACGCTAATACTGATCCCGAAAACTGGCTTATAACTGGCGGTACACGAGGACTTGGTTGGCAAATGGCCTTATGGATAGCTGCTAATAGAAGAGTCTCAAATATTACTCTTGTGGGACGAAATCCGTTGCCAAGCAATCAGCAAAATATGCTAAATAAAATTCGTAAAACGATTAATATTGAAATCTTATCAGTCGACATAACTGTATCATCGCAAGTTAGAAAATTATTTAAACATTCCACGCATAAGTTTACGAGTATAATTCATAGTGCTGGTACCATTGATGATGCGATATTAATTAAGCAAACTGAAGAAAAAATTCAAAAAGTAGCATCAGCAAAATGTATTGGACTTCTACTTTTGGCCAAAATGAGTGATCGTTATTCGCATCCTCTTAAACATTTCATCTTAAATTCTTCGATCGCATCAGTCATTGGTAATCGTGGACAATGTAATTATTCAGCAGCAAATGCATATGCAGATGAATTTATGCGTGAAAGACGCGCTAAAGGCTTTCCGGCAACAATAATAAATTGGGGAAATTGGCTTGAAACTGGAATGGCCATTCCAATAACGGAACATTTACGTAAAATCGGCTTAATTGGATTAAATACTACTGATGCATTGTCTTATTTGCGATTTGCGATCGAACAAAATCCCGACGAAATTATAGTGGCAAATTTTAATTTTAAAATATTAATTAAAAATCGTGTCGATCTTGAATCAGTTTTTCAAAATTTCGTTAAAAATCTTCCATCAACCGATACAAATCAAATGATTTCCATGGTCAATAAAGGCGCTAATCCTTCCAGGAATCATAAACTTTCTCCTTGTTCAAATGTAAATCCAGAAAAAAAATTTAATTCAATTTCAGCTATACATAATTTTTTTGCGCTTGTAATTGGCTCAAAAACAATTGAAGGATTGCGATTAAAGATTGATCTTATCTATGATCTAATTTTGAAAAGTGATAAAAATATGACTTCGATTATTTTAGAATTTTCGAAAAGAGATATGGAAAGGAAATTTCTATCCACCATATTCATAGGCAAAAATCGCTTACAAATTGCAAAACATATTGCTGCAGATAGAAATTACCACAATATTATAGAATTCAATGTTCAACAAAAGCCGATAGTTTGTTTTGTTTTTTCGGGTCAAGGGTCACAATTATGGAATATGGGTCGACAATTGATGCAGTTTTTTCCATTATTCAGAGACAATTTATTACAAACGTTGTCCATTGCCCAGACTTATATGCCTAATAACAGTTCGAATCTTTCCAGTATCCTCTATGAATGGCCGCACTATTTGCAATTGTATTCGACAGAATACGCTCAACCAATAATTTTTTGTTTCTGCTATGCACTTGCTAAACTTTATAATTATTTTGGTGTGGAAGCAAATTATTACGTTGGCCATAGTATTGGTGAAATCGTTGCTTTCACTCTAGCGGGAATGATAACACTTGAAGATGCGCTTAAAATCATTGTTCAAAGAGGTCAAACTCTTGGTCAGCTGAAAGGAAAGGGTCAAATGTTGGTTGTAAATGGTCAAATTCGTCAAGAATTATTTCAAAAATTTAATATTGAAATAGCAGCTGAGAACAGCAATCGGCAATTAGTGATTGCCGGAAATAATCACGCTATTCGTGATTTTTTAAATGAACAATGGCGTGAAGATAAAAACTTTAACGCCTTCATCCTTAATCATGAATATCCTTTTCATTCGTCCATTGTAAAACAAATAGATTTGAAAAAATTTCATGAATTATGCGAACAAATTCAATTCAATGAACTTGAAAATGCCGTTGTTGTTAGTAATATTTCCGGAAAATTATTACGAAAATTATCCGCGAACTATCTTATCAATCATTTATATTCAACGGTTCAATTTAAAAAATCTATTATAACAGTTAAATCGTTTAATACAAAATTGTGGTTAGAAATTGGGGTTGGAGAAACGTTAAGTAATTGTATTCGAAATATTATCGATAATCATTCGTCCATCACTATTCCTTCGCTTCAAAATAATATAATGGAAAATGAATCCATAATTCGATCCTTAGTTGAACTAGAAAATCATGGTTTATTGATCGATTGGCAAAAAGTTTATTCATTAGGACCATTGATAACATCGTCGTACAGACTTGCCGATGATATAAATTGTCCTTTCATTTCTTTTATAAAGCTCTATGAAAATTTCGATGGAATTGAATTTCAACATCAAATTCATGAGCAAGCAATAATTCCTGCAGCGCTTCCTTTAACTATTTTACTGATATTATCAACTAATTCGAAATATGAATCTAATGAAGGTGAACAACGAATTCGTGCAACATTAGGGCAAATCATTCTACGCAAACCTATTAAAACCCTAACTGATAATGGCTTAAATTTGATCAAACAAGGTGATACACTTCAACTGATTAAAGATGATATTATTCTATATGAATGTAAACTTTATAAATCCGGTAAAATGCATAAAATGCATTTAAACATTGATGCAAATCTAAATTCATTGGATTATCGAAATTTTTATGAAACTTTACGAGTAAAAAAACTTCAATATAGTCCACTTTTTATGATATTGAGAAATATTTGGCGTAAAAATGGTGAAAGTGGTGAAATAATAGCCGAATTAGTGAACATTGATTATCCATTTCTAATTATTGAAGGAGCATTTCAAACACTTCTAGCTGCAGCTTTCGATCATATCGATCCAATTATTTATATTCCAGTACGAATTAATATTTTAGAAATCGACTGTAGTCGAGAAACTCGTGGAAAATCATATATTGCACACGGTATAATAACTGAACAAAATTCTAATTTGTTAAGAGGCAGCGTTATGATATTTGAAGCTGATAAGCCCATCTGCCTAGCTTATGATATAATAGGAATCGCAAAAAATACGAAATGGCTTAGGAATATTTCAAATTCCATCGATCATTTCGGATCAACGGCAAACGATGAAATGCCAAAGCAGGACGGTTCTTACTTGAAGCTGAAAAGCAATAACAAAAAGAATCATCAAAGCAAACTCGAACAAAATACAGAAGGAAGTTCGGAAACTCGGAATGCCTCTCAGACTAATCAACATATCGCAATTATTGGGTATTATGGTCAATTTACTGATTCGTTACAAGATAATGGAATGCTGTGGAATAATATCAAAGCTTCATGTACAGACATAAGTGATAATAAATTCAGTGATAAGATTGAACAATTTGATCCAGAATTTTTCGATATAAGCCCTAAGGAATCAATTTTTATCGATCCTCAACAACGGCTGATCTTAGAAGCTGTTCAGCGAACAATGGAAAATGCTGGTTTGAAAAAACTTGACCAAAGTACTGGAACTTTTATTGGAATAAGTTCCAGTGACTTTGCACAGAAAGCTTACGCTGAAATGAAACACCTAAATCCTTATCTCAGTACAGGTACTAGTAATAGTACAATTGCTGGACGAATCGCTCATTGGCTTAATCTTACAGGTCCAACGGTTGTTCTTGATACAGCTTGCTCCTCATTCATGTCAGCACTTATTTGTGCATGTGATAATCTAATTCAGGGAAGATGTAAAATGGCATTAGTTGGTGCTGTTAATCTTATTTTAAGCGAAAAAACAACTGAAGTCTTGCAGCTGACTGGAGTTCTCAGTGAAAAAGGTTATTGTAAATCGTTCGATGCAGCTGCAGACGGTTACAAACGTTCGAATGGTATAGCTATGATTCTGCTCAAAAATCTTCGAGATATCAATAATTTTAGTGGTGTTTTTATTAAAACATATGCGATTGGACATAATGGTAAAACTAGCGGAATAACAGTTCCAAGTGGAAATCGACAATGCTTTCTCATGTCGTCAGCACTAGAAAAATTGCAGCCATATTTAGAAACAATTGATCAAGTAGAAGCTCACGCAACTGGTACAAAATTAGGGGATTCAATTGAAATTTCATCAATTTGTAAGACAATAAAAAATTTCCAAATGGAGAAAGATTTTTATTTAACATCAGTTAAATGTTCATTGGGTCACTGTGAAACTGCAGCGGGTGCAGCTTCGTTGATTTTCGTCATTCATTCGTCAAAAAATAAATATTTACCAGCTATTGAACATTTTTCTCTTCGTAATCCAGAAGCTAAATTTTATGATAATTTTATTTTGCCAATCATTGGTATCGAATTCGAATCTGAACGAACGGTTCTGATTAATTGTTTCGGACTAAGTGGTACAAATGTTTGTCTTATTCTTCAGTCAAAAAGTTTTATCGATAAAAAGCGCGAACCACAATCAAACACATCTATTTCTGCTCGTATTGCAGTAATTTCAGCTAAAAGTTCCACTAAATTGGCGAATATGTTGGACGAATTCGAGGAATTTATTATGGAAACTAACCAACCACTCACCGATATTTGCACATCTTTGCAATGTTCTAGAAAACATTATAAGCATAGAGCTGCTGCAATTCTTTCATTAACTTCAAGTAAATTTTTTGCAAGCAAATTTATAGTCGGCGAATACCGAGAATTTTCAGTTTTATATATTTTTGACGACAAATCAATTTCATTCGTTGCTTTATATGATTTACTCGTTAATTTTAAGCGTTTCCGTAGAATTTTCCTCATTAATTATTTCAAACTAACAAATCACAAGTTTATTTCGAGAAAATTTACGAAAATTCAAATCGTTACACGAATTTCCCTATTCAAATGGTTCTCGGAAATTGGACTAAAACCATCAGTGATATATATTAAAAATGATGCTTCTAAGCCATTAATAGAAACTTTAATCGAGAAGATAATAGTGAAAAATAATTCGAAAAAATTATTCTCAAAATTTTATGACTACACTACAAAATTCATTAACGAATTGCCTGAGGTGGAATTCGATTTTGCTTTTAATTTAGACGCTCTTTGGATTTCGAATAAATTTAGAAACGAAGATGATAACGGAAATTTTTCTTATGCTTCAATATCGCAACAATTAGCTTTAGCCATCGCTCGCCTTTACATTAGTGGAATCGATGTGAACTGGCAAAAATTTAATCCTAGAAATAAGCGAAAATACGAATGCAATCTGCCTTCTTATATTTTTAATAAAAGAAAATTTTGGGCATTTAATGATGAAGAGAGATTTCAAAAAATCAACAATACAAATAGTGTGGAAAATTGTGGAGGAAATTTGAAAAATCATAGAATTCCAGAATTCCAAAAATCAGACAATATTTCTAATTTGGAAGTGGCAAATGAGTCGCAGTCGAGGTCTTCGAGTGAGGAAAACTTCGAACCGTTGTTATTTCAGAATTCTCAACTAAAACCATCTGAATTTTCCACTAAAAAATTTTCTCATGGCGGGACGAAAAATACACGACAAACGTTTGATAATGATTACAAGAAGTGGTTATATCAATTGCATTATGTAAAGCGTGATTTGGATGAAACAATAGATCATCAACTGGAAAAATTCGTAGCAATAAATTTTCCCAAAATGGATAAATGGATATCGAGCTCGGCGAAAGCCTGTTGCAGTACCACTTATAATACGAATGATGATACACTAATAGTAGACTTATTACGTAATTGCGATTGTCGACACGTAATCATTCACTGGGAAAATTCTGGAGCTATCGAAGAACAAATTATATCGCAATCATTAATAATTATACGTTTGTGGATAATCCTCGATAAATTTTACAGTAATTCAAAGCCAGCTATAACTGTATGTTTGATGAATCAAAAAATAGCAACAGGCTGTGGCGCTCTTTTGCGAAGTTTGGCATCTGAACGACCAACTATCACCTATAAATTGATAGAAATCGATGAAATTAATGCAAAAATCCTTCGAGAAATCTCATCGTCGTGTCGAAATGAAATTGTGAAATATTTCAATGAAATACGCTACGTACAAAGATTGAAAAGATTTCATGTGATAAGCAAATTTAAAAAGCCTAAATTGAATCGAATTTTAATAACAGGTGGCCTCGGTGGAATTGGTCAAGCATTAATTAAGCATCTAAGACCTAAGCGAGTTATTGTTATGTCTAGAAATTTGCATGATGCAGAAATAAAAAAATTGCAGAAAAATTCCAAAACGAAAATTACTATTGCCCAAGGTGATTGTAGTAAATTTAGTGATGTGAAGCGTATATTTAATAAAGCAAAACCATTCGATGTTGTAATTCATTGCGCTGGTATCGTGGAAAATGCTTTAATGGAAAATATGGATCAGCAAAAATTTTTGAATGTTTTTGCAGCTAAAATTCATGGAACAATCAATTTAGTAAAACTTTGTGAAGAGAATAAAATTTCTAAACTCATTACATTTTCATCGATGGCTTCAGTCTTTGGTTCTGCTGGACAGGCGAACTATGCGGTGGCTAATCAAATTATGGAACAACTGGTGATTTCGTATAATTCAAGCTTAGTTTTAAGTTGGGGCCCATGGGCCGATTTAGGGATGTTAAATGGTAGCGAAAAAAAATTTACCAGAAATTATATCATACAAAATGGCTGGAATTTCCTGCCAAAAAGGAAAGCTTTAACCGCTATGATAAATTTAATACATAGTGTCGGACATTTTATAATTATGGATATTGATATGGATCAAATAATAAAGAAAACGCCACATTTGGCCAACTTATGTGAGTTTATTATGAATAAGGATAGGCTTCTCGTTAGGCATAATGAAGGAAGTCAACAAGCCTGGAATCACAATACATCTCAACGAAAAAGTACCGTTAACGATATCCTTCGTAAAATTATATGGGAAGTGAGTGGAAATGAGAATATTGATGAAGAAACTGGATTTATGTCAATCGGAATCGATTCATTAATGATTGCTGAAATCAGAAGAAGTATACTAAGAGAATGGAATATTGATTTACCAATGGCAACTTTTTATGACAAATGTACTCTTCGTTTACTGGAAGACAATATTTCTGAGATTCTATCTAAAAGCGACAATAAGCCTAATAAGCCGAATGCCTTTAGGGAATCCACGATACTAGGTGATGATCAAATCGCTATTATCGGATATTCAGGTGGATTCTCTGGAGCTCAAGACATCGAATCATTTTGGCAAAATCTTATCGCAGGTAAAGAATCGATAAACAATGAACAAAGTGGTGAACCTATTGATGATGGTGATTTTGTTAATGCGGCAGGTATTTTACCTGATTGTGATAAATTCGATCCAAAATTTTGGAAGTTGTGTAGGGAAGATGCGATGCGCCTGGATCCACAAATAAGAAAATTCGTTGAGCATGCTTACTGGGCCTTAGAGAAAAGTGGAGAAATTAAAAATCGTAGAAACATACGAATAGCAGTTCTAGCTGGTGCTGAACCATCTGATTATAATGCCCTTGAAAAACAACCAGACGATTTGATAGCAAGATTGTATGCAAAAAACCAGAAAGATTTCTTGGCTAGTTGGACAAGCTATCTATTAAACTTAAATGGTCCATCTTTTGGAGTTTATTCAGCATGTTCCACAGGATTACTGGCTGTTGCCCAAGCTATTAACCTTCTTAAAAATGAACAGTGTGACATCGCTATCGCTGGAGCTAGCTCATTAGTTTTACCACATCAACCTGGATACTATTACAAAGAAGGAGGCATTTTTTCACCCACTGGTCAATGCAGACCATTCGATCAAAATTCTAACGGTACCGTAAGAGGGTCGGCAATTGCTGTAATTGTGCTATGCAAACTGAAACGAGCAATCTCAAAAAAGATTCCAGTAAAAGCAATAATTGAAAATTATTCCGTAAATAATGATGGATCTGTGAAAGCAAGTTTTATGGCCCCAAATGTCACCGGACAAACGTCTTGCTTAAGGGAAGCCACTCGTTTTACTAATATTAATGATGTAATGTACGTTGAATGTCATGGAACAGCTACTAGAATCGGTGACAACATCGAACTTACAGCTATGTCAAGCGTTTACAATAAAAAATTATATATAGGTTCAGTTAAAGCCAATATTGGTCATGGTTTTGCGAGTAGTGGGATCGCTGGTCTCATAAAACTTTGCGAGATCATTAAACATCGAATTATTCCAAAACAAATTAATTTCACAAATATGAACGAAGGATTTCCATCAACGAAATACACGATACCGGTAGAAAATATTTGTATCGAAGAGCGAGGACAGTTCGCAGTCGGCGTTAGTTCTTTTGGTATTGGTGGTACCAATGTACATATGGTACTGCGATCACCTCCTGATAATCTGAAACCAACTTATGTGAATAGAAAAAAATATTATATCTTACCTATTTCAGCAAAATCTGAAGAATCCTGCATAATGCTTTGTCATCGAATTGCTGAATTTATAAATGAAAAAACTTCTGATCTTCCTTCACTAGCATATACGCTTCAGAATTATCGTGAGGAATTCGCCTATAAAGTAGCATTTGTTGTAAGCGATATTGAAGATGCAATCAAACAACTTCGCGGCGTCAGCGATGTCACTTTTTCAACAAAAATTCAAAAAGATAATATCGCATTTTATTTCTCATCTCAAGGAATTCAATATACTGGTATGGCTCAAGATATGTTATCAGAGGAAGAAGCGTCAGTATTTTCAGAAGAAATGCAAAAATGCCGCTCGATTTTATCTCAATTATTAGGAATAGATATTTTTAATATATTATATCCAGCTGACACAAATAATTGCCACTATATTACTGATAAACGATATACGCAAGTTATCAATTTGATAACCAACTATTCTATTTATCAACAGCTGAAACAATGGGGCATTGAATGTTCCGTAGCAATTGGTCATAGCTCAGGAGAATATTCGGCCGCTACTTGCGGTGGTGTATTTGATTTAAGTACTGCCATTGAGATTCTTATAAAACGTAGTCGTTTGATGTCTTCGACAAAAAAATATGCAATGATCGCTATTCGAGATTATTCAGGCATATTTCCTAAAGAAATTGAAATTACTGCTATTCTTAGCAATCGTCTTGTATGTGTAGTTGGTCAACCCGACGATATTAGTCATTTTAAAAAAGAACTTAGCGTAAAGAATATCGAATTTCGTGATTTAAACGTTGACCTAGGATTCCATAGTTCAGCAATGGAACCCATAATGAAACAATTTGGAGAATATCTTGATCAATTTCATTTTCACCAATCATCGCTATCAATATTATCAAATATCGATGGTCAAGTAGTTCATGAATTTAATAGCGATTATATGGTGAAGCATATGAGAAAAATTATAAGAATCGATAAGTGTTTAGCCAATTTACCATCGGCAATAAAAGCGATCGTTGAAATCGGTCCGAAAGGCATTCTTTCAAATCTAATCGAAGATACGAGGCATAAAATCGTTACAGTACCAACAATTGCGGCAAAGAATCAAAACTCCAAATCTTCGATAAATTTATTAACTACTATTGCAGATTTGTGGCGTTTTGGTGCAAACATAGAATGGAATAAGATTTTTCCAGAGGCTAATTTCGATTCAAATATTCCAAACTATCAGTTTCAAAAAGAAATTTGTTGGAATAACGAAGTGTTCCACGAAGCGCATCAAGTAAAAATCCATAAACAGTGCTGGATTGATGTGCCAATAAAAGCGAATAATGCGTTTAGGCCAAAAGGTGTACTAATATTTATGCTAAATTATTCTAATCCATCAATCGCTAAACTCCTTTTAAATCTCAAAAATCAATTTATACAGTATTTATGCGTAATCGCCAATATAAATATTGAAAAATTTAGCATAATTAAGAATTCGTTATGCATAAATCCTTTCGTGGAAGAATCTTATCAATATTTAGCTGAATATTTACAAAATTTAAAGTTTGATTATCAATTAATCATCCATGTTTGGAATTTTATCGACGAATTTGATAATGATAATGAAGATAGTGATAATGATAATGAAAAAATACTTCAATTAAGTTTCTATTCGATTCTATGGATTAAAAAATATTTTATAAATTCAAATATTGAAAATATGAAAATTGCTATGATCGCTGAAAATAGAGCGCCACCCGAATTTTATACTTCATTAGCTCCACTAAGAGAACTACAAGCAACGCATCCAGGAATTTCTGCTTTTTCCATTATTCTTCCATCTAATATAAATCTTTGGGAAATACTTGATAAAGCTTGTTCATTACCAGAAATTACGCAATTCTCATTACTCCGTTACGATGGCCAAATTCTTCAACAAATAGCCTATAAAGAAGTGGAAATGAAAAAATATTCGCAGCAAATTTGCAATGGAAATGTCGTTCTTATTTTCGGTGGTACGGGATTTTTAGGTCGTTCTTTTGCTTTAACTCTGATGAAACATTTCAGTTCATTGAAAATTATTTTAATCAGTAGAAATGCGATTGATAAACTGAAAAATCGGAACTTATTTAAACAACTCGATTATTGGAGTAAAAAATCAAATCACCAGTTGATCGCTTATAATACAAATATAGGAGATTCAAAAAATGTCGGTGAAATTATACGAAAATTTTATTCAAATTTTGGAAAAATTAACGTAATTATACATGCAGCTGGACAAGCGACAAATCAAGTAACTGAAAAAACAATTCGTCAAATAAAGTCAGTATTTGAAGCAAAAATAAAAGGTACATTAAATTTTTTAAGAAGTATAAATGAAAATAATATTCAAGTGGAATTGTTGGTACTTACTTCAAGCCTTAGTTCCATGCTTGGTTTACACGGTAATGTAGACTATAGCGCTGCAAATATATTTCTCGATGCAGTCGCGTCAAGTCGTATAACTAATATAAAAAATATTGTCTCAATACAATGGTCAGGTTGGCAAGAAAGTGAAATGTTAGTGAATTATAATAAAATTCCTCAGAAATTAAGAGAACTTTTATTGAGAGGTTCATTGTCGAAAAATGAAGGACAAAACGCCTTCTTGAAATGTATCAGTCAACAAGGAACAATAGCAGTCTCGTTAGCTGACCCAATAACTATTTTAGAAAAAGTTAAAAATATACAATTTCCTAATCGAAATCGAAATGAAAATTCTCTAAGAATAGAACATTCTCAATCGTTTGAAGGTGAAATAAAAAAGATTTGGGAAAGAACGATGGCAACAAAAATGCCTTCTTCGTCGGCTAATTTTTTTGAACTTGGAGGAAATTCATTGAATGGAATGCAAATAGTATGGGAAATTAATAAGCTTATGGGTATTAGATGTACGATTAATGATCTTTTTGATCATCCAAATTTTATGGAATTTTTGCAATTTTTACAAAAAAATTATCAAGTCATGAAAAATTTAGATTCTAATATTCCTCGATATAGCGGTGAAATTCGTTTTTTACCGTTGTCATTTTCACAAGAGAATATGTTTTTACTACGAACTATTCACGAGCCAACACTCTATAATATTCAATTTTTAATATCGTTCAAAGGAAATTTAGAAACTACATTTATTAATAAAGCACTAAGAAACATATCAGCTCGACAAGCATCATTACGTACCATATTCTACGAAGATCATGGAAATATTTATCAAGAGATTCTTTCATTAACAGAATCTTATCACCACTTAAATTGGTTACCTATCGAGATTGATTCACTAGAAAAAATAATTGCTGATGAAAAACGAATTAATTTTACGTTAAAATATATACCATATAGAATCGTCTCATTGAAAACTACTGATAATAAATTCAATCTTATCATATCATTTCACCATATTATAACTGATGGTTGGTCAATGACAATTTTCGCTAAAGAACTAGTTCAATCGTATCTTTATTATAAGAATCAAAAGCTTATTGGATCAAATAACAAAATAACAGGCAAAGAGAAATTGGAACCAGTAAATCTTCGAATAGTCGATTTTGCAATTTGGCAACGATCCGAAGATCACTTATCGAAAATTGCAAAAGATCTTCCATTGGTAGTTGAAAGGTTGAAAGCAACAAAAGCTACAACGATTAGAACAGATCGAGCTGGAAAACTCTGTGGTAGTACCAATCATGAAACTGCTCAATACATTTTCAATTTACCTGAAATAATAAAAATTTCAATAAAAGAATTAGCGAATCGAAATAGAACAACCGATTATGTTATAATGCTTACCGCATTCATATGCGTAATTCGACGATTCTCTTCCGATTTCGAATGCGATCAAATCGTAATTGGTTGCCCGGTTTCTGGAAGATGTCATAGCGCTATAGAATCATTAATTGGTTATTTTCTTAATAATATAATTATTTTAGTGGATAATGTAAAAAGGAATTCTACTATAGAAGATCTTATTGCTATTGTTATTGAAGCGACTCGAGTCGCTCGTCGCTTTGAGCATATACCTTTTCATCAAATTGTCGCCGCCATGGATTCTTCACAACGACAACCAAATAAACATCCGATTTTTGAAATTTTCTTTAATTATCGCCACAATCTTGATTTTCCAAATATCACTATACCGAATGTTAAGAGTGATATTCAACAACTTACAACAAATAATATTTTTGATTTTTCATTTACAATAGACGAAAAATTAGATACTATAGTTGTTACAATCGACTATAATTCAACGATTTATCGTCACGAGACTATCGCAAAATTTTCATTAGAATATATTCGGACAATTGGTGATAATAGTATTATCACTGGTGATAATAGTGTTGACAACGACAAATATCATTCCTTGTCATATGTGATTCCAACTTTTCCAACTTCCATGAATGGCATGAATGTTGTATGGAATGTTAACGATTTAACACAACGTTATCGTAGTGATTTCCCAGAAAATATGACAGTCTCAAGTATTATATTCGAACAATGTCAACTGCATGCGAATGCGATTGCAATGTTGGTTGGCCACTCGACTGAAACTTATTCAACGTTAATCGATCGTTCCATAGTGCTAACACAACATTTGCAACAAATTTATTTTCAACAATTTTGTGAGGTACCAAGATCGGATAATTATCACCTTGTTGTCATTGATTTCAGCTCGCCTGATTTACTTATGATAATCTTAGCTATAATGTTGAGTGGGGCAGCTTATGTTCCGCTTGATCCTAAAATGTCAGAATCGCGTTATGCACAAATGAGAAGAACGCTAAAATCAAATTATTTAGTTGTCGATGCAGTTATGGTGAACACTTATAAATCTAAATATTGTAATAAAAAAATAAAATTACGAACTATTCCCGAGGATTTAGCTTATATTATATTCACAAGCGGATCAACTGGTGATCCAAAAGGAGTCTGCATTACTCATCGAAATTTGGTGAATTTCACCAAAGGTTCATCGCAGCAAATATTTCTACGAGCAAATATGAAAGTTTATAATTCAGTGAACTATGTTTTTGATGTAAGTTGTATGAATATTTTCACAACACTTTGCAATGGTTCTACTTTGGTTGCAGGCGATAATTTACTGAAAGCGCCCGAGGAGATAATTTCGCTACGTATCGACTTTGCATTTCTTCCATCAGCATTATTTAACACATTTGACGAGCACAACTTAAAACGACTTATCGCATTAGAAAAATTATTTATTGGCGGAGAATCACCTAATGAAATACAGTTGGAAAAATGCTTGAAACTCGGTATATATACTCGGCAAATTTATGGACCAACTGAAACTACGATTTGGTCATTAACTAATCTTTGTAAGCGGCGAGAATATGAATGCGCCAGAAATTTAGGTTGTCCAATGGAAAATGAGTATATCGTTCTTCTCGACAATCATGTTTGTCAAATGCCAAACTATGGGATAGCAGAACTTGCTATTACTGGTGATGGTGTAGCTCGAGGATATCTTTCCGGAGCAACTGGTGAAGCTTTCTTACCAAACACTTTTCGTTCCGATGAGGAGAAAATTCTTGGGCGCAATAATTTACTTTATCGCACCGGCGATTTGATAAGAATTATTGGGAATAAAGTGATCTTCAATGGACGTAAAGATTCGCAATTGAAAATACGTGGATATCGTATTGAACCGGCTGAAATCGAAGAAGCCATTAGATATTGCGATAATTCGATAGCCGGAATTTTTATTTATAAACACGAAGCGACAAATTCTTTAGTAGCAGTCGTAGAAAAGTCCAGCATCGATAGTCGAAGTCTTTTAAAGAGTGTCGCGAAAATAATGCCACCTTATTTAGTTCCACAGATAATAATCACAATGAACGAATTTCCTCTAAATAATAGTGGAAAAGTCGACAAACATAAACTAATGGAAATTATTGAGAGAGATTATATTGTTAATAAAAATTGTTCTTCGTCTTTATTATTCGAAGACGAATTAACCGAAACGGAGAAAAAATTGGCAAAAATTTGGAATGAAATTCTTTGTATGAAAAAAATTTCACGTTATGATAATTTCTTCAATTCCGGTGGCCATTCATTAATGGTTGTTTTATTGAGAAATAAAATACGTGAAAAATTCGATGTCGAATTGCCATTTGAAAATCTCTTTAGAGCACAAACTTTAGCGGGAATATCACGAGAAATCGATGATAAACTCCACACTAATCGCACTGATAAGACAGAATCAATCATTACCGTACTACGTGAAACAACGCATGGAAAATACAATTTATATGCGATTCATGCTATCAGTGGAACGATTTATCCGTATTATTCTATTGTTAATGCCATTCCGGATTACTTCAATGTGTACGCTATTGAATATCAACTAAGCTTTAAGGAATCAACACTAAATAAATTGGCTGAATTCTATGCTAATCAGGTGAGGAACTGATTATTTTTTAGCTGCGATATATTAAAGATAAATCAGTGATAAAGCAAATTTTCAGTGATAATAAGATAATTGTCGTTCAACAATAGATGGTGAACCCTTAACTAAATCAATTCTATTTTTTTTTCGGTATTTTCAATCTTTTTTAGATTTTAAAACACCGAAATGGAATCGCTTATATTTTTGGTCATTCGTTGGGTGGAATTCTAGCACGCGAAATCGCTTATTACCTAATTGCCTTTAAAAGAAATCCACCTTTTATTTTAATGATCGATTCATGGTGCACGGATACAAAAAATTTGTCGGACGAAGATGTAAAAGGCTATTTAATGGTTTGTGAATCGTTAGCAATATTTTTAAATCGACTTTTTAAATGATAAATTGATATGATAAGCTTCCGCCGAGAATAGTGAGTGATCGAATTATAAATTTATCAAAACTCATTCTTTTTGGTTTTGAATGAAACCTTTTATTAAGCATCAATGAAAGTAGAATTATAAAACTTATTATTTTATTTTTTTTTTTAAATTTTTGATTATTGTTTCAGCCAAAAATTAAACACTTATCATGCAATGAAAATATTATGAAAAAAGCTATACAACTCGTCGAAATGCTAAGAAATTATATTTTTATTAAAAATGATATACAAATAATTTTATTAAAAGCAAACGATATTCGAAATAGGATTATAAGGTTAAATTAAAAAATTTTTATTATTAATCAAATAAAATTCAAATAATAAAATAGTTATTTTTAAATCCTAACAGATTGAAAAATTAAAAATAAAATTATTGCTAGTATTTTATATTACGAGTGAATTACTTTAAATAAATATTATTTGGTACCAAGATGGAGAGAGGGCTAAGAATAGTTATGGCAAGGATTAGATTTTGTACCAATCGAATAATTCTATCACTGAAGGTGAAATCTGGATGAATCTATTCTAGAGATCCACGTATATTCTCAATCCTCTTAGACGAAAGAGTCTCTTTTTTCTGGAAGTAAGCGGAAGCAATCATAGGGAAATAGTGAATCCTACTGGAAGAATTTTAAAAAATAAATGCTCTCCTTTTCCTCATTTAGCATTAAGTTATTTATAAGTTCTTTATAAGTTTTTTTCGAAAACAACCAACAATTTATAATTTAATTTTCCAAATTTCTAAATTTTCCCATTGGCTAGGAAATCAAATGCTGAATAGAAAAGAAAGAATTTAGAAAAATGGTTATTGCTGGTTATTTTCGAAAAAAAACTTACTGACTTAAAATTTAGCTTAAAATTTAAATCCATAAATAAATCTAAAATTTAAAATTTTTTTTATAGAAATGAAAATTCGGCTAAAATTTTACGATCGTTGCCCGCTAACGGTTGGCAATTGTATTCAACATCAGCCGTTCGTGTATATCTTTGTGACGGTGATCACGATTCGCTAATGCATCCTAAAAATCTCCCCTCTCTTAAACGAATATTTACTGAAATTTTCATGCAAATAATTCATTGAAAATTAGCGCAAAACAATTGCTTTAGGCTGTTCCATTCATTTTTTTCAATAAATATTTTAAATATTCTATAAATATTTTCAATAATTAATATTTTATTCATTTCGATTAATAAAAATTTTTTCAAAAGTTTATATGAAAGATAAAATAATAATTCACTTCTGTTTTACCTTAAATATTATTTTATATTTTTAAATTTGTATGAAAATATACAAAATTTAAAATCAAAAAGTTTGAAATAATCGACAAATTAATAAGTAATATTCTCTTGAAATAGATAGCATTTAAAGCCTTAGAATAATATAATAAATACATTTTCACAAGATAATATTAAATAAATTTCAATTTTAAAAAATGGAGAAAATAAGAAAATAATATTTTTTATTCTTAAAAATAACAAATAACAAATACTGGTAGTTATCATAACCAACTGAATAATAATAATAAAGCAATGAGATACAAAAAAAATTAAAAAATTTTCAATGGAATTATATTATAATAGTATACCGTGATTAACACAGATCATGATAAAGAATGAATGAGATCATCGATAGTTATGTTTGCATCACAAACAACTTGGCTCCAACGACTCCTTTCGAGTGCTTCATAAAATTCTTCACCATTTTTCACAAGAAAATCATTACTTTCTTCTGCAGTAGGATCTCTGATAGGCAATGTGCCACGCGGAATATATGAATCTACCGACCCAACTCCAGAATAATAAGCCTAAAACATATGATATAGGTGGACATTATTATCATTACTGATAAACAAATACTAGTGTAGCGACGGGAAATAATAAATGAAGGAACGACGCCGCCAATCTATCAGGTGAAATTATCAAATAAATTTTATAAGAAAGAAGAAAGTTAAAAATTATCATATATAAAAATATAAGCCTATTGTATTTATAAAATTGTTTACCGATTGATTAGCCACCGGTGTGGAGTATGCATCCGAGACGGGGTAATTAGAATGCTGAGTGGTACTTGCATTGCCAGTATTATAATAGGAAGAGGTATCCGGAATATTCTGAAGTATAAACAAAAAATATAGAATTAATCGATTGGAAAAATGGATTATTTTAAAATTATGACAATTGCACCTGTTGCTGAACATAATAGCCGAAGGTATCCGCGCCACTGACTCCTTGGAACTTCGGTTGCCGAGGAGCACGATATTTCGGTTGCGCTAATTTAAGAAATATGGGTCGACCTTCTACTCGGTATTTGTTCATTTCGAGCTTAAAAAAATCTGTCGTGAACTTAGCCGAACTCTTTAAACTATCCAGAGGTGAATTTAAATAATCCACTATATAACACTTCAGCAGCAAAAAAACATTTTACCAAGGCTCTTTGTTGATCTGTTTGGTTAGAAAATCGAACGAAACCAAGACCTTTAGATGAACCATCAGTGTTGCGATATACCTTTGCACCGCGACATGATTCGTATCGTTCACCAAAAATCTAAGTCGAAAAAACACAAAGAATGGTAAAAAAAATTAATGAATAACTGATAAAAAGAAATTTCAATATTCATAAATGCAAAAAGGCCTTAAACAAGATATTGCAATGTGAATCCAAAATTTGAATAATTCGCAAAAATGTGAGAAAACTAGGTATTATTAGTAGCATATCATTATGAAGAAAAATTGGCCGAAAAAAATTAATTTGTCCGAATTAAACCAAACAAAAAATTACCAGGAATAATGATGCATCATCCACATTTGAAGGAAGATTGTTAACAAATAAATTGTATTCAGTATACCTGAAATATGAGAAAATTATGGAAAATTTGAATTTCTGAATTGAAAAATTTGCACATTTTGAGAGAACTGATGGCCAACCATAAGAATTAATACACATTCGTTACCCTATGATGGATGATATCAAGAGCAAAGAGGACCAATCAAAGCCCGAACCAATATGGTAGGGAAAAATATTTGATATTTTGAACAGATAGGCGGCCAAAGGAAATTGGTGGAAAAAAAAGAGGATTCAGTTTATTTTCAGAAATGATACTGGATCGACAGAATTAGAAATCTCTCATCACCAGCATAGCGAGTTAAACTAGCAATGCAATGCTGCGAGATACTAAAAGAAAGAACAAGTGAGAAGATGGAATGGCTGGACAGAATGTTAGTCCGATTAAATCACCAAGGATATCGGTTCTTTGATATCGGTGAAGATATTGCTAAAAGTAAAATTAATATTAGTTATCCACGTGTACTTCTACTCCATCTTTGACTTTCTGACAAAAGAGTACCATCTTAATAGATAGTGGAATTATTCATACTGTAAGAAGAGAAAGACAAAAAGAGAATTAATGATTAGCGAGAATTAACAAAGCATTCAAAAAGATAAAGCCGCCTAAGAAATGGAAAAAAAATTTTCCAATCCAACTTTTCATAACGATAATGAATATTAAAAAACTCTCCACGAACAAACCGTTCGATTTTTTATAATTAAAGATTAATCATTTTTTATTAAATTCAAAAATATGATTTAAATAAAATTACGCAGCGCTTGGCGAATTAGCGAAGGATAAATTAAAAGCAGCCGGAGGCTTTGATTTAGGCATTATTTTACCGTTAATACGAAGCATTGCTCTACGGGCTGATTCTCGATCGGGGAACTCCACAAAGCAATATCCAGCTTGCTAAAAAATCTCAATGTGCACAAATTATCGATAAATAAACCAAAAATTGCAAAAAAACAATTATATCGGAAATTGATGACTTTGGTGATTGGTGACAAAATTACTTACTTTCCCCGATTGCTTGTCTGAAACCAATTTAACATTTATTACTTGTTCGCCCATTCGGGCAAATGCTTCAACAATCGTATTCGCATCCCATTTTTCATCTAAATCACCCATCCACAACGTGCGATCCGATTCACCATTTGTTCGGTTCATTCGGGAATTACTTAAAAAAATATTCAGCTTGTCAAAAAAAAAAATTAATTAGAAACTATAAGAGATAGAAATTTGACTGGAAAGGATAATAACATGAATTAAGTAAGTTAAGCTAGTAAAAGTTTAAGGAGATGCTACTAGCTTAACTTATGGCAGATTATGGCAAAATTTGGCTAGGTTTTCACGAAAAATGATAGGGCCAAGCAAAGTTCAGGAAGTGCAACTTGACTAGGACTAGGACTTGAGACTAATATAATAATCAAGAGATTTAAGACCATAGTAAACGATAAGGCGAATGGTTTAACATATGTTAAAGAGAATATAAAAAGTTCTGCTAAAGTTAATTGCTCAAAGTTGTAACAAAAAAGTTCAGCGAAATTTGGCATCGAAAGGTTTTAAATAGTTATTTAATGAAATTTAAGGCTTCAAACAAAATCCAACGAATGTTTTTGGGGAATAAAGGCTTCCAATCGATTAATATGATCCAAAATTTCACAATTTGAGAATTCCTGGTGCACATGGTCAAAGGCATTGCGAAAAATTCACCGCTAGCAAATGAGTTTTAAGTTATAATTTTGTAATCTGTTGTAGCAAGCTATATTTCAAACCATTCCTTTGGAAATATGTGGATGGCTGATAATCCACTTCGGTTTTTATCACTAAGTTACATTCTACTCGGTCCTATTTTTTTTCCAAGCGAGCTCATCAATTTTGGCTAGGTTCACTCGTCTCCGCTGCTTTCCAATATGTGAACAGACAAACAGCCAATCTAGGAGACATTTGGAGAGAAAGTTACCATTTGCAATCTTTAAGGACAGTTTTGCTCTTAGCGAGAATAAAATCCGACATTCACCTCTCTTCCCAACCTACAGAAACCTATTAAGGCGAACCATACAAAAAACAATAAGTGCTAAATATTCTTTTTTCATATTCCGCGAAATTATTGAAAAAATAAAAACATTTAAGAAAACATACTATTTGAATAATTTCAAAAAAGTTGCAAAAAGTTTTTTTTTACTATTTATAAAAAACAAAATAAATTAAATTAAAAATATAAAAAATAAATTAAAGAGAAAAGATATTCCATATTAAAACAAAAATTTCGTATCCAAAAAAATTTTCAAGTTCTTTTTTTAATGAAATAATATCTAAAATTAATGGCCGAAAAAAACTTTTGCCACCCCTATTCCCCATAATTTTTCAGTTCGCTAAAAGATATTCTTATAATTCTTATACATATTTATGGATATTATAAATTCTATTCATTTATGCAAAACCATTGTTTTTCATCTTTAAATTTTCAACGATATTTAATTTTTTCGAAAAAATAATTCTAAAAAAATGGCTGCAAGAAAAATAATAATCAGAATTCGTATGGTTTAGTACAAAACAAAATCTCCACCATATGAACCTCTATAAAATCATTTTAATAAAAATATGCGAAAAAAAAACAAAAAACAAATCGCCTGTTTTTCTCATCTTTTATTAAATGAATTTTTTGCATTCGAAACACAAATATTCTAATATATAAACTTAAAATTTAAATTTTAACACAAAACTCTTGATAAATCCACAGTGCATGATGAGAAAATCAGACTGTAAAAAGAAAAAGAAATAATCATCAAAGAGTAAATTATTAAATTCTAATGATGAAATCTTTCAATAGACTTTCAAATAAGCTTAAAAGACGTAATGTTTTTCTAACTTTCCCGAAAAGATCTGAGGAAGATTAATAAAAAATTTATTTGTAGAAAATGTAAGCACAACAAGTGAAAAACAATCACGAAACAACAATACTGCACCAGCTAAATTCAATTTCGTATCAAACATAAATAGATAATTATTATAATAAATACCATAAGAGCTCAGAAGCCCGAAAAATTACTTTTAAAAAACTATATGTGGAAAAATAAATCACAGTTCTACCCAAAAATGAAATATGTTTGTATGCATTTTAAAAACGCTAGCCATGATCATTCACTGATCGCAGTCACCAACTCGGCAGGTGCTCCGACACTGAATGGACTTTCTGTTGTTACATCATCATCTAAAATTGAAGAAAAGTAAATTAAATTAAATTACAAAAATAGACTAAATAATTCTGGCAATGCTTAAAGTATGTGACAGTACCAGGCATCCTAGGAATAAAACCAATCGTAGGAATCTGCATCAAAGGTATCGCTGGATGATTTGCGGATTGTGCTGGTTGATTTTGAGTCGCATCCATTAATGGATTAAAATATCGCGAACCTATACTGACATATAATTCAATATAATTCTTCGTTTAAAAATTATAAAAAAGTAAAGTAAAGTAAAATAAGTAAGTAAAAATAAAAACAAACCTCCACTAACGCGAGCTGCAGTTAAGCCGCATACTGATGTATTTGAAATCGTTGAATCCACTGAAGTCAATGGTGGCGGTGCAACATTTGTTTCTTCTTCTATACCAGGACCAACAAACTTACGTTGAGCAGCGTCCCATACAATCTGAAAAATTGATTAGTTCATTATATTTAATTAAACTTTAAACTAAAAAATCAATTCTATAGTAAAATTTTCATAAGAAAAAAGAAAATTAACCGATGGATTTGAATCATCTGGAAGTATCATTTCATTAGTTGATGGTATTGCTTTAACTAATTTCGCAGCCAGTTTACTTAAAAAGTTGGAAGTTTGCAGCCGCGCCTGTGACTGTGCATTATTTGATAAGGTATTCGAAGGGATGGTTGCAGCGGGTTGTAGTTTCTGTTAATTTCAATTTAAATTTAGTAAATTAAGACTATAGGAAATTAGTGAAAATATGAAAGTAAATCAAATCAAAATAAAAAAATTTTGAGATTCTGAAGAACTTCAGCTTATATTACAATAGAACTCAAGAAATGATAAAAAATATGGACGAACTTTTTGCTCATCTTCACATGCTGTTGATGTAGAAGAAAGCAACTGCTTATTACCTTGAAAAATATCAAATTTAGAAAATGAAACTTAATGACAATTCTACATGTCACAAAGACACACCAAAAAAAAAAGAAAAACAACAAGAAAACAAAATTTAAGAATTTTAGAGACTAAAAATGTTAAAAGTTACTTCTAATATCTCCTTTAGATGGCATCATTAAAGAATTATCTGCCTGATAAGAAACTCCATCGCTCATATCATTCACTGGCTTTTGCTTCTTTAGTTCATTCGTGACCTAAACCAAAGCAGATTGTTCTATTTTAAAAGGATTGAAAAAATTTTTAATCTGAATTTCAGAAAAATTTCAGAAAAACCTCATTAAAAACTAACAGAAAATCTAGGGTATCTAATTGGCGTCCCCTCATGACTAGTAGTAGTAGTTGTGGTGCTTTCTGTCGCTTCATCAGTAGTACAGTTGGAAGTTGTATTGAATTCAGCCGTTTCACCATACCAAAAAGTTGCATGCCTATTAGAAGGACCATTCTCTTTTCTAGTATTCACATGACCATCAGTGGCGAAATCCTTCGATCCTTGGGCGATTTCAGTTGATTTTTGGGCTGTAGCGCCCAGTTCATTTGAATGGGAGATGCTTGAGCATTCATTATTCTGAAATAAAATGAAATCTTAATTAAAAAATCAATAATCAAAAATGATGTTTAAAATATATGATATTTATGTACAAAAATATTTAAAAATATTATTAAAATTATTATTATAAATGAACCGCTGCACCAATAAAACGCGAATATATATGTAATGAGGTTCAATAATGAGGTTTAAAATTCTAGAAAATAATTGGAACAAATTAAGAAAATTACAAAAAATAAGCAAAATCTTGAACTTACAACAGCTTGTTCAGAGCCTTTCAAAGCATTATCTACTACATTCACAGTTTTTTGAGCCAAAGGATATTGTCCAATGCAATCATCTTGCGGAATAGCTGAAAATAATGCAATAGGAACTGTTTTCTCACATCATTATTTGATTAAATTCCAACTCACCTTCCTGAATAATCTCTGGTCGATTATCATTGTTAATTTTTACTCCAATTTGGATTGGTTCTTGACGATCAGCATGCCATTCTGCTGCTTCTGAACTCAGTGAAATCGTTCTGGAATTTTCTTTTGATTTTGAGGAAAATAAACAATTTTAACAGATACATTGAAAACTCCTAGGTACAAAATTCTTAATTCCATTAAAGCTATCAGAATTTCCATTCTTGAAAATATAGTGATTTATTTTAAAAGTAAGTAATGTGGTGAGATTTTGAAAACATAGATAAATAAACCTCCGTCTGGAAGCTATGATTGCCAATTCTTGCTCTTGAACTATCTAAAAATCAAAAAAAAATGGATTAAAAATCACTGGCGAATGAAAATAAGATCATGAAATAAGATTAAAAAATAGTACCTCACTGTGTGAAAGTATTCAAAAAAAACCTCGTGTGGTTTCACGTCGGGTTTGGTGTTATCATTCTGATGCTGGGTATTACAAACATTTACGCATTGTTTAATAAAGTCACGCATGGGAGGAATCCAAGCTATTTCTGATTCTGTAGCCGAAGCAACATAATGAAGACTAAAAAAAAATTTCAAAATTCATTATGGCTTTTGTAGTAATCTATATAGAACTATTTTTTACCCTAATAAATCCTAACAGAAGAACCAGGTAGAAGAAAAAAACTGATAAAGCACTAAATAAACATCACCAATAAAAAAAATGATACCGATCAGCGAGATCACAAAGACGATTCAGCTGTCCCAAAGTAAATTCACCACACCGATCCCAAATGGCTCGAGCAATATCAATACAATAACGAAAAGCATCATTAGAAAATCCACCAAATTCAGATATCTTTTCAGCGTACTCCAACCTACAAGACTGATATGCTGTGGATCTCGTCAAAGCCACAGGAAGGCCACCATTTGCAAGTTTTAGTGCATATTCCAATATCTCTGTTGCATGCAAATCCAATTGTGAAAATCTGAAGTTTTTCTTTTTATAAAACAATATTTCCTCAATTAAATGTATATTTTAAAATCGAAAAGAACAATATTTAAAAAGTGACCAAAAAAACCAACCTATCTTTGGAATTTTTAAAACCATTGTCAGCGTCTGGCAAAGTAGCATGGATCAGATTTATATGTTTCTTCGTTTTTGAGCCATCATTACTGAAAAAAATAGATATTTTAATAAAAGATAAATATTTTAGATAATAGATGATAGATAAATAAATAAAATAAATTTTTCCAATGAAAAACCAATTTTAAAAAAAAATAAATCTTTAAAAATGAAAATCATACTTTTGAACTGGGTGAAAAGGATCATAGTTGGCTAAAAGGTAGACAGCTAAGAAACAAAAATCAGCCGCATAATAATATTCATGACGAGCAAGTACTTGACCTAGTTGATATACAGTTTCGAAAGCCATTGGCGTGCACAAATTAGCGAGAACAATTGCAGCATGAGCTCGCCACCCTTTTGAATCGTTGATCTTCGTACTTGTCTAAGAAATATTTTTCTAATAAGTTTTTTTTATCGATTAAACAGCATTACATTTATATATATATATGCATTGTCAAATAACTTTTGCTTTAAATAACTAGAAATTCACCAAGATAGGAGCAGGAAAACCATTCGCAACATTCATTAATGTGACCACGGGATTACATTCGGACCTTAGCGAAAGGTATGTAGCTTCTATTTTTTGTAGCTTTTGAATATCATGCGCATAAATACGACGAGCTAAAATCAAAGCGTCAGAATATAATCCATTTTTCATGGCACAATCAATTGCTTCCTGAAATATTTATTTGAATTTTCAGGATGTCCCGAAACGTTCAGATTCCATTCAAAAATTTTTGGTGAAATCATGATAATCCAAAAGAAATTTAGAAACTGGAAGGGGAAAATGGTAACAGAGTGTCAAGACGAACATCCACATGACCACCCAAAAGAAATTGAGTGAAAAGTTCATATGCTTTCGGATCTCGTAATTCCGCGGATTGACCAAAATCAAAGGTTTTATTTTCAAATAAAAATTGCGGTATTTGATGACCACTCATCAATAATCGAGAAAGATCAGGCCCAGTAATACGCTAAAAAATTTTGGTAATAATTATTTTATAAAATTTAAATTCTAAGCTATTTTTGTAAAAGTATCACAAATATAATTAAGAGAGACCATTAATTTCCTTTTTGACTTCATAAAACATGGAAAAAAAAATTTATTTTTATCGATCACTCGCCAAAAAATATCAAAATGGTCAAAAATCGACATCAACAAATCGAATCTAAATCCTATGGTATTTATAAGAAAGATAATGAAAGATAAAGATTCCAATGACAGTTAAACTAACGCCTTGCTGTTGAACAACCATTTCCAATAATTGCCAAATTAAAAGGCAATCATCCACATTTTTTCTATTCGAATCCGCAAGAAACAAATCTGATTGGCGAATAATTTCAATCTGACGCTGAATATATAGCCGTATGGAATGTGCTGGCGTATAACCAGGAATCAAAGGCCCTGAAAAAATAAAAAGAGAGGAAAATGAAAAAAAAGAAAAAGAAGATCGAGATTGATACCTTTAAACGATTCAATCGATTCAATAATACCATTGAAATGCGAATGATTTACCAAATCTTTCACATCTCTTATTTCAACAATACTGATCGATAGTGTCGGATCGAGTAGAAGTACTCTACCATCTACGCAAAAATTTAAGAAAGCATGTGGTACACGAAATTTCAATGGTTCTAAAATTAAAAACTATTTATTCAACATTTGTTCAGTTTAAAAACAATTAGAAAATTTGATTAGAAAAATAACTTTTAATTTTTTAATTATTTAAATGATATAATTTAACATAAAAAATTTAATATATAGTAAAGACACCAAACCAATTTAAAAAAAGCAAGAAAAGCCATGAAAACTTCACCTTTAAGAGAAGAATCCACACTAAGTCGATCACTGTCATCTTCACATCGACTGGCATGATCGCTCGCTCTAAAAAAGACTATATCAAAGGAAAAATCAACAATGATTCCTGAAAAAACACTCCCAGGAGGCTGAAAAAAAAAAAATTTTTCAATTACCAAAAACTGCCGTGCAAATGTCGTGCAAAAAATGATGATTGGTGATTTATACCACAAAAAATGAAATATAAGTAATCCATTCAACGACTACAGCTTATAAGGCAGAAGGGCAATAATTGGAGTGAAGCAGGCATCTCATTTAAAAATAATTTTTCACTTGTTAAAATGAAAACCGAAATGCAAAAGTAGTAATGAAAGAAAATGCAAGATAGTCTCCAAGAAAAAAGTTAAATAGGAAAAATGAATCGAAAGAAATTCGGTAAAACAGGATAAAAAAGAAGAAAAAAAATCAAAATATAAGAAAATATGCAAAGAAATGCTCTTTAAAAGAACATTTTAAAGAAAAAATTCCCGAATGTTTCTCGATCAAGCATAACTTACATGGGTTCCGATTGGCTTCTTTTATACCGTCGATTTCCAAACACATCACTGATTTTAATTAAGCGAAATAATTGCGATTAATTTAATTCTACTTATTCATATTTTATTTCATATGAAGACCATGATTAACCATAGATTTATATTAGCAGCGGAGTATTGCAAATGATCAAAGGATTGAAAATCATATTAGAGATTTAAAATTTATAAAGCAGATGAAGAAATTTATATAGTGAATATAGCAGATGAACGTAGTAAAAATATACACCGCTTTACCGCTTTTTTATTGAAAAAATTTTAGTGAATTAAAAAATCTGTTCATTATCTATCAAAGTAAGCAGTAAAATGCTAACTTTTGTGAATATGAAAATTAAACTGATCGATATATTTGACAATTAAATATCATAAATAATCAATATATATGAATAAATAAGAGGAAAAACGCATCAATAGATATGAATAAATAAGAAGAAAAACGCTAAAGGGAATTTTTTCCTATACTTGTGCAATCATGCAATTAACATAACTAATGGATTTATAACGTCCATAAATTACTATAAATTATTTTATTGGACGAAAATTTAATCATGCAGAATATTAAGTAAAAAAATACTCACCTACTATCAAGAGTCTCACGATCATCGCTAAAAAGTTGTTTCTGTGCCATCTCATAGGCTTTTAATTTTTCTAACGAACGTCTCGCATTAAATTCATCTTGAGTGTGCTTGCAAATCTAAAATTCTTTGAGAAACAAACATATACTGCAGATTAATACTATAATACTAAATTTTAAAATATGAATAAACTAAAATATGAGAAAAAATACTTTCCATAAAGCGATTTCCGGTGAATCGCCTTCGCAAATATACTTATAATATTCTCGATTGAATTTTTTATGGAACAAATCAACCGGCTGGTAATGACGAAGATATAAAGCACAATAGAATATGTATGCTGCTTTTTCGATGGCTGAGAGATGATAATATTCAGCTGGAGGAGGATATTTATGGAAAATATTTGCAACACGATTCTAAATTTTTTAAACAATTTACAGTATTTCAAACATCTTATATAATTCAATTTTTATAACAAATGCGAATTTAATTAAGAATTTAATTAAGAAAGATAGAAAAAAATAAAAATATAACCGAAAAAACCAAAATCAAAATATAAATCAAAACCAAAAAAGATAAAAAAGGAAACACAAGAGCAATTTTATCGAATAAGATTTTCGTATATTTCATATTTTTTTCATATTTTTTATTTCACCTGTGATAGATGAATTGCTCCAAAATAATAAAATTCGTCTGGTCCGATAGAAGGATCGAAACCGTATTGCATTGACATAGAACGATGGACCTCAAAGAAAATCAAATAAAACCAAAATTAAAGAATAAATTTGAACACAAAATTAATTAAAAAAACAATAAAAATACTTGTTGGTTATAATACAACTGAGCAACTTCATCGTCAGTTCCTGCACTATCATTTTGGCTACTTTTTGACGACTCATTATTTTTTCCTAAATCCGTTCCATCAAATCTGTTGTAGGCATCATAATTTCCGGAATGACCGCTTTGCTCATATCTAAAAAATTATTTATAGGTTCATTATCATCCAATATCAGAAAAATGGAATACGAAATAAGGGAAAGAAATTAAATTTTAAATATATCTGAACTAACAAAAAAAAAAAACAATTGTGCCCCACTAAAAAATAAAATTTATTAGCAAGATTCACAGGAAAAGATCTAAACTGAAATAAATATATATCAAGCAATAAGAATTGCTAATATGAAAGAAATATTCAACCTAGAATATCCACCATAATCAAAACATGACATTGGACGTGGACTGGGAGCATCCATAGGATGAACTGCACGCTGATCATGTGGAGTATGACGACCGATAGTTGGACCTTGCGACTGCCTACCACTCGGATACCTAAAAACTTTTCCAACATTTTGCTGAATTCCTCGCTTAACTTTATATTACGACAAAGCCATTTGCATATATATTTATCGGCTTCTATTATATTTTCTTATCAATCTAATAAATTTACTACCATTTCAAAAGATGCACCTACCCGTAAAATGGATGAAAGCCTGATTGCTTGAAACCTTGATGTGATTGTTGGAAGTGATAAAGCTGAGCTGCATAACCTCTATACGGTCCTATTTCACCCATTTCTGATCTAGTTCCACGTAACGATCCGCTGTTGCCACGTTTTGCAAAACGCGATCTGTAAATACTCACCAATAATGAAATGCTATTCAATCAATAAAAAGCATTTTTGAAAGTAAAAAACATATAAGTCAATGTATTTAAATCATATTTAATTTTTTTATGATTCACCTTCGTTGCGAACTAACAAATTCGTCACCATATACACCGGATTCACGCAAGGAACTATGGTCAGATCCGTTCTTGTCCGCCACGGTGAAGGAATGATTCACTAGAAAAAATTTAAAAAAGTTCTCAATCAAATCAAAAATTTTGAAAAATAGAATGAGAAAAATAAATTCTTTATTAACATAAAAAACTATAAAAAAACTATAGAACTATAGAAAAACTATAGAAAAATAAAACTATAATAAACTAAATACTCAAAACAAATATTTATTTTTCACTAATAGCTTTTTCTCGAAAAAAAAATTACTTTTCGACAAATGAGTATGGTCGAACGATGCATCGGGAAATCTTATATTATCGAACTCTTTAGGAGTTGAGTTTTTTTGAGGTCTGTTCAAAACACTGAAAAATTAATGGAAATCATGAGCTAAATTATCTCCGATAAGCAAATATACCAAATTTCTAACAAAATTAATCAGACTGAATTTCATTACAAGGAAAAGAAAAATACAACTAATCAACCTTAGATTCTGGTCATTTTCTTGCAATGAACCGCGCAAAATATTTTTGGAAGAATTGCGCCAATCTATTGTATGTGCATCTGCTCTTAATCGATCAAGACGTTTCACGATTTCTGGATACCTGAAATTAAAATTTTATTGTAGAAATAAGAAAAAAAATTCATGTCGCACATATTATTTTAAGAGATCAAATATTTCACACCATCAATAAGAAGTGATTTGTCAAATAGTAATTGAATTTAAATGTTGAAAACATACTGTTGCCTTATGTAACGATAACGATCACGCACACTTCCTCTACCCTTATTTCTTTCATTAATTGAATTAAACGTTTGCTTGGAATGGATTTCTGTTGGCTGATTACGCATAGTCACTACTTTTGTCACCTGTAAATTGAATAAAATTAAGAATGATAAATATTAAAAAAAATTGAATTGATGGCTTACATCAGATAAATTGAGCGACTGACTCAGTTCTGTTGCACGACCAGGTATTTCCACAGATGCTTCACTGTTCTGTTTGACTGTAGTGATGATCGAAGAATCATTGGTCTATAAATCGCGAAATTATTTACAAAGAGAAAAGAATAGCTCATAATAAATAACAATAACATTTTTGCATCTGAACTTATAATTTTGTAAAAAGTGAAAAAATAGCAAAAATTGCATACCAATTAGGTAAAAAAATATAAGCTCCATCGCAAGAAAAAGAATATAAAAGAAAGAATAAAAGAATATACCTCCACTGGCAAAGCTTTATCAATATGATCTTGACAAATTGGTGATACAACATTCTCATTTCCCACACTCGTTTCATCAAGTGGAACATCTGGTTCCAAATTATTGATAAATTCTTCAGGCTTCGAAATCTCATTTAAAATATTATTTGTAGGCGCCACAGGATGAACTAGTGGTGAAGAAATATTATCACGTGATTGTACTGACATACGCATATTTTCTGATACTCCAAAAGCAGGTGTGTTATTTTGATGACTGAGCGAATTCGAAACGGATGGTATATCTGGCGTAGACTGAATATGCGATAAAACCGCAGTTGCAATTGTATTGGAACGTGAATCTAAAATAGGTAGCAAATATTAATTAATTAATTAATAATTAGATTACGGTCAAAAAATAAACAATATTTGATAGCGCGAAGCCAAAAACCCTGAATACCAAAAAAAGCTGAAGATCAACTTGAAATCAGCTATGAAAAAACTTCAATGAAAATTACTGATCCATAGACAAAATCCACAATCAGCTAAAAGAAAAACTTTAAAAAAATTAAGCTTCTTTTCAAAAGGTATTAAAATGTAGAACAGATCATTGCTAAATAAACAAACTTAGTGCTTCCGAATGCTGACAAGGAATGGGATCAACTCTAGCCACATTTGTTACTCCTGAAGACGACACATTTAGGTCGCATGTTACGCTAGCATTCGAATAATTATTATTACTACCATGCGCTATTGAGATTGACTGTACTGAAGCCATCATTGGAATAACTTGAGCGATCGTAACTGATGATTGCATAGTTTGTGGCTTAATAAGTAGTGAATATGATCAGCATATTGAAATAATTAATATAGATATTACCTTTTGCTTCATTTTAGTGAAAAAATTTATAGTTGACGAAAAATTTTAACTACTCAGTTCAACTTTTTGAAATGAAAAAGATTAATAATAAAATCAAGATTTACTTCAGACCAACGTATTCCCAATTCGTTCAACGAAGTCTCCTCGAACTTGTTTGCCATTGCCTCTTCTGAAATTTTCATACGAATATTTGATATTCATCCAATATTCTCTTTAATAAATATACATATACATATACATAAGTATAGATATATATCTATATATATTAATATATATAGATATATATATAAATATATATATAAGATGTGGAAAGTTAAAGCCAAAATTCCATTGACAACTGGAGCACTAGAAATTGACATCTTAACTAGAAAAGTGGCTTAAGCAAATTCCAGGAACAACATCAGAGATTTTTATCCAAAAGAGCATACTATTAGGAACAACTTAAATATTGCGCAGAACAAACCCTTAATTTCCGGCTTCTGGTAGAGAAGCCAAGGTCGAGGATGACCATGACCACCCATAGGAGGGTAAAAGAAGTTGTTTTTACAATATAACGTTCACTTTAACTGGCAACATGGCCACTAATTCTAAAACTTTCCTTCTTGCAATAAAAAATGTTCAACATTTAATATTCAATATTCAATATTAAATATTCAATATTAAAAAACTTAAAAATTTGAAAATTCTTTAATTTTGGACTCGACCTTCGAAAAAATTTAATATGCGCCAATATTTAAAAAAAAAACCTCGATTTATCATTAAATCACACTGCGTTTTATGTTTCCGCTCCATCTCCTTATTGAATTCCAGATGATTGTCTTCCGGATTATTTTTCTCACGTACCGCAATTTCTGCATTATTTTTGAAAGACGATATATCATGATATACATTTTGCAAATAGTCTTTGCTTTGATATTCGTCAAATTTCTCAGAGTCAAGGGCAGGATTTCTCAACTGGTTTGGAGTATTTTTATCTGATATATGAGAATGAATTTCAGGAACAGTTGTTCGAATATTTTGATATGAATTGGATGATGCTTGATAAGGATCCAAAGATTTCACTGCATCCTTTTCGTCAGTTCGTTGTATAGCGAAAGTTTCAGTAGTCACAGTAGTCTGGCATGGACTCGATTCATTTACCTCAAATTACATATATATATATACAAAAATCTACATATCTATATATAATTTAAAGAATTTATTGAATCGATGTATAAGTTAAATAAATACAAACTTGCTTCCTGGATTTGAGTTGCTGCGGTAAAATCGGACGATGTATTTCATTATACTGATTCGAATGCTTTAGATCTTGAAATTTGATCTAAAAATGAAACCTGAATTCTGAAAAAAACAAAGCTATCGATAACACCCCAGAATTACCGAAAACAGAATTGTAATTCAACTTAAAGCCAAAAGAATTTAAACTCTAATGTCTTTATTTTAAAAAAAATCATCAGAATTTCAAATAATACCATCTGGATTAAATGGGCTGATTTATAGTTGTTTTCTAACAAATGTTGTCGTTGTTGATCTTCCGCTTGTGAATAGCCAGAATTATTCGAATTATGGTTCTCCACATAGTCATGGCGCTCGCCAGGTGCTGCATTAAATCCTTCAAAAACTGCAGTGCTATAAGGATCGACTTGACCGTAGCTCTGAAATCGATAAAATACGAAAATTATATTTTCGGAACTGAATCCAGTCAAGCCTATTCGGACAAAAAAATAACTTGCTTCACATAAAAATTCACATAAAATTTTGAACAGTTGAAAAATAGGAATTGGAAACAAAAGCAAAAATATGAATATAAATATAAAGTAGAATAGTTCATCAATTGAGCGGCTTTCGCCATTTGCATACGTCTGTATGATTATAATCTCTTTGGTATAATCTGGTCTGACAATAGCTAAAACAGCACGATTTTTATCTCTGGTAAGTTACTGCCTAACGCAATTTTCAACAATATCAAGGCAAATCAACTAAATGACATATAGTCATAGTCATATTATTTATATATTTATTATACTTAAATAAAAAGCTATAAAAGCAGATCTGCAATTTTCCATTTCTCTCTTCTTTCTTTTTCTTATATTTTTACAATAGCCTCGTTCGTCGCCTTACCAGTAACTTAATTCCTTATTGCAAAAACTTATCTACCATAAAGATTCCTCATCAATCGTCGTACCACTTTTATAACTACAGCTTATAATAATAATTTGTTTTATTCATCCTTTCACCAATATGCCCCACTCTAAGGGCAAATTATGTCTTAAAAAAATGTCGATATAAATCATCGAAAAGTATCTATGAAATATTTTATAAAAAATTCATAAAAATTATCAAATGAAACAAAATTTTTACATTCCATACTTATATTAAAATAAAGAAAAAACAATAAAAATTATATAAATTTAATTAAACTTTCTAACAAAAAACCTAAACGACTTACCCATTCAGCGGGATAATATTGTGTTGTTCGTTGATCATTTTCATTTTCCACTAAACCAATATTACTCCACTGACTGTTCGTATTCTTATCATTTTGATATTTCTCATCGAATGAATACTGCCGCCCATCATTGCTGTTTTTCAACGCATTTTGCCAGAAAAACTGTGACATCTGTGTAAATACTATTCATTCACAATGGATAAAAAAAATTTAATCTGAAAATTTTCGCTTGAAAATTTTTAAAAAATTTTTTCCTAGCGCACACAATTAGCTTCTATCAATTATTTCGAATCGATTTTTAAAAAAAAAATTCCCATGGAAAAAATAAAAATAAAAAGATTTCCAGAAAAAATTCCGATGGAAAAAATAGTAATTTAAAGGAAATTCAAAATATATTTAAAGTTAAAATTTAAACTTAAAATAAAAAATCAGTAATTAATCAATTAATTAGCTGAATTTATAGTTTAAAAAAAATAAATAGGGCGAAATTAGATTTAAGGCTTAAGCTTAGGCTTAGAGAACTTAATGGCTATCCTCGGCTAGGACGACCACAAAAATATTTCGTTTTTAAAATATTTCAGAATATTTTACGCTTTAAATTTTAAAATTGAACGATATTTCATAATTATAAGACGGAAACAAAGCTAAAAACCGATTAATAAAGTTTAAATATAAAAAAATTCTATTATTCCTCAATCCTCTGACCTGACTGGATTTATTTCATTATATATCCCATCTATCCCGTCCTCTCTCTACCTTGCCTATTAACCCACCAATTCGTCCTCTCATCGCACCTTACTTAAGTTCCACCTCACTTCTCACTGTATCCCCTCCGCCGCATCATTAACAGAACAAAACAAAAATAACACGGTGGAACCGAACGCAATAAAATTATGTATCATGAGAAATAATGCCGCGGCCGAAAAAATTACGGTCCGACTTTTTTCAATTCAATTTAGCAATTTTCCTTTTTTTTCGAATCGTTTATCGAATTGAGTCTAATCCGAGTGGCTCGACAGGCTATTAAAGCGGTGAGAGTTTTTTCTGCAGAAAACCACCTGGGGACAGGAATATGTATGGGTTTCTAGTATGTTACCACTTGTATAATTATAATTTATCTGGCCTCATACCCTCGCGTATTCCCCCTCCGGTGTCCTTTCTTCTAACTGAAAAGGTCCTCTCGTCTGGGATAGACCACTAATTTTTCACCAGTTAGAAACTCCTGTATCGATTTGAAAATTACGAATAATTGGAAAAAATAAAAATTGAATTTATTTTCTTTTATTGGTTCCTCAAAATACGATGCACCAAAGATGAAGAACCATTGTTTTAAATTTTCAGAATTAAAAATCAGTGGATTTTTAAGCGAGTAAAACTAAACTAAATAAATGACTAAATAATGAACGTCATATTTACTATATAAATAAAGGAGAAATTCCCAATTGCTCGCCAGAAACTTGAAAAAAGTCGGTGAATCTCGACGTTCTAAGTGAATCGATGGTAAAAAAAAATATTTCTTTTGTTTTCGAATTGAATAGAAAATCCTTAAAAAGTCCCTGAAAAGTCGAGATGGTTGTCGTTAATTGTTTGTGGGTTTTGGGAAAAATATGTAAAAAAATTCTCAGTGAAAAATGGAAATTACTTATCAGAAAATTTTATGCCTTCAGTTTTCTTCCTGGACTGATACAATTAGGAAAGATTTTGAACGTATCGGTAGACCATCGATATTGACTTAGACGATGGAAAAAGAAATGGCTTTTATTACTACGATGGCCTCTTCTTCTTCTACCAGCTCTCCATTACTGGTTAGGCTGGCTCAACTGGCTACAGGGCCTGGATGGCGTTGAACCGAACAGATTGGAGATTATTCTTACTCTTGTAGCTAGCGATGCCAACCTAACCTGCAATAATTACAGTTTTTAGAAGAAGAAGAAGATGCTTCAATTTTATCACTTAGGAAACTTCTGTTTTTGACCAAAAAGGCAAATGTTTTTGACCATTAATTATACTCTAAATATACAATAAATATAAATATATTTCGACATTAAATATTGATAACTATTAATTTATGGAATTTCATTACTGCAATTTGTATTTTTTTATTTTAAATTTTACAGTTGATGTTTGGTTGTAAAGTTTTTAAATTTTGAAAATGTAAATCTTGAAACAATTGTATCAAAATGTAATACTTGGCATTATTCCAATATTTTTTCTCCGGAATATTTTGTGGTGCAATTGTTTATTCTAGGTTGGAGGGTGTTTTGCGTTATGCAGGTTAATTTCAGTGACTCTTCTTTTTAATAATCAGATGGCACCTTAAATATTTTTCAGTTGCCTCGCTGGTTTGCTAGGGAATCACTTGGCTTTAGATTTACTGAGATCAGCTGGATTTTTTGAAAGAAACACTACAAGAAGTGGAATTTCAGCATAGGCGCTTAGGAGTGAAATGAGTGCAATAAGTTACTTATCGATTCGTCCTCTTATCTTTACTTAGTCTAAATTTATTTATTTTTTGCCAAATTTATTGTCTTTTCTAGAATAGTAAATTTTTTTTTAATAATTTGTTATTGTTCTTATATAAATGAATAAATAATTAATGCTCGTTATTTCTGTTTACCCCATCTTTGCTAATTGTTCTTCGCTAAGAAGTTTCTGCCAAACAGAAGTGCATGTAGAAATGACTATATCGTGCTGATCCTTTTTTGATGCGCTTCAATGTGGCATACGTCAATTCGCGTCAGTTATAAAGAACCTACTACTTACTTTTCAACTTGAATTACTTACCAATTTGCCCACTACCTACTTCCTCTTATATTTTTAATATTTTCAGAGCTGAAGAAATTTTTTTAAATTTTATTCTTTTTTTCTTATTTTGATTTTTTAAATTTTCAATTTTATTTTATTGAATCGAAATATTTTCTTAAGGATTTATTTTTCAAATTTATTTCTATCTAATTCAAGAATTTCAGTTTTCCTTTGCGCTAAAAATTAATAACAATGGGTCCATGGAATTTTATGCCAGGTGCAGCGAAAAATATAAAATTCAGATATGATAGTAAGTTTTTTATTAATCTTTATATCCTTTTCAGTTTCCAATTATTGGTTAGAAAATCATATACGATAATAGAGATAAGAAAATGGTGATATATTTAGGTGGTGCACTGGCTGCATTATGAAGATTATAGGAATTCTCTATTTATTGTGATACTTAATTGTTGCAGCTCCTTTTTGTCGGTTTATGCGATATGTTTCCTGGAATTATTTATGGAGCGGAAGACGTTATGGTATATTTTTCAATCTAAATTTTTTTTTAATTTTCTTTTTTTTTCATAAAATTTTCATGCCTTTGCTTTCTTTAATGTTTAATTTTCCATCCTCTCTGAAAGTTTTCTTTTTCTTTTCAAGCTTTGCAATGATTCATTTGATTTCAAAAATCTGTTTATGGCCATAGGTTCTTCCTTCTTTTTTCACTTTTTATTTGTCCATTTAGCGCGGTTAATAGACATGGTTAATGAAATAAATACTGCCATGTTGGTGTATTTCGAACGGAAAACGGAACTTGAGTAGATCGAATGATCCCAAGATTGAAAAATTAATCATATGGCTATATATAAAATCATTAGGATGTCTGAGTGGATTGCTGCTCGATTTTCTGTTCCCTAAACGAATAAATCCTTCCGAAAATCCGGGTGGCGACTTACATGTATTTCTATCAGGGACTCCCTGGCATATTTGTCTAATGTAACAAGTCAAGTTTAACCAGTAATGGTGAGGATCTTAAAAATATACATATATATTTATATATATATATATTTAAAATCATTAGGAAATTTTGAAGAATGTCTTAAAAGCAGGATAGACCACGAGACAGATATGAAATTAAATGAATCTTTATGGAAGTGAAGCTTATTTGTTGAGCTGAGTTAGCTTGTTGGAAATTTGGAAATTTTCTAGGTCTTTTGTTTCATGACAGTTATTTTGAACCTGCACCTGAGGTAACTGAAGCTTTGCGTCGTTTGAACTTAAAAGAACCATGGGTATTTGATGAACGAAAGAAAAGACTTTCAATTGCCCATACCATGAAGATGCATGGTGAACGCCTTTCAAAAGATAAGTGGACTAAATGGGAAGATGTGAGTTGGTTTAATATAATTTGTTTTTTAGAACTATTATTTGATTAAAGATCGGTTCTTTAGCCGCAAAATAGTTATAAAAGAAATCCATTTAAAAATTTCGTAAATTTTTTTTCAGGAAACTTGGTATCTCAAACCTTATCTTGATGAAATCGAAGCGGAAAAGAAAGCTAGAGAAGATTCTTCAGGCATCATTCCAGGCTTTTCCCTGCGGAAAAAGTTTTCTTCGCATTAAAAATATCCAAATTATTATAAATAGATAAAACCGATTTTTTTATTTTTAGTATATTGAAAAAATTGTTAAATTATAGTTTAATAAATTTAATATTGTGATAAAATTATTTTTTTAATGTTTCTTATCCATTTTATACGAAGTTTTTATCGCATATTTTTCGCAACATATAAAAAAAACTAACTACTGTTACTAAATTTGATTTATGATATAAATCATTTGTCATTTTCTCAGAGATTTAATTTATACATTCTGCCTTGGCTAAAATTAAAATATCGGTTGGATTGAACTTGAGAGAAACCAGAAATATTCTAGAATTTTTGGCTAGCGATTAGCCATACAACTCCATTATTCGTTGAAAACCTGCAGATAATTTAATAAAATTTTACTTTAGAATTTGTTAAGTTATTCCTTTTATTTCATTTTTTTTTCTTAATCTTTTTCTTTTTTTTTTTCAGTTTTTATATTAGTTACTTAAATGAATTACCTTCTAAGCAAAGACCATCGTCTGATAAACTATCGAGCTTGTACGCTTGTACAGCTTGCTCCCACTTTTTTTTGTCGATTTCAGAATCATCAATAAATTGATCCATTTCTGTTGTTGACCAATGTCCATCGCAATTCGTATCAAATTTCTTGAATTGCGAGATAATATCTGCGTTTTCGATATTTGGATTTCTTTTTCTATGGTCTTCTAAAAGTTCAAAATTTAAAATTTCAAAATTTATTTATTTTTCTAAATTTTGAGATTTTGGTCAGTTATATTTCAACGTTTATCAGCGTTTGAAATGGTGCAATATACTTATTAGGTGTCCACTATTTCTATTGTCTACTGAAATCTCAGGCAAGCATCACTTGGAATTTAGAAATATCGATGAGTCTACAGCATCGTCCGGATTTGCTTTTGTAGAAGACAAAAGGGGAAATTCGATGCTGAAAGGGATAATCTAAACAATCTTGTACTTTACTGCTATCCTGTTTCCTTCATATTCAGAATTGTGTTCTTAAGAATCACTCGATAAAAATTAGTAAAATTAGTAAATTTTTCAATCTTTCAATTTTTACGACCTCTATGCCTATCGGTTGCTTGAAGAAGATCCATCGAATTACGAGTAATACTTCTAGAGCCATCAAGTTCAATTAAACCATCTTGAAGCTTTTCGGCTTCAGTCAACTGTTCTTGTAAGCGATATTCTTCGATAGCGTTGCCAATCACCGATGCTCGATGAGCTTCTGAATCCATAGTTGAGATGTGGATTTATGAATATGTTTCGCACTGAATATTTTGTAAAAGAAATTTGCAGATTTGACGTTAATACTATTCATTTGTTAAATTAGTTGTTAATTTTAAAAAAAAATTTATCCTCGCATTAATTCATTTTAAAATAATTATGTACGTGTCAAATTGTTAGTTTAATTTTTACACTGAATATATCGAATTTTTATATCGAATCTTACGATTCGCTTCGTACTTCTGGAGGATATTTTATGAATTAAAATTAATTTATCTATTAAAAAATATGCGAAAATTAATCTTTACGATTCTATAAATATTACGATGAATGTCAGAAAAAATATTCGGCTGAATATTTTTTACAAATCCACTTTTTTTTTAAATTTTCAAATTATCTAGTATTTGTTTTCAGTTTTCCCTTTTTTCGAGCCAGCATTTTTCTTGCTGTTAAACCAGCAGTATATGGACTTAGACGATGGTGAAAGAAATGGTATTCCAATTACTATCCACAATGTCTATCAGATCGCATAGCTTGGAAACGTAACCAATAATGGTGAGAGAAGCCGTTAGAAGAAGAAACCGTTGACACCATTAGATTATTTCTTTGAATTGATATATGCCGATAAGTTAGGCATTTTTGGCAATTTTGAAGGCTACAAAAGGTTATAATTGTTAAGGATTTTACTGGTCATAGAATCAAGTATATAAAGCAAATAATATGATATACCTTCACTGTTCAATAAACCATCATTATTTGTATCCGCTATATGAAAACTTGTTTTAACAATAGCACTAGCAAGGCGACCATGTGTTAGGGTTAAAAGCTATAAAAAATATAAAATTATCATAAAATAACTAAACTAAGCATTCATGACTTCTTTATTCTATTGATTAATTACTGGACTGGTACTATTAATTACTGGAATAAATTGTCGAACGATATAGCTTCATCCTTAGAAATCTTTGAAAGAAGATTAGGTAATATCATTTATGATATTATTTAAAAAGTTCACATCATTCAGAAAGTGTGAAATCTCGAATTTTACCATCCGATTGTATATATACACTTACTTCGAATTGTACTATATTATATTATTTTGTAATTATTTCCTCTTTAGATTAATTTTTCTTCATATTCTCTTTTTTTACCAATTATTTTGTTATTTTAACTGTTGTTATTAATACAAGCACATGGCGTTTGTCGTCCTACTTAGCTGGTTCCCAATAAAAAGACAAATAAATAAAATAACTGCATAATAAAAATGATAAAAATATTTAGAAAGCGATAAAGAATATACTTTATCACTTTTATCATTAATAGAGTCAGCTGGAAACGTATGGATTGTAATATCTTAATATTTTTATAACGGATCCAGAGAGATGGTACTGTTATATATTACATATTAAATAAAGATAATTTTGTCGTCCGATTTGTTTTGAACTTAGAACGAAAATTTTGATTCATTGTGATTTTTTCACATAAAAATTTTTCACCTGATCTAAACTTATTCCTCTTGTCGATATTGCTATCCGTTCGTTTTCAGTTGGATTTTCCGGAGAATTAATTTTCGCTATATCTGAATAATGGAAAATAAGTTATTATTTTAGCGATTTGCATTGCTCAATTTCCTTGAATTCCTTATTCTGAAGAAAAAAAAGCATCCCTTTCTAATTTTCTGGTTTTAAACTGGTTTTGTACAATTTACCTTTTACATACTTAGCTATAATAAGTATGTGGTTAGACTGGCGCCTCACCAGCATTGTTCAGAGTTTTCAATGTCAAATTTATTCTCGTCCAAGCCGACGCCTATCAAAACGGTAGTCTAAGCCAGTATTTTGGCTAAACAAAGGCTAAATAAATTACCTATGAGTTGAACATATTGATCATTCATTGATTTGGCTTTTCCAATTATTGATAACAAATCTATTAATATCTCTAATAAAATAAAGTTTCGTAAATTTTTCATCTAAAATATTTATATTTTTTTATTTTATTTAATCAAAATATTTAAATTAAAAGAAAAAACATTTCGTTATTTAAAATAAAAAAAATTTAGCAAAAAAAAAATTAAATTTCTTATCTTTTTCATCGTTCTTCAAGATGATTTATTTTTCATTTGATTTATAATGGAACGATGAACTTTTTTTTTGGATTTATATCAGAAAAGATTTGTAAATATATTAATTTCTTTAATTTCTAATTTATTATCATTGACACAATTAATAAATAGAAAAAAAAAGAAAAAATTAAGCCATGGAAAAAAAATGAAATAGTTACATTAGTGATAATAATGATTGAATGAATGAAATCCAGATTGTATTACTGACCCACTTATATCTTCAAATGGCTTTCTGGCGAAAGAGTTTCGTCCTAATAGATAGCCAAATGATAAAAAAACGATAATTAATGTTGTTTAATAGAAGAAGAAAGAAGAAAAAGAGAAGAGATTTTATCAGAATGGCCTAATGATAACTATCGAAATAACGAAGCTAAACGAAATAAAGCTATCAGCATCTGGTGTTTTCTTCATTTTTTTTTATTAAAATAAAAAATTCATATTCGATGAAATTCGAAATTATTTCACATAGAAATTATTTAGTTTTTATACAATTATTAATATTAAAAATATGTAAATATTAATAATATTAATATTAATATAATATTGATATATTAATATACATATGATAATAATTTTAAATATTCTTATAGCTGAGTAATTTTTATAAAATTTTTGTCAGATGAAAAAAAAATGTTTTTGATCCTCAAATTAGTTAATAATTATTAAGTCGACTCAAAATTAGCTAATTTTTTTTTTAGGATTTTAGTAATTTAACGAAAATTCTAAAAATTCCTTGATTCTGACGTTTGGTTCTTCTTCAGCTTACATTTTCTGGTTTAACTGCACTATTTAGATGTAAGGCTTTATCGCCAGAGAGTTGTACGAGAATTTGAGGATATAGGGGATTCCTCAACAATTCCTTCCTTTCAAGGAGAGGTTTATTCCTTTAAAAAGTCAATCAGCCATCAAATGATCCATGATACTTTCTTAGTCGAAGTAATTTCACTGTCCTCATAATACACTTGAAAAAGTGGATCAAAATAGAACTAAATCAAGTCATTTGAAAAAAAAAAAGGAAAGTGAGAAATAAAATTCATAGAAAACATAGAAATGATAAGATAACGATATTTTAAGGATATTTTCAATCCGAAAAAAGAACAATGAGAATGAACACGAATGATGAGATAATCGTAGAAATGTGTTTTTTAACGAAACAACCGGTTCTCTCAAACTATTTTCAAAACTTTACGATTTCCTTCTAATTAAGAATCCGGATGGTACCTAATGACCTAACGATTTTTCTATTGCTAAATGATTTCATATACAAAATTTCTAAACGAATATGCCATATTTATGGGAAAATAAATTGAAAAAAAACCTATTGGAATGATCAAAATATTGAACGGTTGGGTTGAAGAACGCAACTAAAAGGGTGGAGTTGATAAATTTCTGCAATTGCATCATCAAGTTTTTTTTCCTTCCAGAAAAAAAATGTCAAATTGCCAATAAATTAGCTATCGTAAAATTTTGGAAAAGGGAAGAAAATTTTTTAATAGAGATTTTAAATTTTTAGGTTATCGAATAAGTCAAAATGGATATGAATTTTGCATAATTATTGCCTTTTCTTCGCTTTGAAATAACCTTTTTTGTTTCCGATTTAATCGTTTCTACTGGCCATTTAGATAAAATTTATTTGCAGGTGAGAATTCTCGGCGATAGAAATATAGGCAAAGATCCAGGCACTACTCAGTTTTACTTTCAATGCGGACAGTATTCTTATCAAAAACACCAAAAGATCGACAAACCTATAGAATGGTTTTATTTTTATCCATACTAAAGTTATAAAGTTATAAAACAATTATTTTAGCAAATATAAAAATAAATAAATTTTAAGATTTGAAAAATTTTTCAATTTTAAAAATGATAATTTCAAAAATAATTTAAAACCTAAATAAAATAATGAAAATTTATCAAAAAAATTAGTGACCAAAAAATTGATCTTAATTTTCGAAATCTTTTTGGATGATTTTGGGAAATATGAATGACCCTTTTTTCGCTGACCAACATCATTGAACCCAACTTATTTTAATGCCTCACTCGGCAACAGCTGATCATTAAATTAATTGTATTTGTAGAAGAGAGAAATACCACTGGTAAATCAGTCACAATAATAAGTAAAAAAAATTTTTAATATTTAATATATATTTAATAAATATTAAATATTAAATTTAGATTTTTTTCTCGATTAAATTATGAAAAATCGACCAATTCAAAAAATAAAAAGATAATCGAATAGATAATTAATGCAATTTAATAAATTTTATCGAAATAAAGATGATTTATCTAAAAATAATTATTTTATTTTATTTAATTTTATTAAAAATATTAAGATATATCAGGGAAGACGATTGAGAATTTATCATTGCAATTATTTTCTCCTTTTTTGCTTATCTACTTAACGATCCTTGGTTCCACTGAACCAATCAGTTGTAATTAGGGTGGTTCCTCGTATCATCAACACGGTTATTGTTACTGTAATCTGATAATTATTTAAAGAAGAAGAAGAAATTATTTTAATACCTTAATGAACAATAGAATACTGCTTTGTAGATTGTAAATGGTTTATTATGGATCATAAAAATTATAAACAAATTTCTATCCGCCATTTTCTTACATTTTGCAATCATCAAGGAATTTTTATTTACTTGAGGGATGTATGAGGTGATTATTAAATACTAAATAAAAAACTGTTAAACATTTATTATTAAATAATATTAAACTATTATTTATTATTAAAATATATTTTAATTAAAATATATTTTTATTATGAATATTATATTACAAATCCTTAGCTGATTTTTAAATTATATTCATTATCACCCATAAAGTTAGAAAAAAAAATTAATAAAATTTTTAATTTTTTAAGTTTTAAAATTTTTAAAACACTGA